GGTAACGAGGTTTTAGGAAGGCACGAGGTTTCAATTACCTTACCCAGCCTTATAAGTAGTAGAGTAATTTCGTAGTGTAGAGTGGAAAGAAGGCAAGAAGCACCTATTCCCAAACTAATCCAGCCAATTAGATCTCTCAAATCTTCCTAGAACAGTTTTTCTAAGCTGAATAGTTATTCTGAGCTCAACGGTTATCTCCAAAGATAGTGTTTGCTTACAATGAACGGTACCATAGAGGTACGGTGCTATACACCCCCCATATCCCATTAATGGAGAACCACGAAGAATTTCACAAACATACCCCATTAATAACATTCTTTACTAATTAGAGTAAGAAAACAAAGGGAGAGTTTGGGAAAGCATACTATCGATTGGTAAAGGAGCTTAGGAGTCGATAGGAATAAATAGACGAAAAAGGTCAAGACATCAACCCTTGTAGCAGAACACATAGCGTCAACTAAATGGGAATGTAAGAATGAGATCGATTTACCAACTAGTAAATTGAAAAAAAAAAATATGAAAGTGATCCCACTAGTGAAAGCTTTATCGATTTCAACTGAAAATGTTCTTAGCGGATCTGTGAGTCCATGAGGTAGGATGCCGTTGGCTCTGGAAACCTGGGAAGGAACAACCCACGTCCATAAGATACTCTCTTCTGCAATATAAACGCTAGGAAGCTATTCCTAGCTTAAGGTGAAGCTACAATATTCTATTACACTATCAGCTGCCCTCAACAATTTGTAAGTGCACGGGCCACAACCATGACGCGTTAGGGTTGTAGCCCGTGCCCGGTTAAGAAAGATAGCAAACTAGCACTACTTATATTTATATCTAACCTTCTGCCACCGTGTCTAGCCTTTACTTGGTAGAAATTATTAAGAAATGTTGTAAGGGGGAACTTGTAAGCTACATTTACATTACTATAATTTCCAGCTCTATATAAGAAGTAGAGGTAGGTATCCTCGATCAACTTTGGGACAACGAAGCGAGAGTTTTAGCAGTGTTATATCAGCTAGACTTACCTTTCACCTACATCGGATAGAATTAGAGATATGAAGAGAAGTCCCCGGGACAAGAGAGTATCCAATTCGAGAACTTGAAGTTACGAGCGAGCGTTCAACCAATTTGTACACTTGTTGGGTGCCTAGAAGTAGCCTCTATAAACGCATCATTCACTTGGAGACTTCCTTGGCGTGCAGTGTCACTTTCCTCCATATGCAGTGTCATTGTATAGATAAGGGTCTATATAGTGCTATTCCTACGCGTGCAGTGTTACTAGATATTCTTCTTAATCCTCTATATTCTTATTAGTATTAGTTATTACGTGAAATTTAATTTATCTACTATAATAATAGCTTACTAGCAATAGGATAATAGTATTAAGAGGCAATAAGTTAGAGTAATAGATATATTTAAGGTATAGAATAATGATATTAATCTTCTACTCTTCCAGCTTTTTTCTTAATGGTTTGAAAATCCTACCGCTCCTAATTACAATTCGAAGTATTAAGGAACGTACTATAGTACGTTTCTTCCGGGTAGACTATTTGTTAGAGCTTGAGAGAGTAAGGCAGTCGTTCGAGGGTGTAGTAATTTGAAGGTTAAGATTTAAAGCAAAAGGATTCAATAAATAGTTCTTCAGGGTTAGTGATAATAGTGACACTGCACACGTAGGAATGGCACTATATAGACCCTTATCTATGCAGTGTACACTGCACATAGAGGAAAACAACACTGCACGCCGAGGGAATCTCTTCACTTGACCTAATTCCCTCTCACCGGGACCCGCACATTACGCTCACAGACTGGATTTCTACTCGAACTTGGAAGATTTCCTCTTGCCGGACTCCTTTTATACATCCAGTCACGAACCGAACGCGCTCTGTAGAATATTTCGCTTTCACGGCCTTGCTTCGCCCCAACGCTAGCGTTTCCCTACCTCTACCTTTCCAAAGACGTCTTTCTCCTCTACACCAAGAGGCAGTAGTCCCCTTACACGACCTGCATCACAGGTATTAAGGTACGTCTTAGACACTTCCTTTCTTTGCTCGCCCTTTCTTTGACCCAAATTCCTACCTCCCACTCACCGCAGTTCATCTTTTCGTTAGCTTAGTCGTTGCAATAGCTCCCCCCACCGCCAAACCTCGATGTCTTCTAGTTCCAGCCAGCAGGAACGATTCACGTCCGGAACAGGAACAGACTACGAAGAGCTCAACACCCTCTGGCTCTCCAGAGAGACAGCCATCGTGCTCTCTTACCTCCACCACCACCCGACTCGCGACGAGTGGTCTATTCACTTCACTTCATTCAGTGCCTTGCCGCCATGGTCGCGGGACCGCCTAGAGCTAATGATGGAGCGGAGCCTACTACCTCTACTCTGCGCGGGCCCCGTTCCCTTGCGCTAGCGCAGACTCGAGACGATCAAGTGCACATAGCTCACGAGGACGAGATCCAGAACGCAAAGACGGAGCTCAACGCCATTTGGGGAAGCAGAGCGTACAGAATCACCATTGCGTACATCATCCATCCCGATCGTGAAGCTTGGCTGGCCCACTTTGTCAGTTGTCTGGCCAAGATTGCGAAGGGCCCTGCGACCGCTTCTTCGGAAAGCGCGCCACCGACGGATGTACAGCCCGATACGGAGCAGTCCCCACGCCTATTTCAACACGTCAGCTATAACTGTACAAAGTGGTTCCGGATCGAGGGTGGTGGTACCATGTATGGGGTACAGCTACCTGTAGATGAAACTTCCACCAAGTTCAGTCTTCCTGCTGGTGCTAAGCTCTGGACCGCCAACTTCTCCAAAGTCTCTGTACTTGCGGATGATGGGTATAGGCCTGCATCGGAGAGTGACCTCAAGATAGACTCTATTCTACCCTAGGGAACCCGGTCGTAGCCCTAGTCTAAGTCAGAGTGTTAGTGACAACGTGGACACCACCCCAAAGCAGGCGTGGAGAGAACAGGCTAAGCAGGTCATTGCATTGGTGCCATACCTCTTTATGATCAAATATATGAAGAGGAAGCCTACGTGCACCCACCCCAAACCTTCCCATACCCAGAAATCGTAAAAAAGTGGATCTGTCAGCTGGTTGGCACCTGACATTGTAATTTTTGTTTTTACCTGCAATATTTCGTCTTTCCAATGCACGCAACATTAACTCCAACTTGGTCACATTTTTCGCACTTCTTTACACAGTCATTTGCACCCATTTTATACTTCTACTACTAGCTACCGTACGTCGTACTACCTCTACAATACCCTTATTCTGCTTGGTTTGACTACGATGCAGATTTTTTTGGGGGGGGGGGATTAACATGGAGGGGTGATTCAGATGTTATGACACATGTAAAACGGCTAGAAATACCGCTAAAACTCGATAATTTACATGACAGCTGATATGGCGAGAAAATGGGTATGGGAAGGTTTAGGGTGGGTGCACGTAGGCTTTCTCTATATAAAGTTCCGAGTGGCTGTGTTTTTAACCGTCCCCCTTATACCTCCTGTGAACTTTATAGAGGTACCTAACCAACAGCCCAATCGGTCGTCGTGTACCTTAGTCCTGGGCCGGGCTACCTGACTGTAACCTAAACCAGAGGTAGGTTCTCGTCCATCCCTATCCACCTTTTCCTTGTACTTCCTTCACACCAGCATCGGTTTCCCATCACAGCATCCCACCGTCTCAAAGTCCCATAACCAAACCCTTATCCCACCACCCAGTCCGATTCAACCTCTCTCACTTCGGTTCTAATTCCCATTCGCAAACTTCACCACCCACCTCTCTGGAAAGACCTCCTCCTCTCTCAAATACCCCAACACCGTTGACCGCTCCGCAAATCGCACATACTCCCTATACACCCTCCCCAACTCGCTCGCCATCCTTTCCACATGATCCTTCTTCATATGCAAGGCTCGCCACAACACAATCTCCTCAAACATCCCCGCTCTCAACAGCAACTTCAACCGATCCCTCACCAACTCCCCCTTCCTCCCTTCTCCATCCATCCCCCCTTGTGACCCCCCAATTAAGGCCGAACGCACCCACTCCCTTCTAGCTTCCACATCAGCCAACCGCGGCGGATCTACCTCATCAAGCCGCAACAACTCCCTGCCTTGTTCCGTCTTCGTCAAGAACTCAACCAAGCTCGGTTGGAGGAAACACACTTCCATTGTTGATTCCGGGACTGGTACCGTGCAGTCCATCTCTAGTATCTTGTCCACTTTGTCGCCAGGGATAGGGGTGTGGTCCATCTTACGCAGGGTGATGAAGGGGTACAGCCGTTCTTGGATCTGCTTTTTGACAGACTTGCATGTGGAGCGGATGTCGGGAGGTTCTTGGAAGGATCCTTTGAGGAGACAGTTGTGGATTAAGTGGTCGTGGAGACAGAGAGTTAGCTGTAGGAGAGAAAGAGGGCGGTTGGAGCGGAGGGTGTAGAGGGAGTACAAGTGGTCGGTGAGGAGGAGGTCCAGGATTCTGGAGAGGGAGTGGATTTCTAATTTGGTGTGGGAACTGTGGAACTGGGTGAGGAGGGAGGAGTAGAGGAGTTCGGAGAGGGGGAGGGGTGGTGGCAGGTCGGAGGAGGAGGAGGACGAGGAGGTTTGGCGCTTAATGCGATCTAGAGCGTCTAGCACTTCGGTGAAGGAGCCATTGCATGCGCTAAGAACTTTCCGAGTGAAAGAGTACCGCTGGTTGAACCAAAGATGGTCAAGAGTGTGGTGGCAGACAGTCTTGATGTCGTGACGCAGGAGGGATGGTTCGAGGTGTAGTTGTAACTTCCAGTGCGTCTGGTGAAAGATGCCTTCGGGCCTGGCAGTTACGATCATCTTGGCGTCAGTGTAGTAGTTGAGAGAATGGATGAGCTGCGTGGGCTCGGGTTTCAACCAAGGTTGCATGTCGGGAAGACAACAGTCGGTGATATCGCGTGGGATGTCTTCGTGCTTGGGATAAGCAGGACTGGGAGGTTTCAAGTCAAAGCCACTTGGTCCATCGATGAAGATGAAGATCTTCTTCCTCCTCTCCTTGACGTCCCTTAGAACTGTCCATAGGAGGTCCCAAAGCTCGTGGCCTTCCCATTTGGCACTTGTCTTGTACTGCGCTCGGTGCCACTCCCTAGTATCGGACACCAAGTGGTGGAAATGCGTGTCAATCAGGACCGGATTTTGTTCGAAGAGCTGGAAAAGCAGGTTGAGAAGCATGCCTTGGGTAGTTCGATGCATAAGATCTCCGTCGTGGTCGAAAAAGTGTGACAACACGATCGGAGTTTCTTCGTCCTCTGGCCTTTTGAGTATTGCCGGATTTCTTTGTGTCTCCATCACGAGGTACTTCATCAACACGCTCTCTCCGGTTCCTGGATCTCCGGAGATCCAAAACCGCCTGTCAAGGTACATGAGATCAGGAGCCTTGAGCCAAGTACCAAAGGTCTCTTTGGCATCGGCGATAGGCGCATTGAGAATCCACTGGCAAGTACCAGTGCAGGGCTCGGAAACGGCCTCAAAGCGTGAGTTCCGATTGGAATAGAGGAGACTCTGCATCACCCTTTCGCGGATTTCAGCAAAAGCTGGCTTGCGCATGGCCTCAATGAAGACATCTTCTGTCTCTGCATCGAAGGATTCCTTGAGCCTGTTGACCATAGCCGGTGGCGCAGGATGATTCAACATTGAAATGATCCGGATGAGGTCATGTAGATACCGATCATTGTTCTTGATCCATTCGAAGTCGGTGCGCCGAATCAATGATTGTGCCTCCTCTGGGGAACTGGTTAGGTCCTGGTGTTAGTTCCAGATCATCTCTCATGAAGCCGGTATTTGAGAGTCGAGACGTACCAAAGCTTGCCCAAATATTCCTTCCCAAGCAATCTCGTGTCAATGGCCTCCAGCCTCCTTCTTACACGATTTCTGTGCACATAGTCTCACGTCAGTATTGCCCCCTCAACCCGTTGTCCAAGCAAGAATAACTTACTGCATTTCTTTACCCCCACCCCACGCCTGCTGCGTCCGCACGAATACCTCGTCCCGCATCGCGTACTCGCGGATGCAGTGGGAACAATTCCTTGTCAGGTTCACCAACCTTTTCGCCTCTATGTTTGTCTCCTTTGTGATAGTCACATAGTGCGGGTGCCCCGCAAGCACCATCGACACTTCATACATTTTCTCCCACCACTCGTGACCATCACCATTGGACCTACTAATTCTTAGCGCTGCCTTGATGCAGCGGATGAGGCGGGTGAGTAGTTCGAGAGTGAGGAAGGTGTCGAGAAAGATGGGTTTGGTGTAGGGTAGATAAATAGCTCGTTCGGTCCCAGATGCGGTGGTATTAGACGCCGCACCATCGGGATCGGTGTTCGAAGTACTGGTAGTCGGGGTAGGTAACGTGTAGGCAGGCGGCAAGGTTTCGGAACGGGTGTAGGGAGGCAGAAGAGGATATAGGTCGGTGATTAAGCCTTCCATTGTTGTTGAGTGCTATCCCGTTGCTGGGTATTCGTCTTGGTGTTGGGTACTCTGAGTTAGGTAAGCGGTTCGTATTTGGAGTCAGGAAGGTGATGGCAAAGGTACCTACGGTATCAAAGGCCCTTTATGTAGAGGACAGAGGTTTGAAAGGAGAGAGAGAGTGTGGATCATATCTATCCCACCGGGCTGCTTGACAGTGTTGAGCGTTTGATGGATCCGGATGGATGAGATTGTTCGATGATTCACGCGAGTTGCTAGCCCGGATGCTCCCCCACGAGTGATGAGGAGTCGGAGAAGCTAGTGGAGGAAAAGATAAAGCACACGATGATGATGATGATGATGATGATGATGATGATGACATGTTGGGACCCCTGTCAACAGGATAACTTGATGGGGACAGAATGTCTTGAGGGGAATCGACGGACAGGCTACCTGGATATCTTGTATGGTTCTCGGCTCGCTGGGTGTGTGGACGGAGGTATTGCAAACCATTGTGTCTCCTTGTGCGCACGGAATGTCGATTAGTTCATGCCGAGCGGTACTTCGGCCAACGGGCAAAGCGGCAGCGTTGGAGAGCTGTTTGTGGGGCTGGAGTTTGTCGACGGATGGTGGCCGAAGACTACCTACAATTCAGTTGTGTAAGTGGAGAGAGTACAACGGCGGAGGGTATTTTTACGGCTGTAAGAGATAGAGTACATTGCAGGTGTTCACGATAACGGTCGCTAGGAGGTTCGTTTGGATGCTCATTTGCGATGGCAGAAGTCGAAAAAAGACGCCCTGATGCGTGGAGCTCGAGTCGGAGATGCGGTCCTATCAGCAAGACTGCATTAATTGCGCTGTGGAAGATAGTGAACTAGCACTAACACGCTGCTCAATCACAAAGTGTCGTCTACCGTACTGTGTGAGACGCCTGGTGCTCCCTCTCTTTTGGCGCTATATTGGCAATGTGCAAAAAGTGTCAATGGTGGCATTATATGGATTGAAAAAACGATTAGAGGAAATACGTCAAGGTGGCGGAATGCTCGAATGAAAGGACAGGAGTAAATTATAAATAAAGCGGAAGTTGCATGAAAGGAGGTGTTCAGGTCTTTCAGTACCTCTACAATGCCGCTGTTGCACTGCCAAGACAGGGCGTCTCAGGCGGTCTAGTACTTACCCCGCTAGATGGCCATCCAAATGCCGGGCCTTGTCAACATGTCGAAATTACCGGACCGGCAAATCGGGTGAGCGTGGTGCGGCTCTTCCAGCTCCGTCGAGCACAAAGATGTGTTGATAAAAAGAGTGTCTATTGTGTATATGGTGGTGTTGTCGATCATGGAGTTCAGATGAAATGGGTCGAATGGTCTCGGATGCGCCGATTAATGGATTAGCGCACCACCATTCCTTATCAGTGGCTAAGAGACAACTAAAGTCAGAGAAACTGAATGAATAGGGAGTTTGGTGATGAGAGCAACGCCCGTTGGGGGACTGAAGATGGGTGTGATGGATATTTGCTGAAAAAGAGTGGTGGTTGGTTGCGGGAAAGAGGGGATGTCAAGGCAGGAAATGGCGACAGAAAAACCCAAGTGCCGCTCTTTCCTGTTCCCGTCTGCTGCGCATGCCAAACACAGTTGCATAAAAATGAGATGGACATTAACAAAAAGCCGCTGCATAATAGTGTTCTAAGAGATGACATCACAGCACCGTCCGCGTACAGCACAACCTTTGAACACGCTTCTCAGCCGAAAATCACTGAAACAACTCCCCATCACGACCAGACATCAAAGTGGCAACATACACAAGACCAACGCGTAATCAACACTTCTTAGTTACACAGCTCACGGAACCAAAAGCATCAGACAACTATATACAAGAATGCGAGTCGATCCGAGAACCAACACGCGCCAACGAGATGCTTTCCAATCTGTCTGCAAAAGCCAACAGACCGGCCACGGTACCAATATCATCGCAGAAAGCCGAGAACATTCATGCCTCAAAATTATCCTCAAGACCCCTACTCATCCCGTGACCTCCAAGCTGACCATTGCGTCCCTCCAGTCCCGCTTCAAGACCGGGCAAGATCCATCTCTCCACAAGACATCATCACTTCCTCGACAAACTCAACCGCCCGCTTATACGCACTGCGAATACCACTGGTTAGCAGCCTGGCAAGTCGATCCAGACTGACAGCAAGTAGCACCACTCCATCCCTGCCCACCACATTGTCCCCACTTAGCCGCGCAGCTACCGCCTCCTCCATTACCAGGGTTAGTAGGAGTGGTAGTCGTACCCGGGTTCTCGGGGGTAGTTCCGCCACCGCCGCCGCCGTCGCTGCTGGCACCAACATTGATAGTACTGCTGCCACTGGAAAAGTATCCCTCGGTAGCAACAATCTGGTAGTTGTGAGTGCCGAGCGTGAGGCCGGACCTAGTCCAGGCGTCAAAGTGGTTCTTCATGTTGACACTACCGCCCGTGCGCTTCTGCTGGCGGACGGACCAGTACTGGTAAAAAGTGGCGGTGCCGTCGATGGAGGGCTGGTTGACGCGCTGGGTGCGGTAGATGTCGTAGACGCCGCCATCCGAGGTGACGGACCCGAGACGGGTGGCGCCCGTGCTGGGGTTGTAGGTGCCGAAGTTCTCGACGACGTAGTACTCGATGAGCGGGTTGCGCGTCCAGCCGTAGACGGCAAGGTACGAGTTTCCGTTGGGTGAGTAGGTGCCGGTGTAGTTGATGGTGCTATGCATGGAGGAGAAAGGGTTAGTTGAGACAAGCTACCATGAGAATGAAGTGAGAAAGGAGAGTGAGGCATACCGATCAGTACCGGGCATCCAACCCTTTCCACCGACCCAGTTGCCGTTGCCAGACCATGTGGCAGTGTACTGGCCACCAGCCTCGTTGGTGTACCGGACGCTGCCCTGGCCGTCGGTCCAGAAGGAAAAGTAGTAGCCGTTGTGAGTACCAGTGGCTGAAGAGGTGTAGGTCTGACGCTTGAAGAGGCTGCCCTGACCGGGGAGCTCACCAGGGAGGGCGAAGACTCCAGAGATGACCGTCGAGGCGGCGAGGAGGATGGAGGAAAAAGCAACCATTTCGATGCCTTTGACCTTAGACTGGTTGGAAGTGCTGAGGATAAGGACAAGAAATTCGAGTGATGGCCTCAGGAGGTTACCCAGGGGTTATATACCTTTCGTCACCGCTGTTCAGTCCAAGGATATGATAGATCGCCCCATGGGGAGTCCACGGTAAAAGCTTCCGTTCTATCGATACAGTCGCATTGTTTCCTGGAAATGAGGGACGTTTGAAGATTCGTGCCCCTTGGTCTTGGCTGGCTTGGCTGAGGTTTGGTGGTGTGGCGTTGCAACCCTGTTCTTGCATTTCCATGGGGAAGCCGATTTTAGCACACTGCAATGTAACCATTCCAAGACCTCGACGCGTTATACGATCTTTCTTTGATCGAGTTACGCTTGGATTCTTGACATTGGGTGATCGGAGCAGTCGAGGTCGCCAAGTTCCCTTTTTGCGGAGTGGTGGACTCCACGTCTTGCTAGGTGCTAGCCTAACAGGTTCAACCATCAGCATCTCCCAGTTCGTTACCTCTTCATTTCTCGGCATGCGGGGATGTTAGCCGATAGGTCTCTGTTGACATCGTCTTCCTTTTTACCCCATAGGTGGACTAGCAGAATCTGGGGTTGCCAAGCTCGAAGCTAGATCCGGTTAGAGTTTCCCTCGTGGCCGCGATGACCCTATGCCCAACGAGTTTTGGTATGTCCTGATGTGTTACGGCCGAACATGATCTTCAACTCAACGAAAACACTCTCCAAGCGGTGGTTTTGCGCCTTTTCAGTCCTCGCCCTCTGGAAGCGTAATCTCTGAGACCATGAGCCCTGGGAATATTGTTTCTTTTCCTTGACCAAATACCCGGTTACCTACCTCATCAGCCCTGCCCAAAGTGAAGACAGAACAGCAATCATCGGCGTCGTCAACCAAGCTAGAGCCTCCAAGCACCAGTGTAGTATCACCTACCACCCCCCAGCACCGGTTGAATTGCGGGGATGCTCCAGCTTCAGGAAAGACAGCACTACAAATGCCGATTAACCTGGCGGCTAAATAGCTGTCAATGCGACTCAAGGACTGTTCTTGGACCCCTTTTACAGCTTCTGTTTCTTTAGGAAGGGTTCTTGGCAGGGCGGTCCTAGTCACAGCGGTAGGGGATCTTACAGGGACCGGTTGAGCTTGTGACGTGCTGAAGTGGCCGAAAAAGGAAATTCACGGTGGACAAAGACCGAAAACTTCTGGAATGGGACAGTAGGATGTCCTTTTGGTCGTCTTTTGGTTTCGAATGCTATTGGGCGCTCGATGACAGGAAGATGAAGGGCAATGATCATGAAGTCCAGAACAATCATCGACCCACCTGAAGTACACAACTTGAAGTTGGAGGCCAAAGCGGACCGGACTGGAATCTGACGGACTGACTGGGGCCTGGGCCTGGAGGTCCGGTTTGAGGAAGGAGCACTGCACAATGGAGAGAAGGAACGATCTCCGTGATGGATCATGTGCCTGGGATGCGTGTTCTCAGTCGCTCAACATGAGCGCAGGACCCTTTCTCTAGAATCTGAGCTCTTCCTGTCGGGTAAATTGGTCTTGGGTAGCATTTGACACCAGTTCCACGAGAATGTCGAACAAAGAACCGTCCTCAATCTTTAGAAGTTGTGAGTGCTGAGCAAGAAACGGAACATGAGGTTGAGAGCACCTGCTATCTTGGCGTTGACCCAACATCTCATTTGCTCGCAAGCTTGTCTCGAAAGGAAAGAGCAAAGGCAAAGTTCCGATTGTAGGCGCCCCTATCTCGGGTAGGTGCATCAAATCCTTCCCTTCATCATCGCTGTTGCCGCCACTCAGTACTGGTCCAGGCTCCCATCATCTCATGAAACCGCCACCAACTTCCTCCTCAAGTTGTCGTCAAAGCTTGCCATCGTCAAATCCTGCCATCTTTCCCTCACAACATTGCCTTCCCACTCTTCCCATCCAACTCCACCACATTCTTCCCCTTCCCCCCATCATCGTTTCTCTGCAATTCTTTGACAATACAAGGCCACCGCTTGTAGGGCCGTGTTCGTTACAGCGGTATAAAGTTAGGAAATATCCAGATTTGCAGGGTTCGGAACGCAGTAAGTTTACTGCCCTACTGCGCTCGTATAGCGTTCGTTAAATAATCTTTATTTTTATGCAAATCGCTACAACCACCTACAACCACCTACACTTTCTCCAAATCGTCGATTTGACCAATCAGAAGGCTAGAATCTTCTCATTTCTTAACCGTTCTGCTTACTGCTATACCGCTCGATTTTGAGCGGTACAGCGGTAAGAAACGCAGTAAGAAGTATCTATAGCGCTTTACCCCTTATAAATATAGGGGGTCGCTATTGTAAAGAAAAAAAAAATTTTGCTAGAAGATAAAAAATGAGGCTATTCCCTATTGAAAACTACTATTTGGACTATATAGTATTTTCTATAGTATAAATACTGTGAATGATGGGAAAGATGAGAAGGGAAGAATTAAAAAGATAACTACGGGAGGGAGCTATTGGTTATATATACCGAATATAGCTCAGTAAGAGTTGGTAGTCTTGGCGTGCCTTAAAGCTGCCTTAATGTTGCAGGAGTGCAGTTGCAGAGTCTGCACGGTAATGCAAAGGTTAAGGCCAAAACCTTAACGCGGTAACGAACACGGCCTAGGTATCTCCCTCAGCATCAAATCCCAACAGCCACTCTTCCCTCAGCAGCCAAAGCTTCTCTGGAACCTTCCAGACTCCTTCCGGTCCATTCCAGTCCGCTTTATGCCATCTCTCTCGTGTCTTTGGTCCCATGGCTTGGGCTTTGTGCACCCTTTTGTACCTCAGTTTCTCGTAAGCTTTGAGGGCTGTGGGAACCACCTGCTCCTTTGACATGTCCCACCTTTTGTTGCTTTGGCAGGCAAGTTCCAAGCACGTAGCTATCACAGTTCCGTCCTCGATGCTTTGACTCGCGCCCTGAATGGACGTCGGCAGAAATGGGTGCGCCGCGTCTCCTATGAGCGCAACCCTCCCCTTGGAACTGACGAAAGTCGGCAACGGCTCGCGGTAGACAAGCTTGTAGTCGATCAATCTTCCCGGCGGCGTAGCTTTGACCAGTTCCCTCACCACAGAACACCATCCCTCAAGGTAAGCCAAAGCCTCCTCCGGCTTTCCTGGAAACTGCCACGACTCTTCAATGTTGCCGTCGTCGATGTGGGTAAACACCTAGTTGATCTCGCTGCCGCCCTTGAGGCTAGAAACCAGAAAGTGAATATCCGGCCCAATATACCCCTCATGTTGATCTCCATGCTCCACCAGATGTTTCGTAATAGGATTCTTCGCAATGACAGGTTCAGAAGGGAACCATGGAAGCTCTGTAAACCGCATACCCCGAGCTCTTGGGCTGCTCATCCTCCTCCTCCAGTCCCAGTACCAACTTCCTCCCTCTCGACCGAACCCCCTCGGCAGCCAACACAGCATCACCCATGACTTTCTCCATCTTCCCATCCGGCCCTTTAATCACCACCCCTGCATGCGGCCCCTTTTTCTCATCACCATCACTCTCAAAATACTCCACAACCCTCACCCCCAACCTCACCTCCACTTCCTCCTTCCTCGTCTTCACAAACTCATACACCAACCGATGCAATTCACCTCTATGTCCATTTATTCTCCTCCCCCACCTGTTTTCCTCTGCAAAACTCTGTCTGGTCAAAAACTCCCCCTGGTAATGGAACAAATCCAACCATTCCGTTTGTCGAGAAATTTCTTCCATTCTTTCTGCCACCGACGACGTATCTGGAAATACCCACTTCTCAAAGGCGCGCGACCCGTTGGGATCAAAGGAAATAATGTCTCCGTAGCGGGTGATTTCGTCAATAGAAGAGACTTTTTCAAAGAGCGTCACGCGGTGACCCTTGCGAGTGCATTCGATGGCGGCGGAGAGACCGGCGAAGCCGGCGCCTACTATTAGGATGTGGAGACCGGAGGGTTGGGAAGTTGTCATTGTGATTTGTGTTGTGGGAGATGTGCTGGACTGAGATGAAGGTTATTGCGAGGGTTGAAGACTGGCTGAAGATTTGGCGGTGGTAGGGCTATTGTGTGGTTGTCGTGGTTGCGTGAGTAGGGTAGTAAGTGCACCGGATGAAAGTTGGGAGGAAAGGGATCGGATGATTATCGGCCGGCTATTCTTTTGGACACCGATTTCAGGAAGCTGGCCATGTCGGCGCAAAATGAAAGGCATTTGTGGTGGCTAGAGGTAAAGCGTACAGATGTACGAGGTAAAGATTATCAAATGGTATACAGGCTGAAGTGCCGACCCCGCTTCGTGAGGTGCGATATGGGTGATGTTGGTTGCGACTATGCGATCAGAAAAGCATTGAGTATTTGTGGATTGGTCCACTAGATGTTTGACATTCCTTTCGGTGCATAGTCAGTTGGTCGATGTCCAAATTCGACGATGAAAGTCCTGCGGGGAATTACAGCGGAAGGAGCATTATACATTGTTCTCGGAGCCAGCGAGATACGCGATGTCGACCTGATATGCTCAACGGTTGCAATTCGCTGTTCCTACCGTACCCTCACGTGTCCCAAGCGAGCTGGCGATACAAAACCGTTGGCGTAGCCTATAGCTAGGCCTACCGATGCAACAACTTTGGAGCAAATGATGTATGTAGTGTAAGGGCGTGCTCGATTCGGCTGCAGTGTAGTATTGAAACCTTCCTCTTTTTCTTTTTCTTTTTTTTCTTTCCTGGTGGTAGAAAGGCTTTGGGTTAGGGTTAGAAGACCTTCCTTTACTGCACTACACAGTAGAGCTACACTACAGCCGGAACAAATACAGCATAAGCAGGAATCCAAGAGACCTTCGGAAATATCGGGCTCTGCCGGCGACGTCAAAGGAACCTAACCTAATGGAAGCAGACGCTGATCAGAAGTGAAACATAGGTAGGCACGTAGGTACCTAGGTAAAATGTAGCCATGCTTTGATCGACACAGCGGACGGGTGCTTCCGTGCCATAGATATGGACAGCGATTCCATACATAGTACAGGCGACGACGATCAGCTTTTCCAGATTTGGCAACGAGCTGCTCGGCTCCTTAGGACAAATGTCTTTATGACAACAGCTATAACTATATAGCTTGCAATTTGCAAGGTAACGATTGTGAATGGCTGAAGAGAGTGCCGAGTATAAATGAGATGGACGTCCCCGCACCCGGTAATATCCAGTTGCTACTGGCAAACTGGCAAAAATGTTATGAGCCCGGCAGTTTGGCTACTCGTCCAAGATGCTGGGTATATAATGGAGCGGGATGCTGGGGGAGAGCACTGGTGGTTTCGCTTGAAACACTCCTGAGGCGAAGCTTTCCCATCTTCGTTCCTCAACAGCTTGTAAAGTGACTAAACCACCGGTATCATTATGCACCTCATCCTTACCCTTCTCTCCCTCATCCCCTTGGCCCTTGGGGCACCCACGGCTCGCGCAGCCACCTGCGATCGCGACTTCCTCAAAGCCCAGGCTGCTTCCTACGTCGCCGCCCAAAAGGCCGGATCCCCCTCTCTCCTAACTAACTCCTCATCCTCCGAATCAACCATCAGCTACACCCAAAACTTCAAGACCGCCACTCTCTCCACTGGCATCCTTTCCACCCCTTTACGCATCGACCACAACCGCAGCATCTACGACACCACCCAATGCGCCACCTACACCGAACTCATCAGCACCGAACCCAACAAACAACACGTCATCGGCACACAACTCCGCTTCTCTCCCGAGACCTTGACCCTCTCCAAAATCGAAACCATCGTCACCTCCAAAGGCGACTGGCTCTTTGACCCGTCTTCCACACTCAAGTACTCCTCCCAAGAATCATCCCAAGGGCTGTGGGACGAGATCCCCCTCGCCAAGCGGGACACGCGCGCGGTAATCCAAGCGGCTGGCGACGCGTATTTGGACCTGTTCAACAACAAGAGCGTCAAAGTGCCGTGGGGAACACCGTGCGCAAGACTAGAAGGCGGGAGTTATATCCAGCCGAGCTGTAATGTGGGCGTGCCGAGCGGGATCAGGAATGTGAATAGACGGTATGTGGTGGATGAGGTGGTGGGAACGGTGGATGTGTTTTTTGAGTTTGCGGGGATGCAGCCGGATAGTCATGAGTTTAGGGTGGAGGGGGGGAAGTTGAGGTTGGTACATACTATGACTGTTATGAAGTAGGTGGTGGTGGTGACTTGGTGGTTGGTGGCTTGGTGTTTGGTGTAGTTAGATGAGTTGGCAGGACACCGAAGGTAGGGAGTTGACTTGGACAGGGCAGAAAATCGGACGAAATCGATAACTGGGTGTAACCTGGCAAAGCTCGAGATAGCGATTTACGAATGATCAGAAAAAGTTGTGGTGATCGGAAAGGATTGGAACCTGGTAGATGTGTTGTCGCATTGTTGGCTGGCGCACGGTCGACAATAAACATAAAGTCACCACGATGCCACTTGGCGGGTTAGTGGAAGCGCAAACGAGAGCGTGGCATCGCGGAGGATGCCGTTGGTGTTGCATTGGGCATGACCGCTCGGCTAAAACAAGCAGCCAAGATGGTTCGATTGTTGTGGTGAATACGAGGAAATTTGGGAATAGCTTCATGTTTGGGGATTCGTGGCAAATGGGAAAGAGGTGGAAACACGCTGAAGAAACCATCAGCTTTGTAGTCCAGTCGGATTGCGCGACAAGAAAAAGAATCGAGGAACTAGCGAATCACTAGCCCAGATGGGCTGAGCTAATGCAGCGGCACCCAGCAGCACCACATCCGAAGAGCGGAGCATGATTACACTGCAAGAGGAAGTGGAAGGTAGAATGTGACGTCATGGTGATATGCCCCACCTTCCAGCATGGGGGAGCACTGGGTGCAGTGGGAGCTGACCCCCAAAAGAGAGCAGCAAGAGCTGAAGAGCAGCAGCTGCTACACTACACTAAAACTGGACATCGCCGATTGCAAGGGCAAGAGCCCGGACCGGTCACCGGGGCCCCTTCGTGGATTTGATTTGTCTTTTGTTTTCTGCTCTTCCCAATTTCTTATCAGATGACGGGATGGAAGCACTCCCGCGGCGCCCCAAACAGACCACTGCTCGAGCACAACTCTACTAACAGACTGGGAGACCCATGGGTTAGGTCATGATCCCGACCCAGCATTTTTCTGGTTTCATCCGTCTCAGCTTTTCCTTTGGCAAACGTTGCTCGTTTTTGGAAGCCAACAAAATCGAGTCAGGACTACCACAAAAGTGCCAATGATGCCTTGAACCATTGGAAAAGCCCGAGGATCGACCACACTCCTAGTGTAATGTAGATTCGGCTAATCCAAATGTGTCAGCAGAGGACTGGGAGGTTCCATGCAGCCAACGTCCCGATGGCATTTGGACCGATCGAGCTTTGGCATAATGAGGCCGACAAAACCGAGTCTAGAAGGGTCCATCTGTCGGTTGTACAAGGTACCAGCAGTATGGAAACGATGGGCTATTTATCAGACCGTTGCGCCACATACCACACCACAGTGACCACACAGTGATTGTTGACAATCAAACCAAGGACCAAACCGAGGAGCTGTCAATGACCATCACACACTGAAATAGTGTAAATCCGGGCAATGTGTGTTCGGGCCCCTGATGATCCCTTCTCCGGCGCTCCGCTGATGCCGGTCTCTTTCTGCGCTTATTTTGCCACGATGTAACAGCTGGTACTGTATCGTCCTTGTATAATACCATTTTCTGTACTACATTTTGCGGCATCAGTCACCCACTCATCCGGTAATCGTGCGTCACAGTTACCGACTTTCAAGTTTACCATGCCATCGGTACCAGCAGCCGTTGCGCCCGTGACAACGAGTGGAAAAATGGCAATCAGCGGGGGATCATCACGGTAGCAGTCAAGCACTGACCATTCATCGCTCGCGCTCAGTCCCGCAATCAACGTTCATCGAGATCTCTTTTTTTTTTCCCTTCCCATTTCGCCCTTTCACGAGTTCCAGTCGCCGGTCTGTCTGCTGCCCTTGGGCTACCTCAACAATATCGAGTGTCCCTTTCCCACACCTGCCTGACCTCTTTAACATGCCACAAGCGTCACAAATGACCACCAGTCTGTCGTTTTCCCGCTTCCCTTTTCCGACATTTCTCCTTCGCTCCGTCCCGAACCAGGTCCAGTCCTCTTCTTTTGGACAACATCCTGTCTTCCGAGGCCTGGCCCACCCTCAAACTCTATACTTTATTTGCCCCCCTCAGCCACTATTGGCCAGCCCCACCTGTCAATAGTCTGTCTGCGCTTAGCTGTACCTACGTACGGTACCTCACCCGGAGCGCAGCAGAAAAGCCGACTACGGTTAGGTTAATAGACCGTGACCGCCCGACATCCGGCTACTGCACAAATCAGCTCATCTCGTTTCGAAGTTCCTGATTGCTTCCGGCAAAAAGAAAGGCACTTGTCTTGGATTTCAAGCTCGGCGCATCAAACTAACCTCCCTCTAACGGCCGACACTGCCGACGCTGCCGACGCTGCCACCGCCAAAACCACGGCCAACATGGCAAATAGTCTGCTGAACATGGTCATTGATGGACCGAAGGATGGGAAAGATGAAGAATCCCATCCATATCCTGACTCCTCCTCCAAGTCTCACGGAGCTGTCTCCGCCCCCGGACCCGACAATTCGGACTGTCTTCAGGCCATGACTCAGCAGGAACACGACCACTTCAACGACAACGACTCCCACATCTCGGCTTCCGCTTCAACTCCCTCCACCCAGGCCATGGAGGAAGACCACGCCTGGAGTGTTGCGACCAGGACAATAACACAATCGTCCATCGATGACACCGTCACCCTCCAACACCATGTCCCGCCTACCCATCCCTTTGCGGCTCCCGACATGAGCCTCATCTTCGACTTCTCTCCCGTCCCATTACTCCTGCTGTCCTCGTCGTGCTGCATTACCCGGGTCTCAAAACGCTTCTTGCAAGACTGGCACGTCACCGAAGAGGACTGCATCGGCAAGTTCCTCCTGCCCTTTCTCGAAAGCCAGATCCGCGAAACTGGCGCCAGCAAATCAAAACTCATTGCCGAAGCCGTCGATGATGCCGTCGCCTCTCGATCCGAGCGCACATCCAAGGCCATCACTGTCAAGAGCGCCTTCACCTGTCGCGCCCGCGTGATCCCCATCTTTCGAGATGCCGAGCTGGTCTCCATCTACCTCGAATGGCACGAGCGTCCATCCTCCGAGGTCCTCGACAACGAGCAGGTCCAACCGGGCCTATCCACTGATGAAGCCTTTCGCATTCTCGTACAAGCCACCAAGGACTATGCCATCTTCCTCCTCGATACAAAAGGTCACATTGCGACATGGAATACTGGCGCGCAATTGCTCAAGGGCTATACTCGGGAGGAGATCATAGGCAAACACTTTTCCATTTTCTACGGCAAAGAAGATTTGGACATCAAGAAGCCAGACATGGAACTCGACATCTGTCTTCGCGAGGGCCGTGTCGAAGACGAAGGCTGGCGCTACAAGAAGGACGGAACGCGCTTCTGGGCCAACGTCGTCATCACGGCCGTCTACAAGAATGGCGTCCACGTCGGCTTTGGCAAGGTCACGCGCGACTTGACGGAGCGTAAGGCGTCCGAGTCTCGCCTGATTGCCGCCTACGAGGAAAGCGAGAAGCTCAAATCCGACTTCCTCGCCAACATGAGCCACGAGATCCGTACCCCCATGCACGGCATGCTTTCGGCTTGCGCGTTGCTTCTCGACTCGCCTCTTACGGAGAGGCAGCGAGATATTGTCAACATCATGGATGAGTCGGGTCAGATATTGTTGCAGGTCATCAACGACATTCTCGACTATTCCAAACTAGCATCGGGCAGTTTCTCAGTCAGTTCCGATGTAGTTGGTGTCGCCAGCATCATCACGTCAGTGGTTCGCGCTGTCCAGACGACGTTACCGCCAGCAGTCCACTTTGAGCTCTTCCTCGCCCCTAACCTTCCAAAGTCCGTCCAAGGCGACCCCCTCCGTTACCGCCAAATCGTCCAAAACATCATTGGCAACGCAGCCAAGTTCACCGACAAAGGTAGCATCCGTGTCAAAGCTTCGGTCCACTCCGAGGACAGCGACAGCTACACCATTTTAACCGAAGTCATCGACACGGGTATCGGCATCCGCGAGTCCGCCTCCGCCTCGCTCTTCACCCCCTTCAGCCAATTCGACCTGACCACCACCAAGCGTTACAAGGGCACTGGTCTCGGCCTCTCCATTGCCAAATCCCTCGCCGAGCTCATGGGCGGCCGCATCGGCTACCGCCCCAACCCCGAACGTCACGGCTCCGTTTTCTGGTTCACCGCACGCTTCAAGAAGATTAAGAGCCTTGAACAGATCCAAGACTGGAAGCATCAGATGGCCGCTAAGGACGGTTCACCCATCTCGCCTGTTCAGCCTGACGTCACCGTTCTTCAACAACGACTCGCCTCGGTGGCCGGCACCAAGAACATCTTGCTCGTCGAAGACAACGTCATCAACCAAAAAGTCATGCTGGGCATGCTACGCTCTCTTGGCTTTAGGAGCATCGACCTGGCAGCCGATGGCGCCGCGGCCGTGAAGATGGTCACCGCGAAACCAGTGGGGTATGATATCGTGCTGATGGATATCAACATGCCTATCCTGGATGGAAACGAAGCCTCGCAGAGAATCCGTGACGCTGGGGTGAGGGTGCCTATTATTGCCATGACTGCTTACGCCCTCAAGGGCGACCGTGAAAAGTGCTTGGAATACGGCATGAACGACTATGTCCCCAAGCCTGTCGACAGGAAATTCCTAATCAAGGTCTTGGCCACCTGGATCCTCGAAAAGGTCGACTACCGCAAGGCATATGACGAACGGTTGCAGCAGTTGAAGGATTGTGATGAAAAGTTGCATCGGCTGAGCGTCAGTGAGGGCGTGTCCGCAGCTAGGAGGGAGAGTGTAGATGGGGAGTCGAAGCCCGGAATAGCGTTGCAAGGAGATGAGGGGGCTGTGAAGGGGTGGGCTTCCCCATTCAGGGAGGTAGAACAGAGGGAGGTAGAACAAGCACAGGCCTCTAATGCAGGCGTGATGCAGGGGACGTTTCACGAGCCGGCGTCGGTTAGGATTCCGAAGATGCTGGCGCAAAGGACGGAAAGGACCAAGGTGGGGCCACTACCGCTACCGAGTGGTGACCAGGGAGCGCCAGTGCTTAGTGATGCTCAGCAAGGAAAACAAGAGCTACCCAATGGTGGATTTGCCGAAGGCGAGGAGCTGAACCAACGTTCGCCGCCGGTCAGCGACGGGGAGATTAGTCCCAGAACTCCGGTGTAGTGGGCCGATCAAGGGTTGTCGGGGCAGGAGGAGGAGATGATGGAACAAACACATACATGACACACATCAAATGCATAGGGCAGGCGTCAGGCGAAGCGAGCGGGATTATTTGAAGGACATGGGGCTTCATTTGTTTGTGTATTTTCAGGGATGGCGTTCATTTGGGATCTACTGTTGAGTTTTCGGTTGTTACCTACAGGTCCCTAGTCTCGACGGTTGAACAAAGAAAGACAAGAAAGGAATCAAACAGCAACAGAAGGGGGCATGCGCAAGCTTAGGTGGTTGTGTTTGTACTGTTATTGTAGCATTGGTGGGTGAGACCAGAGCAAGCAAGAGAATGGCGTGCGTGAATGGTAAAGGCATGCGGCGGAGGATTTAATGAGCGGAAGTAGGTAGTGAGTGCATGATACCCGGATAATGAATTAAAGTCTTTCCCCGTCATTTTTTTCTGTTTCGGTTGTCTCAATGCGGTATGTTTGTCCTAGTTTCAAGTTTTAAAGTTTTCCGAACGGCATTTAGTTCATCCAGATTCCGAACTCCGGTCCGCTACACCTGACCCTTCTTCTGCCCTGGTTGCTCGGGGTGATGACTGTCGTTGATCTTTTCGCGACAACTGTGTGTGTGGTTTCGCTGCGTGGCGCAAATGTACTCGAGGACGGCGACAATGCTACCTACCTAGTATTCCTCACTTCCTAAGTCTTCACCGAAACTAGAGTCGTATACAGTGGAGTGTCATACAGACGAGTGTTGGGTAGAGGGATGCAGTATGTTCTTGCTGATGGATGGATATAATCCGTGATACCTACCGCTAGTGATCAACGTTGAGTGATGGGTTCAGTTTTTGATGATGATGATGATGAACCGTGACGAATTCCCTTTGGAAGAGTCCAGTCGTTAGGTAGCTTGACTGAGTGCCTAGGCTGAGCATCGACGAAACGAAGCTCTGTCAAAGGCGCGCTTGCCTTGCCTTGTCTAATGCCATATTCCGCGTATGCCTGGGACAACTGTGTAGTGAAAGTCGGGCAGGCGCGCTTCCAGTCCCTCGACGAGGCAAGCGCGTCGTCGGTGAGGACAGTTGTTAAAGCAGTGCAGCTGGCTGATAAAGGCAACGCTGAACTCTCCGAATCATCTTCACCACCCCATCATAACATCTCCTTTCACTTTTGTGGTTACTATATTTTCAGTTTTTCAGTCAGGCACCGTGATTTGTATTTTTAGAGCAACCTCGCCTGCTTCCCACCAAGCAAGGCACACCACCCAGTCCCTTGTATGTCGAGGTACCCAGCCACCACTAACCCCTCCCGTCCTCCATCCTAGGCCTCGTCAAGACAGCCAGAGGCGTTGATCACTTCTACTAGGAATACGTGCACCCCATTTCCCCTCATTCCCCCCCCCCCCCCTTCTCCCTCCCTCCCCAGTTATCTCCCCCTCAAAACCCCTGCCAAACGCCCATTTCTTTCAGTTCCCGCTATAAGAACACGCGTGGTCAGTAATCCATTTTACGGCAACCATATGAGAGTCCGTCGATGCAAGAAGGAGATGCGAGTAGAGGTAGGTAAGTAGAGGAAGGTACTTACAATCAACGCGAGGGCGCGAAGAATGGTCACGGCGTGGTGATCCTCTATACCCGCGACGCGCATCCACGCGCAAAGGAGCGAGAGGTACTCGTCCTTGGTGAGGACGTGGTGGTAGGCGTCCATGTTTTTTGTTTTTTTTTATCTCTCTAATATCTGCGTGTCAGTCTGCGACCAGGAAGGAATGGAACCAAGTTTACCTTTTTCGTCTACTTGGAGGAAAGTACGGTAGAGTAGGGTAGGGTATGGTAAGGACTTACTTGGTAGCTGAGATACGAGCGAGGTGGTGTAGTGTGGTGGTGGTGTGGGAGGGAGAGAAGCTTCTTGGATCTTGGTTGAGATCAAGTGTGGTGGTGAGGAAGTGACGAGAGGTAGTTGGGTGGTAGAAGAAGAGTGAGCGTTGCGGTTTGGTGAGAGAAGAAAAGAAGAAGAAAAAAAAAGGAAGGAAAGGAAGAGAAGGGAGAAGAGGAAGGAAGGCAGGAAGGAGGGTAGGTACGCGTGTTGCTACCTACTCGGGCGCGGGTAAGGGACACTGGACTGGAGAATCTTTCGACCGGTGGAGGGGTAAATCGACGAGTCAAGCAGCCTTGAGAGCTATTGACTCCGATGGTTGCCTGGTAACGAGAAGGATTTCATCCCGTCTCAAGTTAGTGTCTCGTGTATCAATATCGTTATTGAAGTCTGATGCTTCGTTCTCCCAAGATCCGCAAGTAACAGCGTGCTCGATTTAACCGCGCCATCACTCTCTCGCATTCCAACATGAACTTTATATGCCAGGCGTACGGAGGCAACTTGAATCTGTCCGAGTTCATATAGCTCTTGTCTATCTGTAAATTTCATAGTGTACTACCAAAGACGTGATATTGATCAGGGAATGTTGCGTGCCGTTGAGATCGGGCCTTAGCAGTCATCGCAAAACTACCTCTATTGTTACTTCTATTGTCGGCTTCTGAACATAGATGTGGGTAGCCGGGTCCAGTCCCCCCAGTCTGTGGAAAATCCCACATGCTTACCTCTAGGTACAGAGCCCGCGCTCCTATTGTCAACTGCCTTCTCATCCTGCTCGCCCTTCTCGCCATCCTGAGACAAGCTACAAGTCATCAACGACCAAGAGCTTCATTTCATACTCTCAACCTCACAAATCGGGCACTTTCCGGTCATCAAATCAAGTCAGTAACCAGTACCTTCAAAGGTTAGGTATCATGCCCACGAATCCCGAGCTCACGTAGTCTACCTAGGTACTTACGAGATTATCACGCTGACACCAACGTTACCTACACTTTCCACTCTAGACAAAAACGCCTTACTTCTTCGCAATCTTCACGCACGAAGCACCCAACGTTTCCGCGTTGAGCACAACCAACTGGAGGAACTTTCTGGGATGTCATCTTCATGCAACTTTTGGCAGCGCCAGAATCGGCGTCGAGGGCACTTTCATCTGTGTCGTGTACAGACACCACCAGTCTGGGACGTACAGCAGAACGTTGATCGAGAGGTGCGAAACCAACACGATCGAAGAGGCAGAGCCCGTTTATGTACCTCTAATGTTTGAAACGGAGGGTAGTGGGACCAAGATTACCTAGAGTCGATTCTGAAAGCAATGTAGAGATTAGTGTCTGCCTTTGAGAACAAAGTCTGAGAGTGTGCAGGCTCAGCAGGCTGAGCAGGCTGAGGAGGGCGAGGAGGATGAGGAGGGCGAGATGGAGGACGACGAGTATGTATACCCCGCCGAGTGCTTGAAAGGTCGGTACACACTCCATGTCCACATTCTAGTCACCTTGACTTCGGATATCCCATTGCATGTCTGATGGAAGGCTGACGAAATGGCCAGCAATGGTAACTTGTTGGGGCAAGAGATGTTGTTGCCTTTGGCTTTTATACATGCAGCATTGCGTTGGGTCATGCTGATATTGCAGGTGGCTTCTTCGCTCTATTCTCTCCCCTCCCTTTTTTTTTCTCTCTTGGATTATCCGTGTTGAAATTGCTAACGCTGAATACTACTGGGAGCTTGTGGTGGCGACATGGACGCAAACGCGGTTGGATGAGGGGTTTTACCTGCCTCAAAGCTTGTGGTCAATGAGTCAATGTCCTTAGAATACAGGAGGGGTCCTTTGAAGGGGGAGATACCTGGTCAAGTTTGGAACAGCAAGTACGGATTTAGGGGGGGGCGAAACATCTTTCATCCCCTGGGCTGAACTTGTTGTAAGAAAGAAAGTAAAAGGAGTTGGTAAGAACGAGACAACCAACGGAGGAGATACCAAAGGAAGGAAGTACGTCTAGAATCGTACAACTCAGGAAGTCACCCAGGCATGCATTTTCTTTGCCACCCGCACCGCTCCAATTCGCCCATGTATTCCGTGCCATATATTATTGTAAACAATTCTAAAAGCCGCTCGCTCGGGTATCCTAACAGTCGCTCGGGTATCTCAAGAAGCAAAGTCGCAGAGGCAACAACCCTTCCCAATAAATTTTTAGAACCTTTTTAACTCCCAGCAACAATACAAAACAACCTGCTCCCTTGTTCCACACAATTACCGCTCCTCCAGCTTTCCTCAAACTCCAAAACTCCGGACACTATTAACCCTTCAAAGTCCCATCCGTTCCAATCCTAGCCCCATCACGAAGGCACCCAATATGAACACGGACGCCGCTGCTTATCCCACTTCACCATCCCACACGTACGAATGTCGAAACCAGCGTTCCAAAAAGCTCGTTGTATGCGGGAAGCCAATCAAGTACTTCCTCGGCAATTCCGTCAATCCTTTCTATTCCATCACGTCCTTTTTAATCTTCTCAAATCGCGCCTCTGTTTAATCCTTGTTGGAAGCCCCTGTGTTGTTGTTAGGTGTCATTTAGATGACGTCTCTTGCTGCTACCGCAAGATGCAGACTCGAGCTCATCATCCTCTTCCTCGGAATCAAATAAACTGCCCCAAGACGAGCTAGAGTCCCTCCTCTTTCTCTTTGGGGTGGTGGTGGTGTTGCGGTTGTGGTTGTTGTTGTGGTTGTTGTCGTTCATGTTGTTGTGGTTGTTGTGGTTGTTGTTGTTGTTGTTGTTGTTCTTGTCAGGCCTTATTGGCGGCTTAAACTCGTCCGAGTTCACCTGCACCATATCCATGAGACAGTCTAGGACGTACTTTGACCGATCGAGGCGTGTTCGCTTGTACTTGTAGAGCGCGGCGGTGATGGCCGGCTTGGACTTGTACTCCCAGGTATTATCGTATATGTTGAGGATTTCGTCGAATAGCGTTTGGTCACAGAGCTCTGGCTCTTCTTCTTCGGGTCGCTGGGGAGTGTTGGGTGTAGAGGTGTATGTAGAGGTTAGTGAAGTGGGGGTTGGGTAGTCCTCCTGTTCGTACTCCTGCGCTTCGTAGTCGTCGTTCTCGTGGTCCCCCTCTTCGTTGTCTTGCTGTTCGCAGTTCTCCTCTTCGCACTCCTCCTGTCCGTACTCCTGCTCCTCCTCCTGCTCCTCCTCCTCCTCTTTCATCAACTCTGAAAGAAGACGTAGGTCTTTATCGGGTTTATCGATCATGCGACGAACAGCATATCCCTGCGGGCCGTTCTGTGGCCGAGGATGGTAAAGAGCAGCCGGATATGCCTTTGGGTCAACTACGTTGACAAAGCAGCGAGAAGCATCATTTTTTAGCCGACGCTCTGGATGAGAACGCGCTGGGGCTTTGTTATGGTGTCCTACTCCCTTGGCAGAACTATAAGGAGCTGAAGCTGGTGTATATGACGGCGGAGGAGAGCGTGTCCGGTATACAGGGCAATTGACCGAGCGACCCATGTCGTACTTTAACTCCTCCAGCTGCTGTGTCGATTGCGAGGTCAAGATGTTGTTGAAGTTGGAAGAAGCGTGATTGCCTATATCGTAATAATTAGAGGTAAGATCAACATGGTTGGGTTTGTCGACGAAGTCCCAACCCGGTTGTTGAGGCTGTGCCCAAGTCTGAAACTGATTCAGGCCGAGTGATGGTGCTGAGCAAACCGCAGGTCTCTGCTGAGGCACTATCGGTACGGGAGGAATCTGTTGCCACTGTTGCTGCTGTCGCCACTGTTTCTGCTGTTGCCACTGTTGCTGCTGGTGCTGCTGATACCGCTGTTGAAGGCGAAACTGATTCAGTTGGGCATGATTGACCCAAGGACCTTTAGGACGGACCTTGGAATTCAGAATAACGGTCTGGCCGTTGGTGTAGTATTCCCCTGTCTGCCATGCTTTCTCGCCGACTGCCTGAATTTCCGCTAGATATCTTTGTTGAAATTTGCAGGCGGGATTGCAATGGAGGTCGCCGTTGGAATGGGGGTGCACATTGTATTGCGGTTCTTGGCCGTGATATGTTTCATGCATCACGGCGAACGTCTGGTCGTTTGGCAGTGTTGATAGAGTACCGGTGGCCGTTTGGCGTATTGCAGGAGTGAGATACCCCATGGTTGAGAATTTGGTGATAAAAAAGTGGAACCGATGTTGAGACAGAATCGACTGGAGGTTCTAGGTGCTTTGGATGATGGAGGAAGAGAGGGATATCGAAAGATGGGCAAGTATCTGTGGTTATATACTTGACCTGGAGAGGAAAAAAGATGTTCGATACGTGTCCTTCCGAAGAAATTTTGACGCTTTATGCACTGCGTGAGTCTTCAAGCATCTCGTCGAGAAAGTCCTGGATTGTATCACCATTCGGGCCTTGGACATGCCCGTTTGGAGGGAAAGAGTAAGATAACACAGAGGTACATGCACTGCCAGGTTGTAGAGATAAATCTCGGAGGAACGTCGGTAGACTTGATACACTTTCGCAGGCACTCGGTTGTATGACCTTGGTCCGTTCTATCCGTTCACCGCTAACCCTCATCATGTTGGTCGATTGCCAGAGATGCATTAGGCTCAAAAGTATCCCACAAGTAGATGAGCCTTCGACCTCTCGGGCAGGAAAAGACCGAGTGGGGCCTCATGCGTTGCAATAAGCACGAGGTGGCCACACATTCTAGAAAGGACCACTTACGCGGGGTTATGCATTGCTTCATGCCCGGTATATCCAGTCTTTACCTCTGCATGTAACCTGATTCATGCACGTGGAAGTGTCCTTTTGAGAGGGGTGACACATCCTCTCAGGTATCCATTCCTACATTGACTCCTGACTTATATCTTCCTGGATTCCAGATCCTTCCTTCTGACAAGCACCTTGCTCCGAATCGGTCATCATTTTCTGTTCCTTCTCTGTTCCGCTTTCCTGTGTCGAGCCCTCGAATATCCTCCGTCACCAAATTCAACGTTTTTAGCTTGAAAAGATCAAGTCTCTCAGGTTCCGTTTCACCTCGCCACTTCCTCAAGGCTCGTCCACGCCCTGGTCGTTTTCATCATCCCTGACAGCGGGAGATGGGGTCTGGTTCCATGTCACCGTCCCGGAACTTTTGACTGTAATCGTCATGGACCCTCGCACCTCCTTCGTACATCTGGTTACAGTACCGCCCGCGGCCTCGAATTCGATCGTGGAAGAGTCATGGATCTTGAGATCCATTTTGTTACCATTTCCTTGCCTGGTGCTGACTGTGACCAGGGCATGATCATTGGTGACAATCTTGATGGTCGCTGTCGGCTGCGTGTGAATATCGATCGTGATGGGGGAACCGTCACCCCAGCTCAGGCTGAAAGTCTTGGGAGGGACACCGGTGGTTGTTGTGCCAGGCGTATTGGCGTCACCCACGTTCAGGTTGTCAGGCTGGCCGTAAATGGTCATGGCGCGGCGGATGTGGTACAGACTCTTGAGGAAACTCAAAGCCTCCTCACCAGAGGTCGGTGGTCCTTTCGCTTTCTCTTGCTCACACCCGTGGAGGTAGTAGGTAGCCCACACATCCCCTGTGATCTCCTCATACTCTCTGCACTGGGCTATGGTGCTTTCGAGGTTCTCATTCCACCCTGAGGCTGCTACGGTCACGTCGTTCTGGCTGACTGCACTTGGACACGCTGGTTGCGCGTCGATCGGCTTCGGGTCAGACATGGCTGAGGTGATGGTAAGGTGTGACTCGAGGTTGAGGCAGAATGTTGCGGGGAGGACGGACGGCCGTTATATGTAGAGGTGTGTGGCTGATGGAGAAATCGTGGTAGGGTCGATCGAGGACTAGACAGCAGGTCTGGAGTCTTCAAGCTTGGACTGTCTCGGCAGGACAAAAGAGGTCACAGGATGTTGCTAATACGTTCAGGATGAAGACGAAGCTACCTTTACGCACGATCGCGGGGCAAGGCTGCAGGTAGGTGGTGCTAGAAAGTGGGCCCAGCCTGGCAGGCAGACGGCTGGCCGACTGAGCATGCGATCAACTCTGTCGAATTATGGAGGAGACCAAGGCTGTATGCAGGAATCGTTTCACGGCCATTTTGTCACAACAAGCAATCACGTCTTCAGTCCTTGAAGTCGAGCTCCCAAGGAGGATGGCTTTCGGACAACATATCAGCAGGCTCTCGATCAGCAAAAGGAGAAGCTGGCCAAAATCTGGTCCTGCTGCTTTAGGGAACACACCTGAAAGAATGCAGGGTTGCGAAGATATGCGTTTGGGTAAAATACGTACCTCTACCGCACACGTTTGGGAAGAGAACGGCACACATATCACCGGGAATACCACGGGGAGCATCCTTTCAATGTCCTTAACCTGCACTGCATTTCTTGTCTCCTTCTTCAACAGTCCCAAGCCCATGCGGACCTCTAGACTTGTAGAGTCCAGAGGTACGCATCGTGCTAATGTCGGTGTCAGCATGGCAGAGAGACTGAACCATCCAACCACCCGAGACATCACCACGCCCAATACCCGTGGAGGACACAGGTTGACGCGCATGGCCGAGGCCATGGGCTCGGATTCCAACGACGATATGGATTGGGAACCCTCTCCGTCAGTGCACCAGCAGCAGAGGAAGAGACACCGTTCGGAGCCCGCTTATTCGATCCAACCCAAGCCAAATGGTTCAGTTCATTTCGATGTTCTAGCTCCTATCGCTAGTCGTATATTGATATTTTCCCGTCACCCGTTACCTTCTTTACCTTCTGACGATACAAATTGAGGACCGGAAAGCTCTTTGCTGTATGTTGTCAAAACCGGATGAAATGCAAATGTCGTTCAGCGACGAGCTGCCATTCAGCTGGCACTGCGAACGCTGGTTGGAGCTGTCCAACTTTTCCGGTTCTCGCGGCTTCTGCGGGCGTGAAGCATTGCTGAATTCGGGCACGCAAAGTTCTGTGATTTGAGACTGAACGAGACAAAAAGAGAACGCCATATGTCGGATTTGAGAACACTTGTGTCGAGGCGAAAATGGAAGATGGATAAGAAAAGAAAGATGGCAAGCAATCATGATCAGTTGGTCGTGTGGAGAGTGTGATGACTCTGGACAGGAAGAGAAGACATTAAGTCAGTAGGGGACGCAAAAGGGAAATCGAAGGCGCGCAGAAGGAATTGCCCGGCAGTGTCCATTCAAGGGTACAATGCCCCGCTTGGTGAATGGATTGTGGAAAAAGCAAGAAGTTAGCAATGAAGGTTGTGGTTCAGCGCTCTTTCCTTTGGTAGCGCGTTTGCGGGGAAAAGAAGGTCCGCGTCGGTTTTTGTCGGCAAGATTTCACAAAGACATGTACGAATGGAAGGCACAATACGGGAAAGAATCATCTCGGGGGAAGAGTGTTCTGCTTCGCTACTTTGAAGAAGACTTGATGCTAGAGGTACTTTCACTTTCCATTTCCTGGCTTCATTTTCCCAAGATCGCATTCAGCCATATTGATTCCTTGGACAATGGCCGTCAAGTCATTTCTACTTCCCGTGGTCCCTTCTCCATTTGTTGCTCGTTTTGAGGTGCGATCTGCTGCTCCGATACCTGCCTGTTGGATGGTCAGAGAGATGGTCCAGCCTCGAGTGTTGTGTCTTGTGGGATTGCCGAGCACTCACCAGGTAAAGCTTCGGTACTCCTCCGAGTGAACAGGACCTCTGGCCTAGGCCAATCCGTTCTGGATCGCCACGTTGGGGTTGTAGTTGGGGTTGGGGATGGGATTGCCCCTCTTCTGGACAACAACAGTGATGGTGACAGGGCCATCACCGTGGAGGTTGAGTGCAGAGACAACACCATTCTCCACGACCTGGATGCAGTAGTGTCCCATGACGTGGCTCGAGGCGGTGGTGGTCTCGTTGGCTTGGCAATAAACAATCTGGCCTCCCTGTTCGGCAGGTCTGGCTTGGACCGCCTGAGGATAGACGATCTGGCCTCCAAGAGCTCTGGCCTCGTGCTCAGCTTCCTAGCGACGAAGCTGGTTGACCGCCCTACTGACGTCTTGGATATTGGGGGCCGGCAGCTCCCTGATCAGCTTGAGGATGCTGGACGAAAAGTATTCGCTGAACAGTCCGCCCAGATCGTCTCCGTTTCCGAACCAGCCGAGGCGATTGTCCTCCACGTGCTCCTTGTACTTGACGGCGAGTCTCTTGAGGGCCTCTGACATTTTGACGTCTTTGTCAGAAGAGCCGGGGTAAGCGAAGTTGTCCTGGAGGAAGTGGACAAATTTGGCGATGGCCACGATTTGCTCCCTCTGCACCATGTCCTCTCCCGGATTGTTCTGCTGGTACTGTTCCATCTTTTCTTGTGTCGTTGACTGGAGGGTGGAAGATAGTGCAGTGGTGGTGGTTGACCCTGAAGGAGAGAAAGATGATGTATGGTGAGAGTAGCGTCTCGGGCCAGGAATTTATACGCATTCTAGCCCGAGTCAAAGCTCGAAAAACCCCGTCTACGATATCTCCAACTAATGACCATTAACTCACAAGATTCTGTTCACATAAAGGTTGACGCAAAACGAAGTACCCATTGCCCTTTCGTCTGGTGCTGGGTACACCCTAGAACACCAGGGCTGTCGAGGGAAATTTCTCTTCACGTCCACTGCCAGGTTTTCTGTCTTGAGACGGAGAGCTAACGGCTCCAGAGGTCCAGTGAATAACCTGAGATGTACATTCCGTCAGCTTCGTGTCCAACGCAATGCCGAAAGGTTCCGCCAGGGGCACAGTGTCGCGAGCAGAGGGAATAGACCGGACCAGCAGGCAGGCGCGAACGGGCGGACATGAAATGGATTGGGCTTCTCTCCGCGGCCACAGAGTTCACTGCCTGGAGATCATGCCAGGGTCTGTTTGCCAATTCTTTTATCTTTCTGTTCGACTTTCGTGCAAAAGCTGCGGTTCTACAGGCGCCACCAGCTACGGTAACTTGGAAATAGTCTAGACGTTCCTTCTTTCTGTACAATCCCAACATTGATCTTCTACTTGCAAGCCCCTATAACTCCCCAGTGTTTGCCCAAACATTAGCTGCCAAGTTCCCCGTCGTGAAGAATGAAGGGTTCCTACTTCCTACTACATTGAAAATTCGACCAAGACAGAGTAGTCCAGGCTAACTGCTAACCCTCCGATTTGGCCTCGCTGGCAGTAGCATCCTCTTTCCTCTGGACGCTGACAGTAACCGTAGCAGGGCCCTTGCCGTTGAGAGTAAGGTAACTGAGCTCGGAAGTGGGAGTGTCCTCGGTGATACGAAGGGTGTAGGTACTGTTGGTCTCGAAGTTGAATACATTGGCCTTGACGTCTTGAGCGTAGTATGAAGGGAATCTTTGACGCAACGTAGAGGTAGTAATGGAGATGCCCATGAACATGCTCGCATTACGGTCCATCGACAAATCCCTCAACAGCCTCATCAAACTCTTGAATGTAAGGTCCTTGCCCTCTACAAGGGCAACGGGGGTGAAGTGCTTCATCGCCAGTGCCTTGAAGAAAATTGACAAATCGAGCGCCCAATCGTGGGGTGTAGTGTACCCTTTCTCGAGATACTGAACGAGGTCTTCCATCGCCTCGTCATCTGTCTTTGTTTTTTCCGCCATCTTGCCTGCCTGGTTGATCCTGGACAGAGTGCTGCTAGAGTCAGTGACTGAAGGGCTTGTCAAAATGGTCGAATACCTACATACCTCTAGCGACCTACAAGTTGACTACAGGTAGACGTACCTTGACTTGAATCTCAGGAAAATTGTGCAGGCTTATGTTCAAGCCATGGTTTGCTTCTGATCAAGACTGAGCTGCAAGACGATTTATAGGAAGATGATGAAGAGCGGAACAAAGGAGATACTGTAGCGAAGAACCATCAGGCTTCAAGCAAAATACATCTCTAACGTAGGACACTTACTTGGAAGCTTCCCGTCACTCCAGAGAGCCTGACGACAAGCTTCCTTTATCACCGGGTTCATTCACTCCCCATGGATAGAGCCTCAAGTAGCGTCAGTCAACCATACAACGCGTTATCACACGACATCTGGACCAAGAAATTGCAAACGCTGTGTCTTTATGTCTATCCTTTGCTACGAGAACATCTCCTCATGCTCTGGCCTTCCCAAAGCAGGTCGGGATCAGTCCACTTGGTAACGTTGTTTTGTTGAATAGCAGAGCTTTCCTAGAATGCACTCGTGCTACCAAAAGTTTTCCTCAACATTCTTTCCTTGCCTTTGCGATTGAACGAGACTTTCAAGACCGAACCATCCACAAGTCCAAAACCCACGCGCCCCTTCTATGAGATTTCAGAGGAAGGCTCTCCCACCGCACTGATGTGTTTAAGTCGTTTCGAACCCGATACCATTCCCCAGCGTGTCCGCCCAGCTGAGTCTCCAACGGCAACGAGGACAGGAAAGGGAATGGCGCCCATAGAACCAATAATCTGACGCGAAAAGGGATCGATCTATGAAACCGAAGCGAAAAGAAAATTAGTCAAGACCCTAGTAGACATGGAATTTGTCGAGCAGAAAAGAAAATGGTGACTTGAGGAAGAGGGTGCTTGCGCCCCTGTCCGATTAAATGGAAACTTTAAGAACACTCACCGGTTGTTCCTTCCCAGGTTGAAGGATAGTCCACGCCCACTATCTAGGCTGCTTCTTCCTTCTCGGCTTCCTTGTTGCCGTTGGCGGAAGCAGAAGCGGTGATGTCCTTCTTCTGGACGCTGACAGTCACGATGGCAGGGCTGCGGCCGTTGAGGTTGAAGGTCGTGGTTCCGATGTCATCGGAGATGCGGAATTTGAGCGAGCCTTGAGTCTTGACGGTGAAACCGCTCGAAGTCGTTGTATCCTCGCCACCGTGCTTAACACGTTTGGCTGGGCGTTCGTGAGCTTCATCTTCAGCTTCAGTGACCTTGTCCTTGGCTTGGTTCTCGGCAGGCCGTTTTCCGTTGGCGTTTTGGTCGCTGTTCTGATGCAGGGCGGGGGCTTCCGGGGTCTTGTCGTTGCCGGCAGCAGCAGATTCCGGTAGGATCTGGATGCACACCCCGCGGGCACGAGCCTCGGCTGCGACTTCCTCGCGACTGAGAGCTGCAAGTGCGTTGTCCAAGTCGGTAGAAGTTGACGGCAAGTGTCTCAAAATCTTCTTGAGGCTCATCGCAAAGTATTTACTCCATCTTTGGCATTGATCCGTTAACTCGGGCGCAAGTTCAATGTATTTGAGCGCAAAGTTCTTGAGAGCATCCGACAGCTCGAGCTCCGTCTGGAACTGTTCATCGACGTTTCCGTCGAGTAGATCATTGAAGTAGGTGAACGCGTTTCTTTCGTCAAATGTCAATTCTCTCACCATTTTGTCTGCACGGATACGGCGATGAGTGGAAGCTGAGGTCAAGTTGAGTGGCGGGAGTGACGGAGGCGAAAGGAAGTCGCGCAGTACAGCTGCTCTTCGAAGATGATGACAGTGCGAGGGAGGAGAGGCTTTAAGAACCAAGCGATAAGGAGAGAAATGAGTGCTATCGAAATTCGAAGGACAATAGTACTTGGACGTGACGAGAAGAAGAATTCAGCGAGAAGCGAAAGTTGAGGCCCTTACCTCTATATGCGCGTTGTTTCAGGCAGCAACCCAATCACGCTAATTTTTACCGCTTACTTCAAGATCAGACGGATTCAGGCAAACACTTGTGAACTGATCAACTTGATCCAGACCTATGCCCAGATGACAACTTGGGAAAGTTCACCGCCATCGTGTCGTCCCAGAACAAACAACCAGAAAGAGAACAAGAGATGAAAGCGCACGATTTGTTGCACAGAGTGCGTTTAGAAGAGATGCGAGGTTTGATAGGTATGGAACAAAAGGTATCAACTGGCGGTGGGACACACTGATGTCTTGGATACCAGCACAGCTCCTAGTCACGTACGGTTTCTCGTCCTTCCCTTGTAGGAAACACCACAACCCCGGCACATCACCCCTTCCTAGTCAGCTTGACTCCTGTTCCCACAGTCCATCATATCTTCAGATACCGACAAGAATCTGTCGGCGACTTGCCCAACTCTGAGGTTTCACAGCGAGGTAGGCCTAGATCATTTCAGATGGTTAGCAGCGGTGACGATGTAGTTGAGGACCGAAGAGTGGGAGCAAATAACGGCACTGGGATCGAAGCTTACCCTTTTCTCACAACTCAGACGGCTTTGCAGCACCGTTCTCCTTGTGGACTTTGACCGTCAAGATGGCAGGACCGGTACCTTCCGCAATGAGGCCAACCGTAGAGGTGGTACCATCACCAGAGTAAACGCGAATCGTGCACGGAGTGTCGTCGCTCTCAAGTCTGAAGATGGTCGCATTCTCACCCTCGACCTTACGGCCTCCAGCATTGTTGCCGTCGGCCAGGAGGTTCTCGGCGATTCTCTTCGCGATCGCGTCGACTTGGGCATCCGCAGAGCTAGAGGTAGAGCTAGGAGTAGAAGTAGCTTGGTCCCGATACTTGGGAACAACCTGCACCTGCACTCCGCGAATGGCAGCCTCGTGGACGACGTCCACCTCGGTGAGCTTCCTGACTACTTCGTACAGCTCCTCACGAGTCTTGGGCAAGTCCCACAAGAACTTGTCGAGAGTCAGCTCAAAGTACTCGTGCCAGATGCCGCCGTCGTCAGCAAGCTCCTTGTACTTGACGGCAATGTCCTGGAGAGCGTTGGCGAGCTTGGTGGTGTACGAGTCGGCGTAGGGGTCCTGCTCGAGAAAAGCGATAAAGGTGTCGATGGCATCTTCTTTGTCCACCTCCTGCTGGACCATGGGGTGGTTGAGGGGGTTGACGCCCGGATTGGTGTTGACCATCTTGTCTGTGAGAGACCTGGATGGGTGTGAGATGAAGTCATGGAATGGAAGGCAGGTAGTTCAGGAAGGAATCCAGGGCGATGGAGGGAAATTAAGTTACCTTTGCGCGAAGGGATGTCTTGTGGCGCAACTGCTGTTGAGATGCTAGACTGCAGTTGGAATCTTTTTGCAATTCAGGGAAAGATGGACAAGAAATAGCAATCGAGTGAGTGATTGGAATTGTGTGCGGGGGAAATTCACTGATCCATGTGGACTCAAAAGAAAAGGAAGGAGCAAGTCCCGTTCACGTTGACCGGGAGGCGGTTGCCAGTACTGACCGCCTTCACTTTGCCGCTCTGTAGTCCATCCTTTGAGTCCCCGGCATACCACTACTTGGACACGTGCAAGCCGGTCTTCTCTAAATAACATACTAGTACTGTGTACAGTACCCAATCTCCATCAGCTTTTTCGACTGGACCCATTCTACAAATGTCACCAGGTGTCAATGTGTCAAACAGCACCAAAGACGAGCTGGTGTCCTCCAACTTTCAAGCGGCTGTTTTTGAGACAGATGACCAACGGAGTAACGAGGTGGTAATGATATTGTGCATTTGGTTAGGGCATACCTACCTAGGTAGAGGTAGGTAATCAACCACGCTCTTTCTAGAAATGTTGATATCTCGAAGGCATCGTCCTACAGCTTCCATCCTGTCTAGTATTAGTACCGGTCAAGTGAATTGCTCTTTTGTCTCTGACAGTATTGCCTCAGTGCCATCCATCACCTCTCACCTTTTCTAGGTAGCCAGCCCTGCGTTCCGTTCTCTTCGGTCTTATTGTCCTGGTACGTACCTAGACTTTGTTACGAGCCGTGCTGTTTCTTGCGGCGTTGCTCAGGGGTTCGTTTTGCCTGCATGGTACTATGTTGCTGTCGGATACCCTTTGTCTGGCTACCTAAACTTGTGTTCCGTTCTTCTTCGGCTTCGTTCGTCTTCCTGTTTTGCCGATATTGTTCACACGCGCAGAGATACCTGACACCTTTAGTTAGCAAGGTTTACAAACAGTCCAGCAAAGGGCAATCTTGATGAGTGTCGGGAGGGATGGGCGCTTGCCCGGCTGACTGGAGAAGACCGCCTGGGCCTCGATGGAATTACTTCCTCTTCCCAAGCTAGGTTGGGAGAAGACACCTGTACTCACCAGTTACTCCTTTCCCGGAGGTAGTCTAGTTCACCTCCTCTGCCTCTTCTTCTTCTTCCTTCACCACCTTTCTCTTCTAATTGGTCTTGTTCGGGCTAGCTGCAGCACGTATATCAAACACGTCCTTCTTCTGGACCAAAACCGCGACGGTCGCAGGGTCACAGGCGTCCAGATAGACAGGAGAAGAGCTAGTGTTGTTCCCAGACTGGCCGGCAATCTGGAATCGGATATACTGTAGGGGCCGACGGTGTCGATATGGAGTGTTTACGGGCTTGTAGACGGTCTTGTTCTTGGCTTTGGCACGAGGTCGTTCGCCATTACCATTCTTGTCGGAACTCGCACAGGGTATGGAGTGTCGACACGTTCTTCGTCGGCTTTGGCTGTGAGTTCAATGTCCTTACGCTCAAGCTCCTTGACAGCTGCTTGCACGGCGTCAAGCTCATTGGGTGGTAGGTCTCTGGCAAGGCTCTTGAGGCTGAGGACAAAGTAGCGACGCCAGGCTTCGGTACGATCACTCGCGGCTCCAATTTGGTATCCGAGCTCATGGACCTTGGCTTGGAAGGCCTTGACGGCATCGGCATATTCGAGCTGCTAGTCGTTGGGTTCGTACGAGCCCTGTAGGTGCTCTACCATCTCATCGTCCGCCTCTTCTTTCCAGACTAACCTCGTCATCTTGCTTTTGGAGTGGTTGGTTGAAGGCGACTGAAGGCTGGCTGGGAAGTGGTCAGTGGAGGTTGTTAGAATGATGGTGTGAAGAATGGTTTGTGGAGGTAGTTGGAATGATGGTGTGGGACAACAAGAGGCAACGGATACTGATACTCGGCCGCGACTTTAACTGTAGGTGTTGGGTGTCAGTCTTGGTTGGGCTGCCTATGCAACACCCACTTTCCGGCAGAGAAGACATCAAGCGAAAGTCAATACGTGCATAAACTGCATTCTCCAAGCATAAGCAAGCATGTAGGGGCACATCAACATGAATCAATGGGAGTTGGAACTGTAGGTAAGTTTTCGAAAGCTGACAAAGTGCTTTGTACTACCTGCCCTGATTCTGTAGTCAAGGTCTGTTACGGTGATGTCGTACGCCTTTTTATGCCAGCAGTGAGAGACAGTCCAAACCCGGGAAGCCATATAATCCTCCTTCCTCCCTTGTATTCACAGGTCCAGCTATGAACCATCAGCTGCTCTTTGGTAGTGGCGAGTGAGCTCGAACAGCATTCAGCGAGTTGGCAGCATGTAATGACAGCCTGAACCCCGATACACAACCCGACCTTGCCCGTCCCGCTGTGGTTCCGACATCGATCGAAGATGACATGCGCGCCTGTGTTTGAAGAACAGATTAGCTGGCGAGTTCAACAATAGCTTGATCGAGGATATGCCAACAAGTAACTAGAGGAAAGGTATCTTCTGTGAGAGGGCTGCGCTGAGTCATCCCGAATTCCAAGAACAAAGAACTTACATCTCAAGGATAGGTGCAGCACGGTGCCGGCCTGGGATCATGAGGGCTCATCTGATGGTAAGTTCCTGGGTATGCGCCGCAACGACGCAGAACATGCGGCTTGAAGAAAGGGGCAGGGGCAGGATCTGGGCGAGAAGGCGCGGCATCACCTCCAGATGCTGATGTGCCCGAGGTCTTGATCTGGACAGTAGCTGGGCCGTTCAGGTTGAGTTCAACAGCAGGGGTACCACCTTCGGAGACGTGGACGGTATAGGCGCCTTTGGTGTAGACAGTGAAGTTGGGTGCCTCCTCGTTCACTTTGACGCGCTTGTACGGGGGTGCCTCTTGGGTTTCGCCGTCGTCAGTTTGCGCAAAGGTACGTTTTCTGGCAGACGATGACTGTGCCACGGCGGTACTTGACTGGGTGGGCTTGGGCGGCAGATCGGGATCAGAGACCAAATCGGCCTTCAACGCAGCCAGGGCATCGCGCAGCTCATCGCTACCTTGAGACGGTACGTCGCGCAAGAACTTTTGGAGGCTCCGAATGCCGAACTGACGGTACTGTTGCGCTTCCTTGTCGTCAGGAATCCAGGGGTAGTGCGAAAACTTGGCCGCGATTGCCTTCAAGACCTCGGCCAGCTCAAGATCATCACCGGTGAGGTGGGATCTCTTTCTGAAGATACGATCCGCCATGTTGGTTGCCGCGGCAGGAGGTGAGAACGCGGATGTGAAAGAGCGAAAGAAAGAAGGAGGGGTTCTTTCTTGGGAGAAAGGAAAGAACCAGAAGAAGTGGGAGTCACACCAGGCAGAGACCGACGGGAGCCACGACCTTGGCTGAAGAAGAAAGGACCAATATGACGTAGCGTTCCTTCCCTTTCTAATCTCAGGCAGGCATTGACGGTCTGAATTTTGATCCACCAGCAATAGGTAACGTATTTCATGGAAGGAGCACCTCACCCAAAGCCACCACGGCCGGCAAAGAAAAGAAAGAGGGCACTGCAATGAGCCGGGCTTCGGAGCTCAAAAGACACATGATGCTGCAGTCAGCCAAACAGCTCTTTCTTTGGTCAAGAAAGCCTTTTGCGAGACTGTAGTATTGTTCAAACCTCGGGTCGGAGAGAATCCCGCTTGCATTCTTTGGTCATGTAAATGCTTTGATTCTGGCCTCTGGGTCAGCCAGTGTCGTAAGGATAGATACATTCATTTCTCTTTTTCCGGTTTTGTGCTACAAGTCAACCTTGCTTAGTACCCTTCGGAATGCCAATTATCTGCCATCGTTCCGTGCCCGGCATGTCTTCAACCTACCCCTCAATTTGTCCCGAAAGTCCCAACCACAAAGGCCTGACCCGGGATATCAAGCAACATCGCTGTCCGTTTCGGTATCTGTTGAACAACAGTTAGCCTAAAAGTAAGTGCAAACCTTGCTTCATGGAGTTACTCACTAGATGACATTGAAGAAACCGAAGACCACTCTACGAAGCCCATGTTTCCAAAGCCCATACCTTCCCAGCCCGTAACCATCGGGTTCACATTACCAACGCCTTCAGATGCAGCGAGAGAAGCGCGAGTAGCAAAAGCAACGACAGCGGGAGCGGGGTCAGGGGCAGCAGGTATGACAGTACCGGGGGCGGCGATGGTACCAACAGTAGCTTGAGCACTGGGGGCGGCGGGGGGGTCGGGAGCAGCAGGAGCTTGAGCAGCAACAATACCGGGGGCCCGATCAGCGATGATACCAGATGCAGTGAGAGGATCGGGAGGAGCGATAGCACCAGGGGCAGCGGCACCAGGAACACCGAGAGCAGGGACAGGAGCAGCGGCAGCAGCAGCAGCAACACCTCCACGATTGAGCTTGACCAGAACCCTAGCAGGACCGCTCGACTTGAACTTGAAGGTAGGAGTATCGCCTTCGGTGATGCGAACTTTGTAGACACTTTGGGTATCGACTTTGAAGATGGTCTCAGGGGGAAGCGCCGGATAGTTCTGGTGGGTGGTCATGACGCGCTTGTTGGGGTGTAAAGCATCATGATTGTTGTTGTTGTTGTTGCCGTTCTGGTCCATGGCTTCGGCGGGACGTTTCTTGTTGTTGGTGTTGGCGGTGGTGTTGTTGGCGTTGACAGTATTGTTGACATTCGCCGCGCTGGTATCAGCAGCGTTGGTGTTGGCGGCAGTCTCTACCTCAGGAACCCCCCTAATACTGACCGGTTCCAACTTGACTTGTAGGTGCTCCCGGGCGCTCCAGTATTTCAATGGCCTGCTCCAAAGCCACAGTTCCCCGTGGCAGCGCCTTAAGCAACACCTGAAACACCAAAACGAAGTATTTCTTCCACCGGATGTTGTAGCCGTCGCCAAAGCCAAAGGGATGGGGAGTCTGGTCATCATATGCCTCGTACTGCTTGGCCAGTTCCTTGAGGACCATGGACATCTCCCAGCCTTCGTCAGATGGGTCAAGGTCCTTTAGGAGGTAGTCGGTCCATTTCAAGGATGCTGTACTTCTCGTTGTTTGGAATGATGGGTCCATTTGGTCTTGGGCGGGATTACCTGGGGGTCGTTATGGCGAGTCTTTGGGGCCTGGTGGGGGGCTTGAAAAGTGATGTCGGGTAGTGTTGGTTTGAGAAGGGAAGCCCGTGGAAGTTAGAAGTGATGAGTGGGTTGATGTCTTGAGGTGTCAAGACTCGATGTACAAATATCGGCACAAGTGTCAACAGGTGTCGGGTGTCAGCCTCGTATGAGAGCATTGCCATTCACTTCACTAGAAAGCGGGCAAAGTTGGCTCCCATAGGTATGACTGATGGCGTACAGTTAGAGCTTGTGTCCATGTCAAAAAAGGGCTTTTTCCTTTCATCTGATGTCGACAAAGTTCCAGTCAATATAAAGAAGCACGCACTGTTTCCCTACACGACGTTGGCGCTCTGCTCGCAAAACAGCCAGAAATGTCATAGCCGTGCTGTCACTAGTTCAAGAAATATCTGATTCCAAATATTACCTGAGGAAAACCTCCGCACTTTAATACGATCCCCTCCACGGAGAGATACCCTGCGAGTTCCAAAAAACTTTCATCACAACAATCATCACAACACAATTACTGTCCAAAACCTCGCAACCCAACGTCACTAGCCCTCACCCCGAGTACAAAACACATTTTTCCACTCGGTCTTTCTTCCCATCTCGTGATTGGATGGCGAGTTGCTAAGGAGTCAGTTGAAGGCAAACAGTGTATAGCCCGAATTGTATATTACATCTCGGTTTATTGTGGTTAGATGCAGGTGTCCGTGACCTTTGGGCTGGCGTAGCGGTATGGTCAGCGGAGGAATCCAATGCGTAGGGGATATTGATGTTATAGCCCGCCAGGGACAGGGATAACGAATTTGAGTCTTGCGCTGGTGAGGGTTCCTTTGAGCCTTGCGCTGGTGAAGGCCTTTGGTCTTGGGAATATGTATCTAGCATCGAATTATCAGTTGAGCTGCGGTGATAGTTGACTTGAGGGAGTGAACGGACTGCTGCAAGGTAAACCGATCGATCAAGTGTTGGCTATCGAAGAGGGCAAGGGAACTCACCAGACGACAAACTATCCATCGAAGGACAGGCGGACCAGCGCATAGGAGGAAATAACGGCACTGATGGAGGGCTTGCCGGCAACGTGTCCTCAGCGGCCGACGACGTGCCCGTTGAAGACATGGACATAGACGCTGTAGAACTTTCGGACTTGATACAAAAAGTGGCATCAGCAGGGCCTTCGGGAACGAGGACGACCTTGACGTTGGCCGGGATGTAAACTATAAAATTATCTCGAGTCGGCTCCTGTTGCTCCGACTCCTTCCTGGCACGCTTTCTCATGTTTGCGGCGTTGCCGTCGTCATCGTCGTCCAACGAATCAGTCCAGGAACGCTTCCTGCCACGCTGCTCTGAATTGTTTTGCCGGGGACGGTTTGGGTTTCGGGCGGAGTAGCAGCAGCTGCAGCTTCATGTTGGACTTGGACTGGTGGTGGTGGTAGTGGTAGTGCTGGAATGCGTCGTTGTTGATGAAACTCTCTCCGCTTCTCCCGTACTTGCTCAGCGCTCGCATCTGGAGGTGGTAGTTCCCTCAGGATCTTTTCGAAAGCCGCGACAAAGTAGTTGTACCACGCGTTTCTCTGCCCTGCCGTCTTATAGTCGACGTTATTACTAGTACCATAACGAAGTGCAGTCGAGACACTGATTCGCTTGGTGGATTCCTGAGCAAGGGCTTTGAGCGTTCTGCCCAGGCGGTCATTGCAATGAGGCTCCGAGTCGGCTAGGAGATAATGCGACCAGACGTAGGCTCCCCATCCTCCAGGTTTTCTCTCATCCATGTTTCGTGGTCGCGGCATCCTGATTGCTGGGTGTGGTCACCGCTGATTGTATGTAAGGTAAGGAAGGTGGTTGAGCTGAAAGATGATGTAAAGGTCCCCGTAGTGAGGAGATGTCGCACTTGAATCCAGAGATTGATAACTTGTCGATAAGCGGCCGGCTTGAAAGTGATGAATGACGATGTCCGATGCGGTCTTTGCTGTGTTGAGGTCAAGGAAAAGGAGGAAGGAGAAAGGAGCGGGGTGTATCCATGTCCTTGTCTGCGCTTAGGTAAGCATGCACAACCCTGTACACGTAGCCTGCACATGCATTATGCAGTTTGTGCGGTACATCACACTCTACCGGTCCAATGAAAGAGGTCTTGATTTTTAGGAAATGTGGTGTTGATGGCTAGGAACAACAACTGGTGCACGTCGTAGCTTCCAACCGAATGGTACATCGCACACATATTGCTTGCCCTTGGCATCGAACATTCTCCCTCAATCTGACACTTGAAGCTGGAGGCAGGTACATTCTGCAGGTAGGTAGGTACATGATAGCGAGTACCTACATCACGTACGGAAAAAGACCTATGCCCACATCATATCATGCGAATGTCGACATCTTTGATCCTGTAGTCAACTCCTACAACTCCATCAAGGTCCAAAACACCAAAGGAACATTCACTGGTCCTCAATCCATATACGTCAAAGACCTTTTCCCTTCCTTCTTACTTTCATCCAGCGAGGCATTTCCAACACGCATTCGCAGCGTCGTTGTTCTATCCAGACGCGTCCATGCCATTTCGGAGACTAGAAGGAAAGCAGAGGCTCAAACGAACGAAAAAGAAGAAAGGGAAGGGTGGGGTCCAAGATGCCATTCAGCAGGATCTTGCATCCCCAACGAAGGCGTCCTTTACCTGCCTAAGGTAAGTACCTAGGTTCCTCATCTTGTCAAGTCCTCTACGCAGGAATCCGGTCACTTGGTTACAGCGTTTACATCAATAGTAGTGCACAATCACAAAAGGTACAAGTCCCAGCTACATGAGAATGATTTTCTGCTACAAATCATGTACGAATTTACCCGGCTGTGCCTTACAACTTCCTTAATCCCTTCGTGAGAACCTTTCCAAGTTCCCACACTTTTTCTTCTAGTCCTTGAACAAGCAACAGATTACTCTGCTACATCACTGCCAATACCACAATCCCTCATTACCTCCTAATGCAACCATCGGGTTAGGCACATCCCAATGCCAAAGTTGGCCTGCAAAAACCGATGTCAGTAACCATCACCGACATGGCTTCCTTATCTCAGAAGGGGTCTCACATACCAAGGTTAGTAGGTAATGTCCCTAAAGGTACATATCCAACGGAACAGGCCTCTTACTAGGACTATCATCACCCTCGCCCTTACCCTTACCCTTGCCCTTGGTACTACCACCAGCACCAGTGTTGTTCGTAGCAGCGATAGCACGAGCGGGAGCACGAGCGGCGAGAGCGGCAGAGGCAGGCTGCTGAACGAAAGCAGGCTGAACGAAAGCGGGAGCACCGGTAGAATGGACCTGAACGGAACCCGAACCGACTAACATGAACTCGGCCATATAACCGACAGTGTGAAAGCGGGTAGTGGAAGGGCCGTTGGTGTCGATGTTGAAGGTGGTCGTGGTTCCGGGGACGTCGTCGGTCTCGGTCTTGGAGCGCTTGTTGGCGCTGTCTTGATCATTGGCAGGGCGCTTGTTGGTGTTGTTCATGCTGTTGATGGCGACGGGGTTCATGTTGGTGGTGTTGGCAGGGACCAAGACGGTGCTGTTGAAAGGGGCGGGGACAGGAACAGGGGCCATGGTGATGTTGTTGGCAGGGACCAAGGCGGTGCTGTTGGCGTTGACAGCGTTGGCAGCGTTGTTGGCAGGGACCAAGGCAGTGCTATTGACCATGGCGGTGTTGACAGCGTTGACAGCGTTGTTGGCCCTGACCAAAGCAGTACTGTCGACATTGGCAGAGATGACAGCGTTGTTGCCGTTGGCGGTGATGTTGGCATTGACGGCGCTCATGTTGTCCTTGAGTACCTTGACCATTTGGACATGCCAATATGCACCATTGACACTGTTCGAGGTGTGCTTCTGGTACATCATAGCAAACTCTTTCAAGGCGGCGGTCAGCTCGGCCTCTCGCTGTTTGCGGACATTAGGCTCGCAAGTGAAATCAACCACAAGCTTTGTCGCGAAGCTTGTAATCGATCTCGACATGTTTCTGGTGACGAATTCGGGCATCTTGTTTGCAGTTGGAGGTGATGGTACCGACAGAAGGTGTAGTGTCCAAAGGATTGTCGATGGTAGACAGGTAGAGTCAGAAGTGGTTGTTGACGAGACTGTGTACTCTGGGCCGAGAAAGAAAGCAAGAAGAAGTTGTTCATCTTGGGCTTTTTATATTGGCTGTAACATATTTGACGCTCGGCTACTTGGAAAAGGTTCCAGTGAAAACTACGTGGAGATTTGGCTACCTCTAGGTTTGGCTGCAGGTTACAGATATGACTTTTCTCCACAAGAACTTGCACTCGAGGGAATCTCCTACCTTCACCTTGTGTCGTTAGCCGAATCCAAACCAAAAAGGCACCTTCAGCGCCAGCACTACCGGAACACTGGTCGCGTGAAGTGGCCGGAGGGTGGCAAAAAGCCTGCAAGGCAGTACACAACAATTCTTGGCTGGTAGTGAAAAGCCATACAGAATATCCCGTAGGCCTCCTCTGGATCCTTAGCAGAAGGTTTGATACGAACGAAGGATCCAAAGGCCCAGAGTATTCCACTTGGCAAGAACAAAACGTGAATGAATGACTCCGTAGACGCCACGCTTGCAGAAACGTTCAACGGCATTAGAGCAGTGGCATCCTTCATTATCAACCAGTCTCCAATAAAAGAACATGCATACACGCTACCAACAACTCAGTTTTGGCGAGTGTCCACCAGCCTTGGATCTTTGATACCCTATGCACCATCACCCATGTCCAACAATGCTTCCTCGGGGAGCTTTCGTCAAAGATGTTCTGGGCGTCTACATCCACTAGATGCCTAGGAAACTCGGTGTCAGTTGATTGGCCATTGAGTGCCCGTACTCCATAGTGGTGTATGCTCCAAAGGAGGAACTGACCTGATGTTGCTGCCAAAGTTGAATGGCTGGTGATCGTAGCCTACAAGTAGGGTTCACCTGCTGGCTTCGAAACACCAATATCATCGGGTGTATCAACCGAGATAACATGAATAGCACGGGGAGCTAGAGAGCGAGTGGGGGTGCAAGCGGCAGAGAAGTCCACCTCTAGGCTAGGATACGTAGGAGACGTTTAGTCCCAGAGACTGTAGCCTACATCCTCGTCGGACTCCTCCTTCTCTACATTAAGTGGAAAGCAAGTAGTTAGTTTTTGAATACGGCGCATGGGCGAACGAAGTGGAAGTATTCTTACGGTTAGTCTTCTCCTCCTCAATCTCCCTAGTAATGCTACCAGTAGCAGTAGCGGTACTGCCGGCAACAGAGGCAGGAATACCGACGGAGGGGACGTAAGCGGATCTGGAAGAACCCTCACCAATCAACTATAATATCTCATATTAGCCACGTGAATCCGACACCCGAATTGGTTTCCAGATGATAGTCGTACTTGGTTGAGGGTACCTCTATGGACCTGGACTGTAGCCGTCGCGGGGCCATTCAGCAGAAACTCGAGGGTCGTCGTAGTGCCCTCTTTGACAATGCGGGCTTTGTAATCTCCTTGGGTGTCCACTTTGAAGGTGGTGTCGGAGGAAGAGATATCGGTGGGCTTGACATCGATAAAGTAGTAGTAGCGCTGGCATCAGAGGGTGCGGTGATTTCGAGTCTTGCAATCGCCTCGCATAATTCACCGATGCTATCAAGATCTTTATAGGGTGGCAGATCTCTCAAAACCCTGTCGAAAGCAGCGACAAAGTAGTTACACCACGCGAGACTGTAAAGATCGCTAGCCCAAGTCGAACGGACTCGCTTGTCGAACTCCTCGGCGAGGTCTTGGAGGACTTTACTTAATGCCATCAAAGAACTAGGGGGTTTGGACTTGGAGGTATCCAGAAGTCTCGACCACAATTCGGCCGCCTTTTTTCTACCAACAGGATCCGGGAATTGCGACATTCTGATTGCCTGGGACGTTGATGGATGATGACCTGGGAATTAGGCATAGGGTTGTGCGGAGGTACGACCACTGTTGGTTGGAGGTGGACAGTCAACGACCCAAGACGCTGGATACTGTGGTGGTAATGCTGAAGTAGGAACAGGATCCAGGCCGGCCTAAATAGCGGACCAGAGCGCCGGTGGAATTGTTGCTGCGCGGAGGTCTGTAAACAACAGAAGGAGATGGAGAGCAGTTGTCGTATGGCAACGCTTGTTGTCTTTGCTCAACGGGATGGGACATACAAGTTATTCCTTTCATGTCTTGTCAAGATTGAATGACCAAAGGCAAGCGTCTGGCTATTCTGTTTTGTTCTTGACATCAAGATAAGAGTATGGAACGTCCGCGAAGGCTGGAGAGCATACCGTAATGTGTGCTTCAAAGCCCTGGTCTGCAAAGCGACTTTCATATCCTTCCACTGCAGTCCAAGCAAGACGCAAAGGCATCATTAGAGGTACCTGTGGAGATCTTTCGTGATCTGAAAGGGGCGTAAGATTTTGCGCGGACGTTGTCTGTTGATTCGCTGGCGAGAATGGAACAAAAGGAATTAGGACATCAAGTCAATGTTGAGAGGAGAAGCATTTGCCATTCGCCGTCAAAGTCATCAGCAATCAGGATGGAGAAGAATGCGCTTTCCATTATCTAGGTACCATCAAGGAATATTTCCCCATCTATCCCACTTTGAATGACCCATCGGCTGCCGCGGACATGAAAGCAACCTTCATTCCCCCACCCCCTTTCACAGACTTTGCTGGATGCCGAGCAAGAGTGATGTCAGTGCCCGGGTGTTCCAGGGAATTGACAATGGTAGCTTCCCTCTGAGTTGGGGTATGGAATAGAAGGTGCGCGGCGGGGAATCGCATTTCCTGAGGGGTAAGTAGACGCTCCTTCTTCCTGTTAGACTACCTAGATGCCGAGAGGAAGATTGCAGTGGCGTCAGTGTTTGAGACGTGAAGAGGGATTTAAGGAAGGCAGGTGACAGTGGCAGGAAAGAAATTTCTCAAGAGGGGTAACCACCCAACGCTCCTTCCCTTACAACTCCAACAGCAATCCCCGCTTCTCAGTTGTCACTCTCGTCCAAGTCAATGACAGCAGCAGCAGAGGCAGCAGTCTCAGTACTGGCTGGCGAGTACTTCAACATCTTGCAAAGCGACTGGACAAAGTACACATGCCAGTACTGGCTAGGTGCGTCCTTGTGCAATTGCATGTCTAGGTCCAATCGCCCATCCCATCCTTTCAGGGAGAGTTCGCAGTATCTGGCGGCAAAGTCTTTGAGGACGTCTGAGAGCGCCCGCTTCCATTTGGGGTCCGTCGGCAACCTGTCTTTGATGAGGATTTCCGCAAGACTCTCTATGGCCTGCTCCCGCGTGAACACGCGTGGTTGGGGTTGCGACATGTTGACTAAAAGTGAAATGGCGGCGAGTCTGATGACTGTCGGAGAGGTTGTCTGAGCGGGCGAAAGGAAAATAACATCGAACTTTGCTTCAATCGTTGAGGCTGTGTGGTAGTGATTGCTCATGGTTGAAAGCTTTAAATACCTAGTTGGCAAGTGAGACGTGTTGTTGTCGAGACCTGGCAGGAAGGAAGTCAGGGTCAATGGAGTTCATTGTCGACTGAACAACTGACAGTGGAAATATCGCATCGCGCTTAAGCACAGGAGTCAAGGTCCCAACGCCAGGCGACAGGTAGTCCAAGCACGTAGCCTTCAGCTGTCGGCCTGCGACAATATCTCTTCTCGGTTCGCAAGTGTTACATGTGATGCCCAATCCATACACGATCCTCCCTTGACGAGCTTTTCAGCTTCCAAAGTGCGAACGCTGCGGCCATTTTCGTTATCTTCTACGCGGCGTCTCTTGTTGGAAGGTGGAGGTTCATTAGCTGCCGCTTCCTCCTTGTACTCAAGCGCATCAACCGCCTCCTTCAGTTTGTCGACATTAGCCGGAAGCTCCTTTAGCATGTTTTGGAGTGACTTGACAAAGAACTTATGCCACAGTGTGCTGGGGTGGTCGTCAGAATTGTCGAACCCGGTGGTGCCAAGAAGAACTTCTGGCGAGAGCTCATGATACTTGACAGCAAAGGCCTGAAGAACATCCGCCAGTTCTTTCTCCCAGCCCTTGCCGGAGTGGTAGTTGAGAAGGATGTGTGACAGCTTCTCAGCTGCTCTGTCGTTCGACATGACCTTGGACATGGACATTTTGATTGCGGGGTGGTAGCAGAAAGCAAAGATTGATGAGGCGCTTGGGTTTGAGGTGGAGAGAAAGAGGCAAGTCGTTGTGGGTGACAAAAGACGTGTGAGGAGTATTTTTGTTGTTGACGGAAGATCAATGTGTAACGAGTAACTGACTGTTCGATTAGTGGATTTGAGGTCAAGGAAGAAGGTGAGAAACACACCTCGTTTCAAAAAGTGATCAGGGTTGCTGCAGGTGGTAGAAAAGATATATGACGTTGCCAGCTGTCGATATACAGGCAGGATAAGTCTCTCGTTTCACATCATCTCAATTGCCCAATAAACGCACAAGAAACTTCGATGTATATTACCAGACTCTCATATCGAGAAGGTGTGGAGACGTTACGTTGAGAAAAGTTCCGTTGGGGGGGGGGGGGGGGGATTTGTTGAGGTGAGGGGGTACAGAGCCTCGACGAGGAGGAGAAGGGCTTCGGAGAGGAAAGCCCGGGGGAGGACGAGGCAGGGCAGAAGTATGCTTTGTTGCTGCTGTCATTGTTATTGTCGCAGATATAACATTTGAGAGCCGGCCGTCAACACGAAGACATGGAATCAACAGCCTTGTCAACCAGGATAGCACCGCCCGCAGGTATCGCGGGGGCCGGGAGCGGAGGGGCTGGAAGTTTCTTGCACTCGGGGATGGGGCCGAGAGTGGTTTTACCACTAAGGCTGACGCCTCTACTCACCCTCTTTCTCCACGCAATTATATATCCCATCCACCTATGTCAACTGTCATATGGAACGTCGGTCAGGTAAATTTGATGTTGTGCGGCTGTCCTGACAAGCTGCCAATAACCAAGAAACTTGGCAAATCCAGGGGCACAAGAAGACTGCCCGTACACCCCGCACACGCACACACTTGAGGCGTCAACAACAACTTACTTGGCAGAGTGGGGATATGATATTGAAAGTTTGAAATGAAATGTGATCCGACGAATATGGAAGGGACGAAAGTCCACGGCGCGAAGTGGCGGGCACTCTTCATCACCTCTAGCGAGTACCGTGACCTACCTTGGCCTTCAGAGGGTGTCGGGGACCCCAACCCATCGGTATCTTACTCTGGATGTCAGTTTGAACAGTGGGGGTTGCGAGGCCTTGTTGACCTGTTCTTGCGATCCTGACACATCGACATCTGGGAATAAGTGGTAGCGAGGGGAAAAGAGAAAAAGAAACAAAAAAAATAAAAAGGTGATTGACGAGTTGGACATGAAACGAAGAATGGCTTTTGTAGACAGGCGAGGCGAGGTCGAAAATGCCACACGGATTGGCACCTGTAATGGGACGCACTTTCCGCCTGAGACAAAGCGTATCTCACGTACAACTTCACCGCGTAAAACTCCCAGCATATGATCAAGTTCTCGATGGCGAGGTAAAATCAAGAAGCAAAAGACAGATGAAGACCCTCGACCAAATGGAAACGAATAAACCGTCGTGGTGGGATGACGAGAATCGCGTCAGCAATCGAAGCTGGTGTTTCGCGATGGCATTTTGTGTAAAACCAGCGGGCGGTTGATTGTTTGGTATGTGTTTCGTCGAAGGAGAAAGGAAGAATGAATGGGTTTTGTGTGCAGGCCAGGTCAGGTCAATAGGTACATCGCGGGGATGGAAGCAAAGGAATCCAGCGGAGTACACAGGGTGCACGGGTATACGGGGTGCCTTCCTCCGCTAACACCTGTACCACAGCCGCATGTCAACCGACACCCGCCGGACCCCAACTTCAATGCAGAGGAAAACTCCCACACGTGACAAAATATCGAATTGCAATAGATTGAACGTGAAAGCTTAACCAGATTACTCCCGTTCTTGAATCAGAAATCTGCTCCAAAAAGATGACAATGATTCGAGAAGCCCGAGTGTCCGCCGACCCTCAGAGTCATCCTTCGCATCGCGCCCAACCTAGACATGGAGAACTGCAGTGAGGCTGGTGGACACCAGATTGTGCTACATAACTCCACTTTCAGCAGGGTTCCTCCAACAAAGACACAACAAGCCTAATGCCTGCTTAGCATAGTGGCTAATGCGTTGCACTTGTATAACTACCTAATCTCCTTAGCGAGACCAGGTAACGACGACATGCAAAGATCACAGGTTCGATTCCTGTAGTAGGCATTTCTTTTTTTACATTTTTCTCTTAACTGGTCTCACAACTTTTGATCATTTCGATCATTTCGGACATGTTGTGCATTCGTGATTCCTTTTCCGTTCGTGTAGTTGTGAAGTTGGCTTTTGTTTTGGCTTTTTCTATTCACGAGAGGGAGGCGTAAAGTTGGGACTAAGGGTTGGGAGTGGTCGCGAGGAAGACATGCCCGTCCTGGTAACGCTGAGAGGACAGATGAATTCAGGTATACTAGCTCTATTGGTCTGTCATGCACTTCAATTGTGTGGCACTTTGTCTCTAGATTAACTGCCACTTTATTTGGAGGTAGCAGTTCGTAAAAGGCTCCGCCTGCCCAAGCGGCTCGAACAATTCTCAAGTACCTTAGTTCGAGGCTGTCCTAGTTCGTGGAGACAATAAGCCATGCCATAATTAGCTCGGCACTCAACAAAGAACCCAAAAATCTCCTTTGTGCAAGGCACATCTTCTAAGCCCATTGTTCACTTGTGGTCCCTGGGACCATCTCCTTTGTGCACTCGAGTCTTCATAAACAGCCGGATACGACTGTGTTCCGAATTGCTGTTCAGTTCCATTCTCTTCAGTTCTTTTATTCACTTTCACGATCACTTTCACTTACACTCACTTACCATCATAAACCCATAGAGCATAGACACATCCATCACATTAGCAACCATGGCACCAATATCCTTCTCCTCACCACCCGGTGACGACATGTGGAAGGGCAACATCATTTCCGACCACAGCGTGAGAAACAACCAATCCATGCAACTCGAAATCGACAACGCACCTGCCCTCTACGCTATCGAGCCCGCCCCCCCGCACGCACCCGACTACTTTCCCATGCTGCCTTCGGATGACGGCTTCAACTCCAACGATGATAATCCCGACCAAGAATTCCAAGACCGTCCCGAAGATGCCGACCCCCTTGTCGTCAAGGAGTTTCCCTACCACCACCTCACCTACACATGCTATCCCATGCGCGCAACCGACTCTCTCCGTCGCAATTTCTTAAATTCCACTAGCAACGCGTTTCTTCGTCCCGGAACAAAAGAAGATTTCCCCGACGGGTTGCGGTTGGTCTTCATCAACTGGCTGAAGAAGTACGACGTCGAATCCGGAACAGGCGTATCCGTCGGTCTATGGCGGACCATCGGACCAGACCCCTTGTTGGTGGTCATCAAGCGCATCAAAGGCTACTCATTAAAAACGCGCCGCGAAGAGGGGCCGCGGGTTCCGGACATCGACGGCCCACCAGGCGAACTCAAGTTCAACAGCCTGCCAGACGAGACGAAGCGCACGCTCGAGTTTCGCTTCTTGTATGATCCGCACTTGACGTGCTTGCCGCAGACGCATGCGTTCCAATTAAATGACTGGCCGCAGGAGGACGTGACGCATTTTGGCAAGTTCTACAATGGGGGTTCGGTGGCGGAGATGATTATGAAGTTCAAGAAGATAGGCAAAGCGGTTCCCGAGGCGTTGATTTGGCATGTGATTGCGCAGGTCGGGAGGGCCTTCAAGTTTATACATACGGGACGGACGCACCCGGATAAGACGCAGGAACGGGGGTCGGCGAGAGGACTGCCCGAGGAAGGAGAAAAAGAAAGGGAGTGGATGGAAAAGGAGGATGCCAGAGCGGCGAACTGGGTGCCGACGGCGCATTTTGATGCGCATGCGGTCAATGTTTGGATGCATTGGGTGACGCAGTACGAGAGGGAGAATGATCGCGACAAGTGCCTGGAGCACTTTGACGAGGACTTTCCGCAGGTCATCCTGGGGGATTTTGGGCTGGCGATGAACGGGCTGAGTAGAATTGGTAGCCATAATCTCAGGATCAACGAGTGTCCGGATTTGCCGGGTAAGGAGACCTGGAAGGACAAGGCCGAGCTTGGCCTGATGCTGCATCATTTGCTCCTGGCCGGCGTTCAGGAGGTGCCTCGGTTCACGTCAAAGAAACTTCCGGAGGACTGGTATACAAAGCATAATGAGTGGCTGTATGCAAACTACTCCAAGACGCTGATTGATGTGGTCAAGCGGTTTAGTAAAGTGGCGCACATGAGCGACCGGCACCGTCTGGGGTGGAAGACTTTCGGGGGGATGTCTTTCGGGGCGATGGTGGAGCAGGAATATAAAAAGGGGAAGGACGGATTTTCTTCCAATCTTACGCCGTGTGATGAATGGTTCCACCACACCATGATCGATCTGGCCGATAAAGAGGTGGACGAGCGGCGTAGGTTCCGGAATGGCGTCGAGAGCGTGAGGTGGGCGACAGGGCAGCGCATGAGCACGATGCCGTATCAGGTCCCAAATAGGACCAAGTATAGCCAAAAGCTCTTTCATCCCCACGTTCGCGGAGGAGTGCTCCCTGTTCCGCTGGACGGGAGAGAGACACTGCGCAGCAAAGCAAGGACTCTCTACAACCGCAAACTGCGGCGACCTGTCATCGCGGCCTTCTACCGTCACCCGCCTGACCCGGCTGACTGTGTGGATAAGGACAAGCTCTGGGTGACCAGGACGTACCGGATGGAACGAATCCGGTACCGCAAACCCCGAGCCATCAGAATCGAAACCAGTCTCAAGGGGGATCCGGGAAGCAAACAGAGAAAGTTTACGCCGCCGCCGACTCCTGGGGAGGTGAACCAGATAAAGTCGAGTATGTTTGGGCCGTCTTCGTGGAATTCACGGGTGCTGCAGTGGGACAGGGAGGGAGAGGGGAATGGGGATGAAAGTCCGGGGATGGAGGATTGGAGCCTCTTTGGAGTGAACGAGAGCGGGAGTTAGTGTGTGGTGATAGAGCCTCGTATAGAAGATGATAATTTAAAGTGCTTATGACCATGGTTTGCTGGTAGCGATGGTGGGTAAGTAGAAAGAAGGCTTCAAGTTAAGACCATGTGGTGGCTTTGGATTATCGCACAGGGTCTTGAGTAGAGTCAGTCTGCCCTTCTCCATGAAGCCACTTGGTACCTCGGAAGTTGGCAATATCCACGCGAACTGTTGTATTTCCTCCTACCAACTGGTGTAGCCGGCAAGGTGTTGAGTTCAATCTGGGCCATAGAGTGACTGTGTACGAGAGAGGGGGACTTGTCCCAAACAGGCCACCTTGTAGTTGAAATCGAGAGAATCCATGATGGAGAGCGTTTTGTCAGGTAATTTCCAAGGGGTAAACTGAAAGTGTTGGTGTGATGCCACGGCAATCAATTGGGCTGTGGAATGAAAGAGTCGACGTTGAAAGAAGCTTTGAATGAAAAAAGGAAGGGAATTGTTTGGCGACAAGGGAACAATTGTGAGACTGAACCGACTGCTGCCACTGCCTGCCGCAAACTGGTCAAGCTTGGCATCTGTCAGGTGATCATGATGCTTGTTGTGACGCTCGGACCACTCGATCATGGGAACGAAGCTGGGGAAGAAGCTCCACAGTTTGGGCATTGTCGTCGACGTCTAGACAACATCCTGGACTCGGTTCACCAAGACCACACCACTATTCCCACGAGACGGTCGCCCCTCCAATTGCTGATTCCCAAGATGGCGTCCGATTCTTCAATCACCACTGCCAGGCGTAATTCTCCCTTCCAGCACCCTCCCCGACGTCCAAGGAAGAATGGGCTTTGCTAACGGAGGGGTTGCGCTGGTGACCAAACAGAGGCCACTCGCGAGGAGATGCGCGATGCCAAACTTCCCTTGGCCTACCGCGACAGCTGTGCCCACCTCCTCATTCCGCTGAACCGGTGTCGCTACGATACTTACTACCTTCCGTGGAAGTGTGAGGTACGACGGCCGTCGTCATGACACAAATACACCGAGCGCAATACACACACACAAGCGAACGACGAACTGACAATCCACCCGCAGGACGAGCGACACACATACGAAAAGTGCCAGTACGTCGAGTTCAAGAAGCGCGTCGCCAAGATGGACGAGTTGAGGGCGGCCAAGGGTGGAGCGCGGAGCAACTGATTTCGATCAAAACATTGAGAAGGAAACGGCACGAGCAAAACGAGCAAGGGCACGGAACACAGGACGCACGACGGAGACACAGCACAGCGCGAGGAAAACAGGATCGCGAGACCACACCCCGTCCTGTACATATTCTAGAGACGGGCACGATAATGAAAAGGATCAAGGAACATGCGCAAGTTTACGAGTTCCAGTTGCTCCCGAGACCATATCCATGCAATGGGGTCCTCCCACTCCACCAGCTCGAGTCATGACTGTGGATTGCAGGGCTGTAGGGCTGAAGTCAGTGCGCACTCTCACGAACTGGAGCCATCGACTGAAAGTCTGGAACAGACGAACAATTGCGAGTGGTGCTACACTTCAAGAAAAGGATTGTTTGAACGTCAATCGGTATCCGTAAAGGTTGGGGATTTTGGATCGAAAAAAATGTTGACCGGAGCAGGAAGCACACACTGTCCGACAAGTTGCCGATCCTGTACAGTCCAGCACCGAAACCGGAGCTGATGGAGATCCAAGGTCAAACGCAAAAGTGGTTGACAACACCAAAGATCAACTATGTCCGACAATATGCGGCATCCAGCCTCGAGCCAATGGATCATGGGGTAATGTAATCCAAGATCTCTTCTTACTCTTATAGCCCTTATCTGATCAATCTGTCCTTCTTAGGTTCCTGTGTTATTCAGCACCGCAGAGGGACAAATAAACTGCGCAGGAAATGTCATACGATCTTATCAGAAGAAGGATACCAGCACTGATGGCTTCGTGAGTGGCAAAAGCTTGTTGTCATGGAGGCTTGGAGTGTAGCAGCCATGTTCTTATCAATCCCGACTTACGCCATGCACCATGATACCAAGACACATCGTCTTTGTCGGAAAACACCATCGCCGCTCAGAACTGCCGGAGATGTACATCCTCCACAACTTACAGCAGAACCGAGCCACCAGCGTGGGGTGCTTTCAAGTACCGTATGGCCGGCGGCAAAACAAGCTTTTTGGTAGTGCCAATGGGTGGTCGCTTCAAGGTTGCGGCGATAGCGGACAGGCGGCGCGGCTCTTATCAGGAACAGCCCATGCATACGGTTATCTCGATTTCCCTTCCGCGGAGAAAGAGGTTATGGACTGGAGTCACTGTCCATACCCATACATAACCCTGGACTTCTGTCAGTACTCTCACGTAACCCTGACTGCCGAGCCTGGCCTCCTTATCGCTGGGGTCTTGGCCAATCTCAACCCCCTTTGCTCTGTGATGGTCAGCCATGATGGAAATCCCCAGAAGGAGTAGATGGGATGCATGAGATGTGCGGCCGATAAGCAAAAGTCTGGGCCATCAAGCCACAAGCGTGGGACGAATTGCCATCAACGGAGATGTTCATTTCATTACTTTGTCGTTCACTTGGACTTGGTGGTCTTGGAAGGTTGTTGGCGATGTCCAGATATAAGAGAATGAATGCCTTTGAGAGTATCGGAAGATTGGACTGCATCAGTAGACTCACGCTGTACTACATCTTGGTATCAGATCAGGCTTTCCAACAAGAGCCAGTCAGCCCCCCGCGCCCAGAACCAGTTCTCGCTCAGCTGACTGCTTCAACCTGCTGAACTCTCGAGGATCGAATACAACTTGAGCATAATTCATATCACCACTTCTCCAACTTGTTGTTCAGTCATTCCAGCCTTTCATCAGCCGCCCTTACTGCCCTTATCGCTTACACCATTATCGACCAGGTCATCGGCAGCTGGCACCAGCCGGACGTCGTCCATCACTCACGGCAATTGGGCTGCTTACAGCTGATTGTGACACTTCTTATTGGTTGTCATTCTGACAGTCTTACCTCACCATCATCACTGATGACCAACTCATCTTCACCATGGTCCTCGGCTTCCAGTTCTCGTTTCATTCACCACCACTCAACCCTGTCACCAAGAAGGCTCAACGCGTCCCCATCTTCAACCCCATCGACCGCCATGGCCGTGTCTTTTTCTTTTCCTGGACGGGGTTCATGGTAGCCTTTTGGGCGTGGTATACCTTTCCTCCTTTGGTATGTCTTTTTTTCTCCTCTCCCTTTCCCTCCGATCCCTCCGATTTTCTTTCACCCCCCAGCTTCTCTTTAGTTGTCCCTTGACTTCCAATTAACCAATTCCCCTGTAAACAACAGCTCACCCACACAATCAAACACTCCCTCCACCTCACTCCCGCCCAAGTCGCCAACTCCAACATCATCTCCCTCCTCGCCACCCTTTTGGTGCGTCTCATTTCCGGTTGGGCCTGCGACCGCTACGGCCCCCGCCTCGTCTTTGCCTTCATCTTACTTTTGGGCGCCATCCCCATTGGTCTAGCGCCTACCATCACCAACGTCACGGGTCTTTATGTCATCCGCTTCTTCATCGGTATTCTGGGCGGCAGCTTCGTTCCCTGCCAGGTATGGACCACGGCGTGGTTCGATAAGAATGTGGTGGGCACGGCGAATGCGGTAGCCGGAGGATGGGGAAACGCCGGAGGGGGCGTGACGTATTTTGTCATGCCGGCTGTTTTTGACAGTCTGGTTAGGAACTGGGGGATGGCGGAGGGAAAGGCGTGGAGAGTCACGTTTGTGGTGCCGCTGATTTGTTTGTTGGTGGTTGGGTTGGCGTTGGTGTTGGTGTGTGAGGATATGCCGACTGGACGGTGGAGGGATCGCAATCAAGGTGTGGAGGTTCCGGTGGTCATCGATGGTGTTGATTTCAAGTCTGGTTCTGGCGCAGAGACTCCCATGACGACGACGAAGATGGACGAAGAAAAGGGATCCAAATCCGTGTCTGATACCGAGTCGACTACCCGCCCGGACGTCGAAAAGGGGGAGGTCTCCATGACCGCCCCCAGCACCACCATTCCGTCGGTAACCACCATCCTCCTCTCCCCGCAAACCCTCTTCCACATCCTCACCTACGCCTGCTCCTTTGGCTCCGAACTAGCCATCAACTCCGTTCTCTCGTCTTACTTCCTCTCCGTCGCCCCTTCTTCCCTGTCCCAAACTTCCGCAGCCAACTACGCCGCCATCTTTGGTTTTCTCAACTTTATCACCCGTCCCCTAGGCGGGTTAGCTTCTGACTACCTTTATTCCTCCTTTGGCGGCTCTTCCCCTTCTTCTTCCCCTTCCCCCTCTTCCAGCCCAGAAGCAAAGCCCAAAGCCCTCTGGGCCCGCAAACTCCTCATCACAACATGTACCCTCCTCACCGGCACTTTCCTGTTGTTACTCGGCCTACTCCGCCCTTCATCACTTGGGACCGCCATCGGGTTGGTCATATTGGCAGCTATCTTTATCGAGGCCGGTAATGGGGCCAACTTTGGGTTGATCCCCTTTGTGTGGCCGGAGAGAAACGGGGTGGTGAGCGGGGTTACGGGCGCAGGAGGCAATTTGGGCGGGGTGGCGTTTGCGTTGGTGTTTAGGTTTGTGGGCGGACATGGAGCGAAGGGGGGGTATGAGAAGGCGATTTGGATTGTGGGAATCATTAATTTGGTGGTGGCGGTTGTGGGGGTGGGGATTAAGCCTGTGCCTGTGGGGGGGATGGGGAGTACAAGTGGAAAGAAGAGGTGGTTGTGGTGAGATACTGGAGTGGAAGGTGGAAATGGGGGAAGGATTAAGGGGGAAGTAATAAAGGGGGTGATGATTTATGAGTGATGATACTTTCGGATTTTGTTTTGGTAAAGTGGTGTTTTGGCTTCAATTTGTGGTAAGGAGCAAGTTGCAAGGTGTTTCGCAACCGATGCCATGGCTTTGGATACCTAGGTACTTAGCAAGCAAAGCAGCTTAATGAAGTCGATTTTGGTTCAGTAAGAGCGTGCCATGAAGCGGATGTGTGACGATGACAAGCCTTGACCAAGCACTGCGCGGCTTCTGCCTCAAATCTTTCGTCTATTCCATCCTGGAACCAAACACTAGGTAGGTAGGCATCGGCTTCCAGCGGCAATGTGATGTAGAGGCTGCAAGTAGTAGTGGCAATTGCCAAAGAGCAAGTAATCTGGACGACACACTCTTTCTCTTTCAACGGGCCAGGAAGAGAGGTTCTTTGTCTACCTCTACACCTTTGCTTACCGAACACACATTTGGCTACGTTACCATGCCGCTCTCGAAACAATGAACTTGCTCAAGAACCATGTCGCATCGTCACTGAACAACACATGTTTACCCGCTCTGATGCCCTGGATCACTGAAGAAGCCCTTTGTCGACGCATTCCTCCCAAGTCCACTCGTCCCGTCCATCCAGGTCAATCATCGTGAGCACTGAACAGATCCATCACTCGAGGATGACAATGAAACAAGGAGATGACCCAACCAACAAAACGAGACATATAAGTACTCACCTCACTACAACCATCCAAGTCCTTCCTCTTGTTTCTCCAGTCCACTAGAACCATCAGCCTCAAACATCCAACACCAGCTCCATTCATAAATCCCAATCCCAACCATCACCACTGCCCAACATGTCCACCTCCTCCTCCTCCTCCTCCATCGTGACCACCCCAGCTACCACCTCCACCCCTCTCATCCCTCTAACCTACTACCAAACCCTCAACGTCCCCTACACAGCCTCCAAATCCGACATCAGCACCGCCTTCCACGCCTTTTGCAAACTCCACCGGCAGCCGGGGCCAGACAAGATCCCCCACTTTACTTCCTCGCAACGGTACAGAGACCTAAGAGAGGCGCACGACATGTTGATTGATTCGGAAGACAAGCAAAAGTACGATCTCTATCTGGCCAAGAAGGGGGTTCCGGAGATGGTGGAGAAGTACAAGGCCAAGGAGGAGTATTTGAAGGAAAAGAAAATGGAGAGGGAGACGGATAAGAAAAGGAAAAAGATGATCAATGAAGTAGGGGAGGAGGTCCTGGAGGGGTGGGGACAGGACGAAGTGGTCAAGTTCTTGGGAAGGCCGAGGGGGCCAAAGGTTCGGGGGACTAATGTCTAGGTGTCTACCTCTAGGTGTTGACTGGACTCCTTTTGGAGGTAGGTAAGGTCGAAGATGTGGTGGACGTGATTGTGGTGTATGTTGGTGCTGGTTGCGCTGTCATGGAGTGGACTTGTGCTGTTGGCGTTAAGTCGGTTGGGTTGGTTTTTTTTTTTCGGTGCCGTCGTGTCGACTGATGACCGGATGGAGGAAGAAATCTGGTAAGGTACCGCTTCTCGAGTTGGATAATACAAGTAAAATATTCTGTTTGGCTCTTTGAGATTTCTTGATGCCGTGTGTCTTTGTAGCAGGGAATAAGGTGATCTTTGTCCGTCCATGTCTAGGTATCGTCGATTTGCCGGAAGCCACTCCCTTTGTGTCCTCTCATGATTCAACCTAGGTTCATTTCGTTACCGTAAATAAGGTACCTACCTCTAGGCACCTGAACATTATGTTCAGCTCTCTTTGGAACTACCGAAAAAGGAATGTCTAGATGTCCCATTTGTCAAAGCCTCGGAGGTATGTCCATCAAGCTGTTGGCCGGATGCCAGGCTGGTCGTGTCGATGTTGCCGTCTCTGATCATCTTTGCGGCGACAGGACTGTTCTTTCTCGATATTATCGAAATTTCAGTTGGTCGCGTATCTTCTTTGGTGTCTGGAGCAATACGATATTGATCCATGGGAAAGATGGAGGATGATGTCAAAGGAAAGTTCAGCCTCCGATGCCAAGAAGCAGGGCTGTCTCACTTTACCATGTGCTTCAGCGGGGTTGATGCGCTGAAGGCCCCTGTAATTATGGGGTCCACAGTGCTACGGTACCCGAGGCTGACGAGCTCGGTCCAACCCCACTGTCTGCGTCATCCGAGCGTCACTTCAGCCTTCGTCTCGTTCATCCCAAGCACGACAATCAGACCAGGGTAGGGAACAAATTAAATAAATTAAATCTAGGGTCGGATTTGGATTTGATTTAAGGTTAAATTTACAGATTTACTTACAAAGTAGGGAAATCGGATTTAAATTTGATAAATTTAAGTACTCAAATTCCTGGATTATATAATTATTCCAGCCCCAGCCCCCCTTAACCGCCATACTTTACATACTCTATATATTAAAATCGTCGTCTTCTACATTTAAATCTCGCTATAAGTATCCCTCCTTCTCGTAATTATATATCAAAATATTATAATAGAGGCCAGTCCGTTGCTAATTCTTACAACGTTGAAATATATTAATAGTCTCATAATCGAAATTAATACAATTCTCTACCGTCTACTTAGTAGTACTAAAAGTACGTTCATACTCGTTTAATTCTACTAGTATAGAAAATACGTCAAATACTATATATAATAGTATTAAGTACTCCTTCTCATAATTACTCTACTATTATAGAATATCTATAATACCTTCTTCTAGGAAGCCTTCAACCTATTGAATAGCCTTATCATCGAAGGCAGGGATAGGAGAAGGAACTAGTCTAATATAATAACTGTTGCCAATCAATTAACTAAATTTAGTAAGTGGGTGAATAGGCTCTAGAACAACCGGCGGCAATAATACCCGTAGTTGGGGGAGGAAACTCTAAATATATTAATCCAATTAATATTAAAGGAAGCGCTTAATAATATTATCTCTTTTTATAGAGAAGTTAAAATCGAACTAACGAATATAATATTTAGGGTATAAAATTATAATAAATTAGTATATTAATATCTCCTCTATTAATTTCCTATACTTCTTAAATTTCAATATTATATAATCAATACTAATACTAATTAGCGTAGTACCGTTATTAATAAGGAGAGGCAGTAATTTATCCTCTATATTTCTACTAATAAATTCTTATAGAATAATAACTGCATTTTACTTTAGGAATAGCGAGGGTTCAACTAGTACTACAAATTACTAATTATATTACTATATACCCCCAAGTAATTCAATAATATCATCTTAGAACCGCTATAATAAATATATAGCGCATTAAGGTCTTTAAAGTTAATTCATAAATTAATTAGTAGGGGGAATTAAAAATAGATAGACGGGGAAAATATTTAGTCTAATAAATTGCTAGAAGGCGAACGCAACTAAATACTAAATACACTTACTTTTAAAGTGCTAAATTAACTAGTATAGTAACAGTAACACTTCGCCAATAAAGGGGGCTGTGAAGGCACGTAACGGGCGAGGCAGGGCTGCAGCGTTGTTGACGTTCAACATAGAATTTACGACTAAAGAGTAAAACAAAAGGGAAGAGTTGTGTGAGCAGCTGGGCTGGAAGATATGCCTCCAGACCCGGGTGCTCAGACCACTCTCCTTATCTAATCTACAACCAATCAAATCGCTTGCATCCAGGCGGTCGTGCAGCGCACCAGGCATCGGCATGGGTCAGCGGGACTGGGCCATGACAGGGGCTCTCTTTTTAAAAGTCTTATTAAATAAAATAAAATCTTTTAAAATATCTATTACCTAAGTAAGTATCCCCTAATCATCTTTATTAAATTAATCCCCTATTAATATCCTTTTATTAGAATCGCAACTATTATAAACTTTTAATAAATGTATACTAATTACATAACGTAATTTAATCCCTCTCTCAATTATTGTATATTTAAAATTCTACTTTATTGTATTATCAAAAATAATAATTATAATCAGCTTAAAATTCTCTCCTATTATTAAAAAAGTATATTTAGTAATAGTAATTAAGTTTAGTCGAATACCCTACTTATATACTTACCCTTACTCTATTTTCAATTCTATCTTAATAATTTAAGCGAACCTTTTACAATATTAAGGAAATTAGCAGATAAAATAATAAATATTATAAAACTTACCCAATAGGCTAGTCTTACGCTACTTTACTAATAAATCCTCTTCCTTTTACACAATTAATTTTATAAACCCCAATAAGTACTATAGCGCATCCTTTCTATTACTTCGAATTATAGCCTTTACTATTAAATTAAAGATATAACCGAAGTAACGTATACATAAATTCTTAATCTAGTATTCGTACTTATTGAGAAGAAAATTAATTGATCCCTTTAATATATAATTAATACAAATATCGTTAATTTGTATATTATTTAACTGGAACTAATTAAAGTCTTTTATAAATAATTTAACTAAATTAAAGTAATTTAATATAATTAGCATAACGTTCTCACCGCCGTAGCTACCTATTATATAATAGAGATTAAGTAATTAATATTCGAACTTCCAATCTTTACTAATATAATAAATAATAATACCGAGGAAGGTATACTAATTAAAGGAGGTCCAGAGATTAAATAAAATATACTTTTTAAATAAGGAGCGGACGAATTTCTATTTTAATATATTAAAATAAATATTATACTATTCTTTAACCTACGACCGAATTATCTTTTGTTACGAACTAATAAGCAGAAGGACACGGGCCAACCGGACTGCCGGTACACAGCAGGCACGTGAAGGCTGGGCAGTGTAACCATGGGCAGGGAACAAGGCTTACGGTGGGCCAGGCTCATGAACCAGGCCAGGCTCATAAAGGTGAGCCAGGCTCATGAATGAGCCCAGCTCATAGTGGTGAGCCAGGCTCAAGAATGAGCTCGGCTCACAGGAATGAGCCAACACTATCACCATGAGCCAACCTACGGAAAACGGCAAACCACCTGTAAGCACAATAGATATAAAGGGGCGACTGGAGAACTCAGATTGTCAGATAGTTCGACAGTTGTCAATAGATCAATATCACCGAGACCAGTATCACGATCATACTTGTTGTGAACCTTTTGGCTTCACCGAACAGCACTGATAGTCTTTACCTTCAGCTATCTCACTTAGGCAGATCAGACGGCCTGTTCGTCACATCTTTCTACTTAAGGGTAATAATTCAATTATTAATTGCTTATTTATTAATAGTATTAAACTTCTAAACTCCGGTGAAGAAATTATACGAAAGGGTATATTAGTATCAATAATCCAATTAAAGAGCAGCTCTTTAAAAGTTTTAGCGACCGGCTTTAAAATCGACTACTTATTAACACTCTTAGCGAATCTCCCTACTACCGATTTCGCGCGTTTTAAGACAGAATCCTCGGTAATTAGCGGCGCTAACTTTTTATATAACTAACGTAAATATTTACTAGAGGAACTAATAGCGAGGGTACTAAACGTAATAAAATAATATTTATAGTACCAAATAGTATTAAGCTTATTATCACTAGAAATCTCAATAAAGTAGTAACTATAGTTATTAATCTATAAAATTCGGTCCTTCTTATTATAAATCCATCTCTCCAATATATAATACCTCCCCTTCATATATATAGTAGGGAGGTTACTAATACTATAGAGAAGATTTTTAATATTAATAGCGATAAATTTTAGTATTTACTCCTTAAAGGAAGTCTTACGAATAGTATAGATAGTATTAAAGGTAAATACAACCGCTATTTCTTATTAGCTAGCGGTAAACTCTAGCTCTATAAGGCTATCAACGGAAGCCTGCCGAGTCACTCCGGGCCTACTTGGGATCCGAGGGGCGGATGCTATGTCGGTATGGAGGATTCTGCTCGCAGCGAGGCAGCACACCCTGCGTAAACGAAACTGGCTTTTTTCAGGGTCTGGAAGAGATGGACAAAGCTGCTGACGGTATCCTTGGTGTTAGTACAAAAGCCAAGCGGCCACACAGACATGGAAAATGGGCAGAGGAAGTCGTCGTCAAGCCACTCCAGTCACATACCAGATCCGGGTTATCATCGGTCATATTATGATGGTTGTAACGGCATAGGCCAAGTGTCAAATCCACCAGGGAGTCGGGTCTTTTGTTTGTTTCTTGTTCAAAGTAGGATCAAGCGATCCGCTAGCTGGGCTAAATGGTGTCTTCATTCACCACTTTCTAGCTTGGGCTCTTTTCTTCAATTGCAGAAGACAACTACGGTTCAGGCATTACGGCACCTATCAAGATGCTCCCGCTTCGTGGATCCTCAGGCTAATATTAATCAAAAGCGCATGCGCCGGTTCCGGGCGGGGAAGCCCTTGATGCATTTTACCACAGGCGTCATCACTCAGCAACATCAAAATATTACCCACGGCAAATGTTTTGATCGCTTGGGCGGTCATTCAGGGTGAAGATATTTACTCGCAAAATCGTCAATCTCATCGGTCCCCACGACTCTTCGGTTTATCGTCTTCTCTTCAAACATCACAGGCAAGTTCACCTGTTGTCACGCCGGGCATCACTCGCTATTCTCGCAGCAAGCTTCATTTCAGTCGCCACCGCCGCTTGCAATCGAGATGAACTTCTCCTGGCAGTCGACCAGTTCCTTCTCGGACCATGGGCCAAGCTGTTCCCTTGAAGAACATTGCCGATGACTTCCAATACATCGAGAACAACAAAACTACATTGATTATCACGGGAATTTTCAGCAGCATCCTCAAGATGGACTTCAACCGCACCATCATCAACATGGTTAGCTGCTTGACCTTCGCCGAAGTTGTCTCCACCACCTCCTACAAGCCCTTTGTGCTCAGCTCTTATATCCGTCACTACCTCAGTGACATCAGTATCTACAAGATCGACACCATCGCATCCACCACCGGCTCATGGCTCTTCAACGCCAGTTGGACTCTTCAGTTCGCTCGACAAGAAAACTGGCCCATCATGCCACTTGCTCAGAGAGATACCCGACACACGCTCCAAGCAGCAGCTGATACCTATCTGGACATGTGGAGCAACAAGAGTGCTATTAATGCGGTTCCATGGGGACACCATGTGCACGATTAGAGGGAAGCGTGTAAACAGGTAAAGGAGCGCCGGATGATTCATGCAAAGTGGACATGCCAAGCAACAACACGCAGCCGCCCAACTCTGACCGGCGCCATGTCATTGATGAAAGCACGGGGACTGTCAGCGTGCTTTGCAACTTTGCCGGATAGTCATGAGTTCAGGCTGGAGGGGAGCAAGCTGAGATATGTGCATACTATCACGGTTGCGGACAGTTCCGCGTGGGAGGACGTATAGGCGAAGCTTTTGAGGCATGATGATACAGCTCACAGGCCGCGTGAGTGAGGCTCATGGCTGGAGGCACAAAGTTTGCGTTTCCTTGTTCCATCTCTGGAAGGCAGTCGGGTTCACAAAACATCAGCGGACTTTGCACTCACAATCCAATGAGTTTTGACATGGAAGTATCACCAACGCCTGCACAACCATTCAGTCACGGATAAAGAGCTATCGTGGGCACTCACTGCATCCCGAGCATCACATCTCCAGTTCTGCCTCTACCAACCAAACACTATGTTAAGGCGCTTTCACAAACTCTTCAACATGTCCACCACCAATTCCATCCCCGATTGCTTCCCCCTCTTTCCCTACCTCCCCGGCGAACTCCGAGCCCTCATCTGGAAGCACGCCGTCGAACCCTACCGCGTCCTACGCATAACCCTCTACCAAAAGGACTTCCCACCCAACCCGCAACTCCCACCCAGCTCTCAGTTCTTGGGTTCGGCTGTCTACGGTCCGCCCTGGAACGTCAAAGTGGGCTGTACCGATGCACTCGTCGCAGCTACGAGACGTGTGCGCGATTTGATGCTGGTTTCGAGAGAGGCATATCGAGATATTACAGACTATATCCTGCCGGATCGGATCCATGTCACGGTCGATTGGGACCCTCCCTATCTGCAGGGGATGCATATGTTCGCGAGCAAAGGCGAGAAGGTATACAAGATTCCATGGAATAGGAAGACCGAGAGGGTTTATTTGGAGATGGTCCATTTGAAGTGGGATACCCATGAGAGTGGGGGGATGAGGGAAGGAATGTGGGAAAGGACAAGGGAGGAGATTCCGAGGGGAAGCGACCTACCTGCGCCGCCGGTGTGGGTTAATGAGGTCGGGTATGAGCCGTTTGGTCAAGACCCCGAGTCCAACTCGGAGTCGGATCCTGATGAAAGTCGTGATCCATCACGGCCATCAAGGTTTTACGTCCCGCCCGCTGACTCTATCGCCGCGACCACTGTCCCTGAACCAAACCCCGACTCAGACCAGGAACTACATATAGACCCCAGAGTACCAGGCGAGATCTACATTCCCCACACCCTCGCTCATGTCATCATTAGGAGACACATCAGCCTCGCTCCCATCCTCACTCGCCTCGCCCCCGTCGCATACAGATCCCTCATCCCGCTCGTTCTGCTTTGCAAGATCCTCCGCGTCACCAACATAACCATCATCGCCGACTCCATCCTCTACAGTAACCTTCCTGCTGGCCCCAGCCCAGCATGGGTAGATGAACACAAAGTGCTTCACGAACCGAGGATAGCGGAGTTAAGCAGGTTAAGCACTGCCTTGGCGGATCTTTTAGACTCAGAAACATCAACAACCCAAACCCAGCTCCAAACCCAATCCCAAACCCAAACCCGGCACGAAGTCCTAGCCCACGAACTCCGCGCCATGTCCCTCTCACCCGCAGACTTGCGCAGGATCCGCTTCTTCCGCCTTCGCGATCCAAATCCACCGCCAGCCCAAGACAGTCGCCGAAACGCGCGGGAAACACAACGGGTAAGAGGAGGAGGAAGGGGAGAATGGGGAACCGGTCGTCCTGGAACTTCCAATTGGGCAGGGGCACGGAATGAGGGAGATCAAAATCGTGGGCATGAGATGAGTAGAAGGGAGGGACAGTATGGTGGGTTTGGAAGTAGGAGGGGGTGGTGGGCATACCCTGGAGAAGGACGGGGACGGCTTTGGGGGCCTGGGGGTATGGGGTCAGGAGTAGGAGTGGGATACGGATATGCGGGGCCGGTTGGTTTGGATTTGGAGTTGGGGACAGGGCAGGGGACGGTTAGGGAGGTGGTGGCGGGGGGGGTGGGGTGGGAAAGTTTGGGCGCGATGGGTGCAATGGGCAGCGGGAGGGTGCTTGATGCGTCGCCGCCGGTAACGTCGATGGGGAGATCTTGGGGTTCGGGGTCTGGATTGGGATCGGGGTTTTCCGGGTTTGAGCGGCCGTGATGGCTTCAGGTCTTGGGAAAACCGGGATGGAGCTAACCTACTGAAGTGAGCGGCACAGGGGGCCGAGGATGATGGAACGGGACATTGAGCATGAGCAGGACTGGCGAGGCGACAAAGACCGTGGTTTCCAAAAACGATGTTCAACGAACAGCAGTTCCATTGGCGGCAATTCAACATCACAAGTTGGAACATTGGAGGCTTGATGCTGACGTAACATTGAAGTTGTACAACATCGGAAAACCTCAAGTCGGAAGTCAGCCACACTGGAGTGGCTGAGGTAGAGTTGGTGCGTTGTTATTTTTGGCTACATTCATTGCTATAATTGAGACTGACGTCGATGGAGTGCGTGTGCTCTTCTTCTGGCATGTGGTGTGCCTGGATTGTGGCGCACTTTGTTCCTCCGTTGTTCCTGAGACAGCCGTGTCTTTGTTTGGTGTGGGAGACGGGAAGGTAAGACAAAAGGGGACGGGTGGGTAGATAAAGAAGGCGGTTTTGAGAAATCTGGATGTTCGGCTTTTGTTCTATTGCCAGGACAGTTATGACCGGCTGGCATTAGACGTGATGGGAAGTCTGCTGAGGAAATGGGTGATGTCGCGGTGTGCAGGTGGAAGAGCAGCGTGGTGATGGCATTATGTTCGTGCTCAAGTTGATGAGTACGAATATCACTCGAGTTGTGCTCAGTTGCAAGATGTCTTGAGCTGTGTTCATTCATCCTCCTTGATCGCATGCTATCATATGCATTGTGCTAACAATCTTTACAGGCCCGCTGATGGTCTTTGCCGCATTTCCCGTCACGATACCACATGTCGTAAAGCAAGATCCCAAAACATCACCACTATCTTGATCAACATGAACACTCCATTCCTCAGGATCCCGCTCACCATCAATCTGTTTGTCTTCCTCAACTTGGCACTATCCAAAATGTCCACGAGCCATCGCTAGCCAGAGGCAACATTCAGCCACCCACCTTGGCGGAACTACCCTCCTGACTGCACTCATACAATCGTAAGAAGCGGCACCCGCTTAGTATTGTTGTTTACTTCCTTTCACCCCCTTTACCCCTGAGACGCATATAACTTGCAGCGCCATCGCAACAAGGATAGGCACACTATTCCTTCGATAGTCTGGTCCCAACTCACAAACACACTTTGCTCGCTGTGCAGCAGGACATTCGCTTTCCTCAATCTTTACCTGCTTTTCCAACTAGTACCTTCGTTTCATCTGACACATCACTTACTACATCCTACGTACCATGCATCAACGCTCGTTCAAACACGGCACCACCAGCACCAAGACAGCCCTCTTGGGAATGTTGATGGCTGCGCCGGGGGTCTGGGTGCAGGCTGCTCCTGGCGTTAGTCTTGATGCTGTCGTGGCCAACAAGCTCGAGACCAAGAGCCTCGATGGTTCTTCCATCATTGCCAACAAGCCAAAAGGTGACGACGAAGATGACCCCTGGTTGATGCCAGCCAACAAGTTCTACGACAACTACCTGGACAACTACTGGGCAAACCGCAACCAGTCTTCTGTGCATGGGCGGTCGTCGCTGGCGGGCATGGCGCACAGGAAGCGGACTGTGCCGAAGTATGATTCTGGTAGGCACCTCCCTCCCCCTTCTTTACCCCTTCTCACTACCTTAGGGTATCCAGTAGACTAACAGCACCCAGCCCTCTACTGCGGCGTCTTCGCCACCGGTTATAAAGAGGACATCTCCGCTCTCCTCTGGGACTTCCACACCAAAAATAACATCATCCACTACATCGTCGGCTGGCGCGAGTGTCGGCGCGTAGCATGCAAGAACACCAGTGGTATCTACATCTGCAACGACACCACCCAAACCGTGCGCGTCACGGGGGAGCGCATTTATACCTTGGGCAAGATTCCCTCTGACAACTGCTGCCACCAGGGACCGCCGGAAAACCCGACAAAGAAGGTTGGACATGGGATGAGTGGCCAAAAGTTCACGGGGACCGGGTTTAATGTCATTGTGGCGTATGCGAATTGCAATAAGGGCGAGTGGGACTATCGACCGCAGATGGGCCCGGCGGATAATCCGTGGGGACCGAATTTGGAGTGTTATACGGAGTTTTATGGGATGAGTCCGTCTCCGACGAATGGGGATGTGGTGACCAAGAGGGGGACGACGGAACTGAAAGAGAGGAAGTGGGAGTTGGTGGATGATGGGACGGGGGTGATGGATTTGGTGGAGAGGGAGAATACTCCTGTCAAGGAGAATGAAGTTGGTGGGGATGCGGATGTGGTGAAGCTGGAGGAGTGGGAGATGACCAAGAGGGAGGAGAAGGCAGGGAAGAGGTTTGAGGCTTGAGGCTTGATGGGAAGAATGTCAATCAAAATGTAATAGGAGGGCGTTTTGTTTCTTTCGTTGTGTGAACTTGTGAGAGGTCGTTGCGAGAAGGCGTCTGTACGATGGTGGCCTGTCTTTCTGGGGAAGCACGGGGATATGAGGGTATCGTCGTTTGGCCATTTCCGATACCAACTTGAATTTCAGTTTCCTTTTTCTTCCACTCTCGGGGTGTCCCGCATGAACTGATCTAATCAGATTTCTTCTCTTCTGTACTGTATCCAGTCAAAATGGGTCTCAACACTGCTCGTTCCTGGATGTCCATCCTTTTGGGAAGGTGAAGGTAACATGGGGTGACTACCTAGGTAGGTACCTTCATGTTATCGTCGGTGCCTACACGTTTTAGGTTACCTACTTTGGGAAGCACCGGCGCACCTAACGTCGACGTGCATGCGCTTAAAGTTTGAACGCATGAGTGTGTGGTGACAGGGGAACAAATGCGGGGGAACACAAAAGATAGGAAGGGTCCAACTTCCCTTTGGGGGGGTTGTACCAAGGCCTTGTCAGGGAAGCATCAATGTGGTCGTGGGCGTGGTCTCTAGAGCGTGATAGGAAGTTACTTGGTGTTGTGGCCTGTGGTCTCTGGCTGGACTCGGAGTGTTCCCTTGTTGTTGAAGACGAGGAAGAAGCCCCGACTTTGAAGATGCATCATCATGCATTGTCACTTCCTTTGCAGTAGTGATTTTGATAGTGGTGGGAGAAGAAGGAAGTTGCCAAAGATCTGGAGTAGCAGCCGCGTCATCTTCCTCTTTCCCAACTTCAGTTCCTTCCAAACATGGGGTCCCATCCCGTCCATGCCAGTAAAGATGTGTCCAACCTGTCCACGTGCCTTTGCCGGGGGACTATTGGCTGCTTTGTTTTCCAGTATTCGCGTTTGCTTGTTTCACCACTTTGGCACCATGTTCCTCCAATTTACTAGGTATGTTACCTATCATCGAATACGATATCGAAGCCGGGAAAACTGTACAGAGCATTGGGAAGGCAATTTGAAAAACTCCCAAGTATGGTAACAGGAGATATTGGAGATTGCATGTGAGAACCAAGCTGATGATTCTGATAGTCGCCTCAACGCTTTCACTCGCAGTTGTGCATTCACACCCCGATTTTGACGGTTTCCAGGTTGGCCAACTTGTTGCCCAGATGAACCCCCGCGGACCGCGCCACTTCCCGTCAATGAGACTCACCACCACCGTCACCCACCCACTCACCCACCCACCACATGGGCCGTGATTCCAATAGTGGAATGTCAAGCACGACCGCGCAGAACGCCATCAAGCAACGGGGAAACCCGTCGACGGTTGGTGAAAAGCTTGTTCGATCTAGGAAGTCTGAAAGTCTGAGGGGAAATGTAACCCTCTTTTCTTTCTTTTCTTCTGATGATTGCGCCAACCAGCCAGCCCATAGGTACTGACGAACCAACTGCCTGAAAAGTCCATGGAGCCGCCGGGCGCTATTGAATGCACTCCATTGTGTACAGGGGCATTGAGCAGGCCACTAACAGCCCCCAGGAGGGGACACACTAGAGATGAGGGCAATGGCAGACGCTGATCTGGCTTGGCTGTGCTTGGCAACTGCCTGATTAGGGAGGTTTCATTCGGATGTCACCCAACCATCACCAGGTCTAGTCGCTAATAACCATGCTGTGGCCATTAGCTACAGAAGACCATCATGAAAAATTTGGCTTCGTCTTTCTCCAGATCGACATCGCAGCCTCCTGGGTCAGTCAGTGGAGTGTAGTGCTTGTTCCTGCTGCCAACTGCCGCCCGAGGGCTAGTGTAGGCAGTCATTGGTTACACTGGAAATGGAGGCCAAAGTTGGATCTGGTCAACCCGCCATTGATTCCAACTCGTCCGTGCCGATTTCGGCATGTGGTTCTCGTGTTGTCCGACAGTAGACGAGATGAAGAGATAATGCAGAATCCTGGATGCTGATGGATTTCCACAGTCCGATCCGATGCTTTGAGGTATTTGTTGCAGTTTGTCCAGTAATGTGACTGAAAGTAAAACGACAAGTCGGACGGCAGAGATGACGATAATACGAACTGTGCAGGATATACCTACCTAGAGGTAAGTAAGAATGATCACGGTGAGAAAACACTGCCTGCTCATATATTGTCTTTAGTGGGTGATATCTTACTGACAGCTCTGCATAGCAATTGTTCTCACTCAGCAAACACAAACATGCTAAGGTAGGGTACCCATGATAGTACATAGTAGCCTGTGGTAGGCGAGTGGCAGGGCTTGAGGCAGGGGGACTTGGTGCCTCACGACAGGTGTGGCGCGAACCATGCTGTGCACTTCCAGTGTGTGTCCTCGGATTTATTCACACACGGCCTCAACCACAAGTCCCCATCTGATCCATCCACTCACTCCCCTGGATCGACAGAGCGCTCAATGTTACCTTGCCTACCTTCACCAGCTCTCGACTTGGCTTTGACCAGCCCCATGTGAGATGCGGTCTGCAATGACACTCCAGATAGCCGAACTCAAGGCGACCTAGGTTCCAATTGGGAAGGTTGTCGTATTTGACCTTCCAGAACCTGTCGAATGCACCGAAATTATGTCCATCTCAGTCGTTATCGACGGCCCGAGATGCGCGGCTTTTTTGTCTTTTGCCTGTCTAGAGACACTCCCATCAAGTGAGGGACCATCTTGTATAAAAACTCGACAAGAACCCCGATCAAGATGAGAGATTCCCTTTCCATCCCCAGGTCATCCTCTCCATCATCCATCCAGACAACCCCTCTCAGGATCACTTCCTCCTTCATCTCCTTCTAGCCCATCATGCAGATCAAGTCTTTCCTCCTCGCGGCCGCTGCTGCCCCCGCCGCCCTCGGCGCTGCCGTCAACACCATCAAGCCCTTCAACTGCGGTACTGATGCTCCCTCGCGCCAGCACATCCAGATGACCAAGGAGCTCGCCGAGAAGGAGGCTGCTATGGCTGCCGAGGGTATCATGACAGCCCAGGCCACCATCAACGTCAACGTCTACTTCCACGTTGTTGCCGCCTCCACCGCGCTCAGCGATGGCTACGTTACCGTATGTTTTCACCCATTTCTCGCAAACTCTCACAGTCAACTAACACCCTGATGAAATGCAGTCCACCATGATCAACAACCAGGTCGCCACCCTCAACACGGCCTACGCCCCGCACAACATCCAGTTCACCCTCAAGGGCACCGACTACACCATCAACAGCAACTGGGCCGTCGACGGCTCCGAGCTCGCCATGAAGAAGGCTTTGAGGAAGGGAACCTACAAGGACCTGAACCTGTACATCCTCAAGGACCTCGGCGACGCCCTGGGCTACTGCTACTTCCCGACCTCGGTCACGTCCAAGTCCAACGACTGGTACTACGACGGCTGCTCCATCCTGTACGACACCTTGCCTGGCGGCTCGCTGACCAACTACAACCTCGGCCACACGTCCACCCACGAGATCGGCCACTGGTTCGGTCTGTACCATACCTTCCAGGGAGGATGCACGGGCAACGGCGATTACGTGTCGGATACCCCTGCCCAGGCGTCGGCGAGCAGTGGGTGCCCGACGGGTAGGGACTCGTGCCCTAGCCAGCCTGGATTGGATCCTATTCACAATTATATGGATTACTCCTATGAGTATGTGTTCCCCTTCTTTTTTTTCTGGTTTCCTGCTTGAGATGAGAGGAAATGATGACTGACAGATGAAAAACAGCACCTGCTACGAGGAGTTCACTTCGGGCCAGAGGACTCGTATGACTTCGTACTGGAACCAATACCGCGCCAACGCCTCCGTCTAAGCGGCAGACCTTGGGATGGTCGACGACTCTGCAGCAGTTCAAGACCGCAATGTTTGTTGTAGGCGATGGCAGTTTAATCTGGTTGTACATAGTGTCTTTTCCCCTCTTCCTTGTGTGAGATTTTGTCTGGATCTCTGCACTTGGAAAAAAAGATTGGACGGATGATCATGGATGTCTATAATGATGAGATGATGAGAGATGGATGATACCTGGTGGGATTGATGTAGAGGAGAGATACCAAACCGAAAGAATGAAATAAATCATTTTTTTGATGAACTTCCTTTGTTCTTGTTCTTGTTGGTCGTGATCGTGATCGTGTCTGCGTCTGTTGCCCGGCGAAACTCTCGTTCACGCAGTCAAGTGCTCCGTTGCTTTGGTGCTGGGAGATAGGAGATGGCAGTGCCGATGGAGGACGACACGCTACCTCTACGTGAGGGACGTGGTGCGGTCGTTGTCGGTGAAAATGGACTTTGCTCAACCCCCTTCCAGGAAGGTGAAGATGAAGACGAAGTTGAAGTCGAAGTTGAACGTCAGATGAAAATCGGAGCAAGCAACCCACGCAAAGCACCACGCAGAAGCACCTGCATGCAAAGACGTCAACCGCCAGCATGAAGCATCAACCCGGCATGACAGAAACAGACGGGCGTCAATGCGTATGAAAAAACCAGGAATGGGAATGGGATGCGGAATAATCTCAAAGTATCAAGCAAAACCAGAAGGAAGCCATCGCCCATAGAAGTAGCGAGCCTGGCGCCAAACGCGGGGCATTTGCGCATTAGCCAGTGTCGATGTGAGACGTGCCGCGAAGCAAGACAATTAAATGCCCCGTTACACTCCCTCGAAATAGCAATAATCTCATACGTACAATCGATGACCTTGTTCCTACATCCAAACCCCAAAGACGTTGTGTTGTACTTGATGAGCAGGAGACCCGGCGGTTGAGCTTCCTCCGTCCCGCTCTACGGGTAGCACGAAAGGAAAAAGCGGGGTTGAAGCCATATGCACCATCTTTGTGCGTTGCAACTATGTAAGCTCTTATCTGCGCACCAATTTTCAACAATAAGCGCCAATGGTCTAACGGCTAGGATTCATCCCTTCCAAGGATGAGGTGGGGGTTCGATTCCCTCTTGGCGCATCTTTTTTTCTACTTTTCTAGTCCTTAATCATTGTTGAACATGTAGTTGGGAGCAATTCCCGCTCGTTTTAATCTTTTTGGAAGGGGTTGTCGGTTTCTGTTTGCTTTGGTTGTATGGGCGACTCCAGGAGTCTGCGTTGATGTTCGTTACGCCAATGGGTCAGAATTGATAGTGGAACCATTTTGTCATCTTCTCTAGGGAATAATCTGAAAGGAGATAATTGACAATTTTCTTTGATCTGAAGCAGATAGGTGGTTTATCTCATGGCTATGGAGATAGAGGAGAAGGGATGAACGGATGGATGTATCGTTCGGTGTTCGCGACATCAGAAGAGCCCTAAAGGGTTTCCTTACGAGGAAACATCACAAAGAAGATGATCGGGCTCCAGACAAAATTGGCCTTTTCATTAAAGGTAATCTTCAAAATTGTCTGTCATAGAAGACACCATCCTTGATTCCTTTGTTCGATCCCTGAAGTTAGGCAGTAAACAAGTCCACACCAAGAGACCAATCCTTCCAAGTTCCTCCCCACCCATCCACCCATCCACTCATCTGGCGTTCACTCAAACCTGCCTCTCATGAACAACAGAATGCTTCTCGTTATCCAGCTCTCCAACCCCCTGTTCAGTCTCCACCCTCTTCTGCTGTAACTGAGTCAAGTCTTCCTTATCCTCAAACACTGCATCATCACAGCCTTCGTTAGCAACAGCTCAATCCTTGTAATAGGGTGACCAGGTGCACTCACAGAAAGCCAACTCCTCCAAACTACGATTCGACGTCTCCGGCCACAAGAACCAGATGAGCGCCGCCTCGGCAAAGATCCAGCAGCAGTACACCAGCAGGTACTTCCAGCCAATAGCCTGGGTGCCGATGGGGTTGACGTTGGTGCCAAAGAACTGCGCCGCCTTGCCCCAGAACTGGAAGATGGCGATGCCGCGGGCGCGTTGGGCGTAGGGGAAGATTTCGACGAGGTAGGCTGCCATTTATTAGCATCACAATCAGAGAACCATAGGGGTAGACAGAGGGGAAAAGGAAAAAGGTAGGACCGACTGTAGGTAAGAGCGTTGAAACACAAGTTGTAAGCCGGACTATAAGCGTAAATCCAGAACAAGCTAAACTTGGCCGCCACGGGATTCTTGTGTGCAATAAACACCGCCGTGCACACCGTCCAGCCAACATAGACTGCCAAGATCGAAAAGATGCCCGTCAGGTACATGGTTCTGCGCCGGAACCTCATGACCACCATCGCGGCGCTGACACCGCAGACCAAACTCCAGCATTGATTACCCAAGTTATACTTGGTCTGAAAGCTGGGATCCGTGTAGCCGATCAACTTGAGAACGTCACCGAGAAAGTACGAAATGACGACATTGCCCGAGAGTTGAGTGAAAAGGCCGAGCAAAGAACCGATGAGCACGCGGCGGCGCATCCCGGCGGTCCGGATCATATCCGCCCACGACTGCTTCGAATGCTCCAACTCGATCTCGAGAGTGACTTTGATCTCGGCAATTTCCGCCTTGACAAACTCACTGTCCGCGTTTCCTTCGGCATGGTAGTGGATGAGTACATTCTTTGCTTCCTCAAGCCGATCTTTACTCATTAGGTATCTCGGAGACTCCGGAAGGAAGAAGACAAAGACGACTTGGAGGAGGGAAGGAGCCATTTGAAGAAGAGAAGGAATTCGCCATGACCAATCGTTCTTGATCCGTTGTGTACCAAACGTGCAGCCAGCGGCCACGATGGCGCCGATGAAGTAGCAGGCGTTGAAGAGGGATGTTAGAATGGGACGTTCCTTTGGGTAGGCTAGTTCACCAATCAAGCACGAGCCGGCGACAATGGCGTAGGGGAGGCCGAAACCAATGATGGCGCGGGCAATGATGTACATGGGGGCTGGCGGACGTTAGTATAACCGAGCGAAGAGGTCGTAGCATGAAGTGGGCACACCGTTCTTCGAAAAACCTTGGATAAATGTGCCAATGATCATGATGCAGGAACCAAACATGATGCACCATCGACGGCCAAAGTTGTCGTTAATCAGCGGGATGAAGGGCAGACCGAGGACGGAACCGAGAGGAAGAGCGGAAGCGAGGATGCCGCTGTAGCCACCGGTTGGATGGCCAAAGTCTGTTCACCCCCATTAGCACCTATCTTCTTCATCTCGATAATAGGGGGCATTGAAGTTAAAGAACTCACATTCTTTCCACGCAGGCAATAACTGTGCGGAGTTGATGATTTGCGAATCGAACCCCGACGTCATCTCGATACCGATGACACAGGGGAAAAGCAGTAAATACATGTTCCGCAGATGTGGCTTCTTCCACCATGGAATGGGATCATCCATGGCCATCCGGTGGATGACATTGTCGGACTGGGGGCCTCCGCCGACCATCTTGACGGTGTGTGGTGGTGATTAGCTGGTACTGGAGTAAGTGGTAAGTGATGCGGGTGAAGACGATGGCACGGTGTAGAAACCGGGCATGGAAAAAGGAAGAAGCTCTAAGGGAAGGGACCGATATCAGGGACCAAGGCGTGCATATATGGACTAGAGATGGGGCAGGTTGATCTCTCCTCAGCTAGGATCTGGTGTCTGGGGATACCACGTGGGCAAGTGACTTGTATCAGGCTATATGTTGCCTCATCGGATAGTAAACAATACAGAAAAAGGAAATATGACTGGCTGGGGAGACCCGATAGAGCGGAAACGTGGAGTAATGGTTTGTTGTTGGTTGGATCCCCATGGTGCTCATCTCGCAGCAGGTGCATTCTTCCAGTAGAGGTAAGTCCGAGGGGGAAGATCGTTTAGTTCTGGGTTGGCCTGGGGAAGCGGGACCTAGAGCCGGATGGATTCTCCATATCGCATGGTCAACACAAAAATTGGCTGGATGCAAATCCGGGGTGCGATGGTGCTCCTGTGGTGTCTGTCCCTGACGCCAGCCTCTCGTCTAAGCTGTCAGCCGCCAAAGAGGTAACGACTGGCGCCGGGAAGAAAGATGTGAGTAAATTAGCGGTATAGTCTGCGACTCCTGGATGGGGAAGCTTGACATCAGTGGCTGATTGAATGAAGTCCGGTTAGGCTAAAGACTATCACCCAAAGGGACAAGAGATCCAGCATGCATGGTGTGGAGGGAGAGACGCACCACCCACCCTAGGCTCGTAACAACCCAGAATCATGAAGCTTATTCTCTTTCTATCCCAATGTAACCCCCATGCTTTCTTCGCAGCTTCCCATACTCTCATGCTAAAGATTGTGGGACAGTGTCCTGACCCCATTTGCTGTCAGTCTACCAGAGCCGTGGTAATGGGCTTTTCTCTTGTTCTTCCCGACGTGCTCTCGATGCTCGGGAAGTGCCATGAAAAGCCCGTACCAGAGGGGGGCGCTTGGGGAAGAGCGCTCCGGTGTCCAGTGTTATGGCCGTGATTCCGTTACAGGTGCTCAAATCAGGCTAATATACCTTACCCAACCGCCGCTGGTAGCGGCACGGCATGTGTGGCATGCGCGGTTCAACGCCAGAATGGTACCCTGTCGCCCAACCTGTAGAGAAAATAATACCGCTCGGCGTTATTCTGTCTTGCCCATAGCGACCCATAGTGCTATCTGCATGCGCGGGACAAGATGAGGTCCCGTGATGGTGTAAGGCTGGCATGTATGGTTCAAGTTCGGCGGGAAGAAAGGAACGAACAAGTTCGAGTGATGGTGTAGTGGCTTGAATCAAGCATCAAGTAGTGGAAGCCAAGAGCATTGGCAGATACCAGTGCTGGGTGTCAAGTTGACCGAGCTTTTGCAACTTCGAGTTGAGAAGGACGTTTCTACCTTGACACGACATGTCTGGATTATGGAAGCGTTGTTTAAGATCGAGTGTTCGGATGAGAATGTTTCGAGTATGTTGGACCGAAAGTGCTCGAGGTAGGATGAGTAGGATCCGGGGAACTGTCAAGACAGCCATCTTTTCAGTCAGCAATCGTGCTTTGAGCCGCGCCAGTAACCTCCAGCTTCCACCAGCCTTGCAATATGTAATCTGACCAACGTAGATGGATGAACTTGCCGAACTTCCGGAGGTGGCCACTCCTGTCGCGGATATCGCATGCAATGTCTAGCCCGCTATGCACTCAAAGTCCCGTGTCTGATCGGCTGAGCTTCGCGATTATGCTCATGGCAACTGAGATTGAGGGACGGGACGGTTGTTGATCTGGGGTTAGAATTTGGAAAGCAGGGCAATGTTCTTGTTACAAGGAAGGTAAGAGAAGAGCACATCATCTAAGCAGACGGGTTTTCGTATGGTAGGATGTGAGGAGGAAAAAGTAGACGAAGATGTGGTGGGAAAGGCGAAAGCATCAAACAGCGTGGAAAGATTGAATTCGTCCAGGATCGATTCGTCAAGCAATTCCAGAGAGATGTTGGGGTAAGAAAGCAGTTTGTGGCCTGGAAGATTTCGCGTATCAATTAGCGCTCCATATTCCATCATCGCTCCTTCCAGTGTTCGTGAAGCATAGTAGTTGAGGATCCCCGGGGTTACAAATCTCCGCTGCGGTTCACTCCTTCCTTGCATCCTCGCATGTCATGTGTCCACTCTGCTCCGTGCTGCTCCTTTCTCAACTCGCTTTTGTTCGTTTGTTCACGGGATGGAAATACCAGCATGTTCCCATGGAGGTACTATTTCCTAGTATCGGTGTCAACCACTTTGAACGATCCATCTGTGCAGTGATGTTCGTAACGACTCACTTCAAGATCCGAACTAGCACTTCCCGCAAGGACTCCAGGGACAGTACCCGACCTCACAGTAGTTGGAGCAATAGCAATGTCCACTACTGCAATACCCCGTGCCGCCGCCGCACGTCTTCACAGCAGCTAAGGCCTTTGGGTCCATGGACTGTGGATCGAAGATGGCAGCGGGAGCAGCGAGTATCGCGGTGGCCAAGAGGAAGAACCAGGTAATGAACTTCATGGTAGCTCGTGTTATTGCGTCATCGATGATCTTGTGGTATGTAGGCGATACTGACGATTAAAGCGAGGAACAGTCATTGATCCTGAGCGTGTCAAATGCCCTCCCTTCTTATAGGCCCACGCTTGTGACCGAAAGCCGCGGTCTTTGATACTCATAAGAGTCGTCAGGTTCCTAAGTATCTTGATAGCTGATTGAACCCTGGAAGAAGGAAGCCAGTGATGCCGACGAAGGCTAGGTTAAGCGAACTTGCGCAGCAAACAAACTTGTTGAACTTCTTGATGACTCATGAGCTCACCGGCGTCCCAGAAGCCTGGATCCGACAGCGCTGTCATTTGGAAGTATTAGAGGCTTATTTTCAAGTCGAGCAAGTCAAAACAGAAACGGACTGGCATAAAAAGACACGGGTAAAAGGTTGTAAGTAGGTAGTTGAAGTTCGCGGCTAACATGTTTATTTCCGGGCTGTGATACGGCATGTTGTACAAGCCGCGACTTGTACTGTGTCGGCCGAGGGAGGAGAACGACAGGGTAAACACATTCCACATTGGGTGTTCGGGAGACTACTAGATGAAGGAAAGTTGAGTGCCGTTCGTCTTCGTTTGGGACAGCATCCTCTTCCGTTACCACTGGTTACACGCAGGATGTACCAGACATCGCAGTTGCCAGCCAGCAATATCTCACGTCGACCTTTCCAGGCCGTCGCAAACCAATCCTTGCCTTTTATACTCCTTTCTTTCGTTCTCCTTGCTCTAGCACCGGGCCCCGAACAATCATTCTCCACTCCTGAAATCCCCCAACTCTCGGGTCCGGTGTCCACCAACGCCCTTGAGATTGCTCGCCAACCACTGCTGTCCTGACCCCTCTCAGAGGCTAGATTCGTAAAGGTTCCCCAGTAGCTGACAGAACGTTCGATGGTGTCACGGTTTCGTCAACAAAAAATCGTGACGTTTGACAGCCAGGATGATTCCGCACCAACATCGGGCATCCTCGGCACGCCCCTCAACTGACCAATCAGAGGCCTTCCTGGTGACTAACTGCCAAGGATAGGGGTCCTCGTTGCTTGATGATGTGTTTGGTGTTAAAAAAAAGGCTTCTATCATCCACGGTAATGTACCTCCTCGTGTGTAACTGCAATTTCTCCGAGTCCGTACGACACACATTCATTTCTGAAGTTCGTCAAGGTATCGTCGAGAAAATGTCCACAGCACCCAAAGAGACCGAAACCGAGGCAGCGCCCTGGTACGCCGCCTACCCCGAGCCTCAGTCGGACCTGATGAACATCTCGCGCGCAGAGGTGTTGGAAATGCTCAAGGGCTCGACGGGTGAAACCGCCGGCAAGGATTTCGTGCTAGTCGATCTGCGAAGAGACGATTGCAAGGTTCGTTCGTTCGTTCGTTGTGATGGCTGGCGTCCATCCACCCCCTTTCCAGAGTCCAGCTCCAGAGCCTCCAGGTGCTAACGCCAAGCCCTCCGCCCCTTTCTACCAATAGGGCGGCACAATCCGCGGCTCAATCAACCTGCCCGCCCAGTCCATGTACCAGACTCTCCCGACGATCTATGACATGTTCAAGGCGGCGGGGGTGAAGAAGGCCATCTTCTACTGCGGCACTTCGAGAGGCCGTGGTAGCCGTGCCGCGCGCTGGTTGTCGGATTACCTCGTCGAAATAGGCGATAACTCGATTCAAAGCTTTGCTCTGTTTGAAGGCATCAAGGGCTGGGCAAACGCGGGGCCCGAGTATGTCGAGTTTATGGATGAGCACGATGGGTCGGTTTGGGAGAGGTTGAAGAGCCAGTGAAGGACGCGGAGGCGGGATTGGTGGATGACGGCCGGGGGTGGTTCGTCGATGGCGGTGGTGGTGGTGGTTGTTGATGGTCGAGAGGGGTGTGGGGAGATGTGGGAAATGTTGAAGAGGGACGCGGAGGAGGCGGTTGGGACGTTGCCTGTGCTTGGCTGAGGGGACTGGTTCTGGGTGGCGGACATGGTGTTTGTTGATGATGGGAATGAGGGCATTCAGGGGTGGTTGTTTACAGCGTCACAAACGACGGGAGCATTAACAAAGAAGAAGGGAATCAACACAGATATAAATTCCCAATCCTAAAAGACAGGGGGCATGGATTATGTTTCCATGACTGCATAAAGTCAAAGATCGTATGAGGCGAGTTTGGACTTCTTGGACTCCATTCGCTCACCGCACAAATCCATCACATCTGTTGGGCTTCAAGGCTTCAACCTGGTCCAGTCGGTCTCGACTTGGTGAAAGAGGAGCAATCCGACGAGTGGAAGCCCCAGACGCGGAACCGACAATTCGTAGCGAATCGACACTGCAGCGCATCATCTTCAGCGGTCCCGTCTGGGCTTCAGGGGACCCCCGCCCGCCTGTGTCAGCCTCCTGTGTCCGCCGTGTGCCGGTCCCGCAATGAGTGGCCCAAGCTCCCCCACTGGGCCCCGCATGATCGACCAATCAAAGGCTGAAATCGGCGTGATGCCCGTCTGTCAATCGGCAACTTGTACCGTCGTTGGCTGTAGTGTTGACGCCTAACTGACCGTCAAGGTGCCTGCCCGCCCTCTTGCTTTGAGTGATCAAAGGAATTGTTGGCCAAAACAAAAACAAACAACAACAAGACCAGCAAACACACACACACAACTCCAAACGGAACTCACAGACAACAATCACCCATCATGTCACGACGACCGCCCAGAGGAGAATACATCGAGACCGACACCGGCAACAAGGTGGCCCGTAAGGCTACTTTGGTCGGCACCCAAAACATTATGCTCGGCGGCAAGACAGTCATCCAGCCCGACGTCATGATCCGAGGCGACCTCGCGAGAACGATTCCACCAGCCCAGTCCGCGTCCGGCGGTCCAGCCAATAACACTGCCGTTGCCATTGGTCGATACTGTTTCTTGAGCAGAGGGTGCTGTCTTCGGCCGCCGGGCAGGATGTACAAGGGGTATGTCTGCTCCTCCACCCTCTCTCTTCCAATTTGACTATGTTCGTTACCATGGCTGACGGCAATCTAAACAGAGTCTTCACCTTCATGCCCCTCCGTCTCGGCGACCACGTCTTTGTCGGCCCCGGTACCGTTGTCCAAGCTGCTCAGATTGGCAACCACGTCCACATAGGCGGTAAGGTCGTCATTGGCGAGTTTGCCATCATCAAGGATTACGTCAAAGTTCTCGACGGCTCGGTTGTGCCTCCGAATATGGTCATCCCCAGCTTCAGCATCGTCGCTGGTCAGCCGGCGCGTATCATTGGCGAGATCCCCGAGGGAGGCATCGAGGCATTCGAGTTGAGGGATTTGTACAAGACAGTGGGGAACAACCCCCAGCCGACGGCGCCTTGAAGAGCTTTTTTTGGTATGACAGCTCTTTGCGAGAAGAAATACTACAAGAGATCAAGGATCGCGAAAGGGTAGCGCATACTCGAGATGTTGGACCAAGCTGTCGTATGTATTACTCTCTATACACCCACGATTCGAAAACCTCATTAACACATCTCCTTCCTAGTCTACCTCGCATACGTACTCTGCGGCGCCCCCGTGCCACCCTCCCTCTCCAACCTCAAAATACTCTCCGCATTCGCCCTCACACTTTCCTCCAACCCCGTCCAGCCCTTCTTCTGTCCCACCCTCTTCAACAACTCCTCGGCCCTTTGGTTTGGCACCTCCGTCTGATCCCACCCCTCCTTCTTTGGCTGTCCAAACTTCTCCTTTCTCTCGGGAAACATCTCCCCCAACAACCGCGCCACCTCCTTGAAGCTATACCGCTCGCCGAAGACAAACAATCTCTCCCTATCCACCTTCGGGCTCGACGCCAGCGCTGCGACGTACACCTTGGCCATATCCACGCAATCCACAAACCACTGCGGTTCCATCAGGTCAATGATAGCCATGTGCTTGTTCTCCCAGATCCAATGGACCATGCCTGGCGTGCTCGGGATCCCTTGATTCTTCGGATCAAGACACTCGCCGAGTACAGTATCAAGCAGAACGGTATTGAACGCAAACCCAGGCTTCTCGCGCTTTACCCATTCCCATACTCCCTGCTCAACAAGAGTCTTGAGCGCCATAAACCCCGCCATTCCTTTGGTTTTCGGATCAACATTCTTATCCCTTGCCAGGGCCACGGCGTCTTCGTTCCAACTTTGTTCCGTCAGAGTCACCTTCTTACTAGCATCAGGCATCCAAAGCGCCCACGCCGAAGAAGTAAAAACAAAGCTTTTGACGGTCCCTGCCCGCTTAGCAGCCTCCAACAAACCAACCTGCCACTCCAACTCCTCCTTAGCAGCGCTATCCGGCTCCTGGATAGTCAAGTCCGTGGCTCCCACGCAGTGCACGATCCCCGCCACTCCCTTCACGGCGTCATCCCAGGCGTTGGGGGCCGTGACGTCGGAAATCTCGACGAGTTCGAATTTTCCCGGGCCGCCGTGGCGGTGGGAGTAGAGGGAAGTAAGGTAGGAGCATTTGTTGGGGTTGCGAACGGTGCCGCGGACGCGGTAGCCTGCTGCGAGGAGCTGGTCGGCGACGTGCGAGGCTAAGAGGCCGTTGCAGCCTGTTACGAGAATGAGGGAGTTGAGGGGGATGGAGGGGTTGGTGAGCGAGATCTTGGACTTGGAAGAGGACATGGTGGTCTTGGAAGGGGACATGTCGATGTTGGGGCTTGGTGTGAGGAACTTGTTGGATACGAGTTAGGATTGAGTCGTTTGGGACAAATATGGAGGCTTGCGTTGGGTTTACGTTGTGTTTGCAATGTATATGGAAGTTTTTGATGGATGAATCGAAAACAAGGCAGGGGTACTGGGCAGAAGAAATACCCCAGAAGGACGGAGAGAGTCACCACCACGCTGGCTTACAAACAATCATCCTCGGAGACCGGACGACCCCGAGAACGAGTCCGTAGCGGACTGCGTGTCGGACAACCTGCCCAGTTCCTGCCGGTTCCCACTTCTGTCACACGCGAGACGCGCCATGCGGCGTACAAGTAGCTCGGTATTCGGACCGGGAGGCATGCTGATGCGATACCTCTAAGACAGCTAATGGGTGTTGTCCGAGGGTCGGTGCATCGATCCGATCTCCTCACTCCACGTCTTGGTGTTCAGCAAGCTAACAACCGGGCTATCGGTGATTGGAAGCAAACTGTGTTGGTTTCCGGTTCTTAAACAACTTGGCAGGTGAGCGAGCAGCTCTCAGGTGGACTACTCAACCCTTCCATAGTCGTTAATACCGTTCGTCCTCTGAGCCTCTCGTCCGTCGCCCGTGCCATCTTTCATTGGCCCTCGTCAAAAAGCTTGCGATCTTGTTGCCTGGTGATATCGTATTTTTCTGGCTGGATCAATATCTGGATGAGCCTTGAACAGCATGCCCACGAGGTTCATGAACCAGCGAAGGCGATGTTCGCTACGATTTCTATTACTTACCAGTTACTCCCTTGGTATCATGTGTGATGGCGGCATTCGGATGATTGTATTGGAGCTCTATGATGAGTTTGCGACTGAAATTACCCTCCTGTCTGTGTAATTTACACCTTCAATCGGTGGTTCACGTACGAAAATTACCGAAATTCGTTCGCCAGGGGCAGATAAAACCGTTACAGTGACGAGGTCTACATACTAGCAGTTGCAGCTGATCACACGCAGGGCACTCATGGCGCTTAGAGCATTCCACAGTATGACGGGCATCAATCACCGTGTGAGAAGATGAAAGCACTGAGAGGACAATCCTCAACGGCGCGGTTCCCTTGTTATGCTGACATGTGCAATACGACGAGCCAAGCATTCGATCTGTTTCTTTTGTGACTTTCGGCACATCCCCTCTCTGCTTTTCTACATGGACTTTTATATTAACACATCACGAGACAAGGTTTGTCGGGTTGGCTGGAAGAGGACTACATCGATATCATGATGTTGACCACGACGTTCAGTTCACAGTGCGAGATAGCCCTCGCTACATCGTACCTTCGTTGCGCTAAAACGGCCCAGGGCTGGGGTCGCGCTCCGTCTTGAACCTCACCTCTTCCCTTTTTCTCTCCAACTTCATTCCGCTTTACAGCAGCACATGGTACCGCCGCCTGAGCCACAATCTTTTATCACCAACAGGTTCATCCGATAAAGCGACCCAACATCCAAGAGAGATCTCAACCCATACTAGTAGACATGGAACGATGGAAGACCGACCGCTGCTGGCTGACCCCATTCACAGTCACGCTCTCGCCTGATGAGCTCGGCTTCTTTCCGGATCCACCACAGCGCTTGCTCGAGACGATCACCAACTCGAATTTGAAGTTGATGCTCTCTCCACCGGACTATACTCTTCAATATTGGCCAATGGTGCTTGGTGAGGCACATCACCAAGTCTATCAACGGACGGATACGACATTACGAAAGCGTATTGCGACGTACATATCACCATTCAATCTCGGTCCAGCTAGGCTGTGCAACTCCAACCTCTCCCGCCGCCCAGTTTGGATCGTCGGTTCTTGGACAAGTGTCTACCTCTTCAGACCTGACTAGACTCATTCTTGCCCGCACATATGGACATTCCTTACTCCGCTTAGAGGAGAGCAAACCTTATCTCCGAAATGATACAACACGGTCACTCCCTAGTTCGATCGGGTTTCCCCGCGTGATAGACAACCAGGGGCGGCCGCCTTAAACAATTCGTACCGGTAATGGTGATCACCATAAGCGCCACCTGTCTTTGACTGTCCCACTTCAAGCACACACCGAGTGGGTTGTTGTGTAGCCCCGTTGCCCGAGATCTACCCGAGAAAGTCTCGGTAACACGCCCTGTCTTGTTCGCAACACCCTGGCTGGGTATGTTCCATCCTGACAGTTGGACAACAGGACCAGCAACGGCCAACTCTGGCGCCATTTTTGAAGGGCAGTCTGGGTTGTGGGTGACCGGGAAACACTCGAATCCCACTTCAGGCCTAGGGCCTATCATGTGCTTGCTTGCACCGCAACCATCAATAAATGCGGTACTGTAGTGCGGTTTGATAGTATCTGGTAGGCTGCTAGCCTAGCTGTACTTACTGACCTTTGATCCCGTTTCATTTTCTTCCCATTTTATCTGGTCACTTGTCCGCATCCAAGGTCGCATTTGCCGGACCGAAGCAGTGGACGGCGAGGCCCACGCACTAATTTCTTGTGCTCTGGCGCAGACCTGACTTTTCGAACCTCACCCATTTATCATTTATCATTTCGTCTCTTTTGGTCAGCTTTTGTCTGCCTCTATGTTGATTCACATTGCACCCTTTCTCAGCTCTACTCTGCTCCCCGTCAGGCACTTCTGCCTTTGACAATGAGCTACAGCTCGCGCCAGCCTGACCTCGGGTCCAAGACAGTATCCCCAAAGCGATCACTTACAGACATTCGATCCAAGGCAGTCTCTCCAGATCGATGGAGAGACCCAGGCTTGCTCTTTCAGAGGGACTCTGAATCTTCCATGGGCTCCTCTGACCATTCGACTCCAACGAACGGGAGTCCCCAGATTAGAGCGACCATTTTCGAGCCATTCAACCGCGTCTTCTCACCATATTCAGAAAGCAGCGCAGCCTTCTCTCCTCCGCTTTTCCCGCTTCCTGAGGTGCCAGACACGCCAACTTCGACATTGGGGCAATTCGGCGATCTCGTTCAACAAAACATCCCCCAGAATCCGTCGGCTACAGAATTGGTGCAAAAAGTCTATCAGTCTTGGAGCAGCCAGTCGCGGGATGGACAGAGTGAGACGCATCACAGCCAAAGTCATAGCCGTACACGATCGAGGCATCATCACTCTCAGTCGCGATCAAGAAGTGAACAGCGCCAAGGTCGTGAAGGTCAAGATCTTCGAGAAGTCCTAGAGAGTCCAGCGAGCCGCCAGCCGAGCCTTAGAAGGAGTGCTACACAGCAGTCCTTCGACACTCGCGACAATCGCGAACGTAGTCATAGTAGAAGCACTCTACAAGCGGCGGCCCAAGCTACAAGGGAGGCTCATGAACGCATTCAGCATACGACCGCTGTCCACGCTTCACTAAAGGAGATCGAGCGAAATAGAGAAGGCGAGAAGGAGAGAAACGGGGATCGGGAGCGAGCACGGGAAAGGGACAGGTCACAATCTACTCACCGGAGGGGAGCGAGCGCAAATAAGCTACGCCTCCTCGCCCATGAAAGGAGCTACGATAACGACCGCGAAATCGCGACCGACAAGGTCAATAGATTTTTACAGTCGTTGGAACCATCCAAGCAAGCGTTCATGACATTCCAGACAGCAGAGTCTCCAACGCCACAGGCAATACCACGGTTTGCGGCATCCGAAACATCCCAGTCTATGGTATCCCAACAAACACCTGTTTTGACCAGACCTCAAACGCCTCAGTCCATGGTCTCTCAGCCAACACAGTTCACGCCAACCCAGAACCAGACTGTTGACCACGAGAAAGAGTTGATGCTGGAGAACCGTGGCTTGTATCAGAGAGTTGCCGCTCTGCAACGAACAGAACGGGACCTACTTGCCGAGAACCAGGATCTTGTCCGACAATTGGCCATCCTCAAGAAGCACCACGAGACCCGTCGGGAGCAATGGCAGGATGAGCTTCAGAGCGTCAAAGAAAGGGAGAAGATGCTGCTCGCTGAAGCGCAACAGCTGAAAGCGCAGACCATGCGACAGGAGAAGCAAATCATCGATCTTACGATTTCCAGCTCACAGCTGGCGCCGGCACTCGAGCCCACTCCTGGATTGTTGTCCAACCAGGAAATCAAAGCCTGGTTCGCAGAGCGCGATGAGACATGGTATGCCTGGGCACGGGACTACGCATCAAAGGATCCGAACAGGCTATTGACCGGCTTACACCCTCTCCAGCTTCACGAGCTTTGCGATGGCGTCAAAGACTTCGTCAAGATCACAGATGATCACAAGCTGCCCAGCGAGCTTCTGGTCGGGAGTACCGAGATGGTCCAGACATTGCTGCACAGCATACTAGCCAATTTCATTTGCTCAGAAGCGCTGTCCTCTCCTTTCTGGGTCTTCAACGCCATCTCATCTGGAACCCCTGAGAGTCCCTACATGGCTCCAACTACAGCCATCTCACCTGGCGGCTTTCACTTTGACTTCTCAATGTCAAACGCCATACCGTCTCGCAACCTCTACGTCCCATCAGCTCAGAACGCACGAAAACCGCTCTCCCTGCTCACTACAAATCTGCCGTTGAACCACCACCACGATCCCATCAGCGCATCAAGCTTGGCCTATCCCATGAAAGCTGAAATGGAAAACATGTTCCATATGCTCACCAAGGGTAAGCCATCCCCTCCCCTCCCGCCCCATCTTCTCCCACCATTTACTAAACCACTAATCCAACAGCTCAAGGCGAAGATCCAACCTCCTCCACATCCCCCGCCCACGTTCAAGCCTCCCTAGTTCACCTCTTCGCTACCGCTGGCATCTCCCTCCCCTCTTCCTCCACGTCATCCTCCTCCTCCTCCGCCAACGGTATCGAAGCCAAACGCATGCTCATCGAGTCCCGTCTGAACTACGCCCGCCGCCTCAAAGATCGCTTCCTCTCCGGTGTTGCCCGTTTCCTGCTGCAGGATCAAGATCCAGCGGGCATCGTCAGACTGGAGCGCTCGTTGACGGAGCACATCGATGACGCATTGAGGTTCTCTTGCCAGTTTTGGGCGAGGCCGGGACCGATACGGTTTCATGCGGGTTTCGCGGCGTTGGGAGGGCAGGTGTACAAGGCAGGTGGAAGGTTGGTGGAGTTATGTTGGGCGCAGCAGCAAGGTTTGGAGAGAACGATGGCTGGGCAGACACCGCAGCCGCCGGGAAACGATGATGGAAAACAAGTGTTGATGGTTGTGCAGCCAGCTGTTGAGAGTTTGAAGATTGGGTCCGGTGGTGATGATGATATTGATACGAAGCCGAGCAAGACGTCAAAAGTGTGGTTGAAGGCTCGGGTTCTGGTAGGACATGGAACCCCAGCACCACAAATCCCAGTGCCGACTGCGCAGGGGCAATTGATGTCAATATCACACGCACGCAGCAACACGTCTTCTAGCATCATAGGAACGGGAGGCGCGGCGGAGTTACATGTGATGACAAGGTCTACGACTATGTCGGAGAAGAGCACGTCGGTGGCTGGTAAGGTGGGTCTTAGAGATGAAGCATGTAATGCGCAGTGGGACGGGCTCAAGATGGCATGGAGCTAGCCTGGTTGGATTTTTTTTGATCCTTTGGTTTACTTTTTTACCTAGGGTTTTCTTTTGGGTTGGATATTGCAAGCAAAGCGTGGCGCATCGATGGCGAAAACGTGGTAGGATCGGACTGACGGCTTTCTTCTGGGAAGGCGTTACAGTCCGCGAGGATTTTGGGCTTTGTGTGTGTTGTATGTGGATGTGAGTAGGTATACCTTTTGAACGCTGGAGTAGCTTAAAAAGCACCATTATCTGTGCCGAGGACTCTGGAACAACAACTCTGACTGCTTGAAAGCTAGCGTACTTGGTGCGACTGGAGATTTCTGTGAGACACTCGGGGTTCAACCCTGGATCGGCATTTGAGAACTCATTCTGATGATGCTTACCAGGGCATGTAAGGCACAGCGCAGTTTCGTTTCTTCTGGCGACTGGGGGTGATCGCCATTGACCGTTGAAGTTATTTGTGTAACCGCATCCCCTTAGCCTCTGGAGGCTGGTAGCCCATGTCAGGCGGCTATTGGAAACGAGCCTCCCCTGGCAGAAGATCGAAGAAGATATTTCATTCGCACATAGTTGCTGCTGATAGGCTGGTGCAGCTCAAGACCTTATAAGGGTAGAGTTAGGTAGGTAGGTAGGTATGTAAGCGCTGGTAAACATTTTTGTTGTTATTGGCGCATGTCTTGTTGTTTTGGTCTAGAACTTCAAGGTCAAGGAGGTTCTTTCCGGCGAGCCGGGGACTGGAAGCCTCGCGATTATCGTCGGCCAGATTCTTGATTCGAGGTATCGCGCCTGGTGCTATGTAACTGAAGAAAAAGATAAAACCATCTCCAGATCTAGCTGACTTATATTTTATGTCGGTCATGGTTCCTTTTGTTGTTTGGTGGCGGTCTTTTCTTGTGCTAATCCTTCCCCCTTTTTGGTTGGTGTTCACCAAGCTGCCTTAGTTTTCCAGGTAAAGCTTTCCATTCTGTGATACGGCCGGCCTGTTGTACTTCTCATACATTCCTTACCTTCAACAATATACTGACGAGGGTATTTCAGCATCATCAGCTCGCCCACTCTCTCACACCGACAAAATGGCACCGTCATTCCAAAGCCTTGCAAGTATCGTCCACATGCCCTACCCAGCACAAGGGCCGCCATCTACCACAAGGGCGACCACCACAACGACCATCACAGTCACCACCACAACCGCCAAGCCCAAGCTCACCCTCGACAACTTGACCAACTACCTCGCTCAACTCGAGCAGACCCCAATCACCCCTCACCCCGACGCCGAAGAGCCTAGCTCCACCATCGCGGAATGCGGCAAGGCCACGCTGGCGTGAGACTACCTCTAGGTAGAGGTACCTACAACATCAGCGGCAGCAATACCTCAGCTATAGCAACAACACGATCCCGAACCATTACACCAATACCAGTACCGCAACCACATCTGAGCCCACTCCTTCCTCACTACTCCAAAAGCGACTGGAAACCACGAGCCACCACAAGAGCAAGCCCCGGTAAAGGGAAAGACAACAAATGGTACCTGTGGTGCCTAGAGATGGGCAAATCCTCCATGACCGCGCTGTCCAATTCTCGGAATCCTACCTACCAAGAGGTACCGAAGGCTTCATTATCGAAGCGAGAATAGATTGAAGCTGTAACAACATCGGGCAGCGGGGGTTGAGATTGTTAGAGTCATCATCCTCGTCATTTGGTGCTTGTAGAAAGGGGTGGATTAAGGTTCAGGAACAAAAGGGATCACGCCATCGGTTCAGGCCCAGTCCGCCCACCCAGAGTATATACATCTTGCTGTATGTACGGGTATTCTGTTCCCTATATTCCAAAGAAAAGACATGGAGATGGCAAACCGGCTGCTGCATCCAAAAGATTAAACCAACGCTATGAGGCCCACAATGCCTGTTTCCCATGCCCATTACTCCAATGCCATTCATTTTTCCCAACCTGTACCTCCGCGCCCAGCCTACAACGGCTTCTGCGCGAACCAGAAATAATAGTTGAAATACCGATGCACCCTCGGATTATCCAACCCCTTCCTGGCGTCCATCAAAATCATCTCCCTTTGCACCGGATCTAATCCCAGGGCATCAAACGGTCTGCCCGCCAGTGCCTCCATGATTTCCAGAATGGCCATCTTCTGATACATGCCCACCAACCGCAGCGTCTTATCTTTCGCCCAGACACCAATGGGCACCTTCTTGACGACGCACTGAATATTGACGAACCCGGCGTCGGCGAGAAATCGTCTGAGGATCTTGGGCATGGTAATGTTCATGTTGAACTTGGCAAAGGCTTCTTGACTAAAGTCATAGAGGACCTTGACTGGGTCGTCATCGGGCATGGTATTGTCGTCGCAGAAGACTTCGCAGTTTAGTTCTTGGAACTCGATCCAGCCGCCTGGTTTAAGGGCTCTGTTTTGTGGTCTGTTAGCAGATTGTCACCACCTGCAGGTAATGGGACGAAAAGAAAAAGAAGACCTACTCCATAGCATGCCCCAACACCACGGGCAAATCCTTCAACACAATCGCCATGAACCGAAAATGCGCATAATCCAGCTCTCCCCTCATCAACCACTCCTGCTCACAATCATCGACCAAAAAGTCCACATTCGGCGGGACCCAGACCGGTTGAACAGGAGAGATATCCATCCCTCTGACTCTCGCCATCGGCCATCGATCACCGGCATCGATGGCCCAGATGCCTGTCCCCGTGCCGATGTCCAGGATATTCTGCGGACTTTTTCCCAGGGGCGCAAAGCTGATTTGGCCGTCAAGCAGCTCAAGAAGCATGGCGTGCTTCATGTCTTCGCGCGACAGCTCGGCATCGTCGTTGGGGATGGGGTAGCGGCTGTTCTTGTAGGATTGGTAGCGCCGGCCGTGCTCGTAGGTGTGCGCGTAGATGGACGAGGTGGCGGATGTGCTGCCGGTGGATTGGGTTTCGTAGCCCTCGGTGAGGGAGAACTCGTCCGAGTCGGAGGCGTAGTCGTGGCCGGCGGCTTCTATGTTGTCGTGGTGGGGGCCGTGGTGGTGGCCATACTCGCGAGAGTCATGGTAGTGGCTGTTGTTGGAGGAATTCAGTTGCGATGAGGATGTTGCTTGCTGCTCGTAGGTGGTGGTTGGAGCGAGGAGGGGAACTTCGTGAGCTTCTTCGGCTTCCACGTCTTGAAGTAGTAGTTGCTGACGTGCGTCTGACACAGTGTTGGAAGTGATGTTTGCTGACATGGACGTGTCGACACTGTTCTTCTGTGCAGCGGGGCCTTGCGCATTCGACGTTACAGTCGCATTGTCCGCGGCTGCTGCTGCTGCTGCTGGTCGGTTGCTACCACTAGAACCCGGCATTTTGGTGTGAAAGAACTTGGATCGCAGCGAATTCATGTAGGTTCCATGATCGGGGAAAATAAAGTATCAGGTAGGAAGGTCAAAGGCATAAGAGTGCGGTTGACGACGACGACGATCAAGTTGAGTGTCTCGAATGGGCAATTGTGATATTGCGCGCAGTAATTCAGAAGGTAAGCTCGGCTAAGGTACAATTCTCGTCTCGGTCTGTTAGGTCCGGTAATGTGTATGTATGTACCTCCCCTCTTTTTGGTATCTCGGTTTCTGTCGGGTAACATTTTACATACACACACTTGGCCGTCTTCAGTGACAGACTGAAACACTAGGTGAGTATGTAATATTACCTGGACATGTATACTATCCTCATGTTGATATCATCACTAACGAACCCTCCCTCCACTTACAACTTCCATATGGTCGATCCCCGGAAGATTCTCAAAATCCTCCACCTCGGCTTTCCGGGGCCCCAATCCCTTCTTCCCCGGGCCCGTCCGATCGCCACCATGCCCCACGTGGTTCCCTACTCCCAGGTCTAGCCCATCCAACCAACAGCGTCATCTTCCCTGTCCGTTCATCTCTTGTTTCTTTTCTTTTTCCCTCCTGTCAGATGTTTATCTCTCTTCCATCGCTTCCCCTGATTTTTATTGAGAATTGCACAAAGCGTTGTTGGTTGATGGACGACCATTACAAAGCATCCAACCTTACCAAACGCTCAAAGTTTCAACGACGTCGTAATCTGCAAAACATCGCATAGTATGTAATGTAACATCGGCCATCCCCCCCAAACCTAACTGCCGGTGCCGCCGCTTGAAATCGCCAACCAAGCGAAACGAACATCCGCGGATCCTATTCCCGATTTCCAATTCATCCGCCAATTCCTTGAACAAGTCCGACGTAAAATCCGAGTTTACTTTCTCGTACATTTAGATATTCGAATATTGCGGAAACTCAAAGGATTCGACCAGGACACAGGATGGTTTCGATTTCCCGCATTGCGGCTGCCCTGTATGGGTCCGTACACTACAGGTAGGTAGGTAGGTACCTGTATCGCTGTATGTAACGTCTATCGAATGACGGCCTTTCCTTTCTTTCCTTTCAGATTCTCAAAAGGGAAAACCAAATGCGAGTGAGCAACACCAAGAACAACCAGTGTTTCATCATCTCTGAATGGCCTCTTCTATGTGGGTACATTGACCTCCTCTTCGCTTCTTTTCCCCCTTTCGGCCTCTTCTTTCTCTTGCTCTGAATCCTGTCTTCTTTTCCTATTTGTCATCATACCCACACGACCCAATACGGATCCAGCCCTCTACCGTAACGGTCATCAAGCCTCAGCTAAGACCTAGAGGCAGGTTCAAACACTCCTCCCATGTCCCTTCCTAACCATCAACATCTTCTCCACACTCTTCGCATCCATCGCCAGTTCCGCCTCCTCCAGCGCTTGTAGGGCGGCCTCGCTCCCTCTCTCCACCATATCTTTATCATACGCCGCCACCAAATCCTTTCTATCCGCTCCACTGTCTCTGATCGCCAACAGAGCCTGTACGTAATTCTGCACATCGATGACAGCATGCTGGAACCCCTGTCCTCTCAGAATCAGCATCGGATGTCCCGCGTCTCCTGCCAGCGTTACCCTCCCGTCCCTATTATCAAACGGCTGTGCAATCCAGGTACCCATCTCGTCAATGAAAGCCTGGGTGTGCGTATCGTCTTCGGGCGTGACGTCTACGAAGGACTGGAAATCGGGTGAGAGGTCTCCTTGCCAGGATTGTTTGAGGTAGCGGACGGCTTCGGGGCCCTTGCGAGGGAGGTCGGGCGTGGTGGAGAGACTGCCTTTCCAGATTTTGGTCCAGAAGAAGGTGTGGTGGAGGTTGGAGGGAGGGGTGCCGGTTGTGTATTGGACTGTGGGGTGTTAGCTGCTGTCATACCTATTCCATGTGATTGCTTCCCGTCCTTTCTCGGTTTTGGGTAGGTAAACAAAGTAAAAAGTCACCTCCAAAAGCCCCAACAGCCCCTCGACTCATCGCCATAGCCATGACCGGATGTTTCTCCAGCACCTTTCGCACCACATCCTCATCTTGATAATCAACAACACAAGTCCCAATCATGAACCCGCTCCTCTTCGCCTTTGCCTTTTCTTCTCCATTTTCTTGATCCGCAAAGAGGATCTCACGGACTTTACTCCCCGCCCCGTCCGTCCCCAACACGAAATCCGCCCACACCTCCTCCTCTACTCCTTCCTCCCCTTCCAAAGTGACCTTTACCTTTTCCGGATTTGACTCAGTATCCAGTCTAGTCACCTTCCGTCCCCAAGCGATATCCAACCCATCACTCAACACCTCCCTAAGTCCCCTCCTGGTAATCCTCCTAGCCCCCGGTACTGCGCTCTTGAACATTAGATCTCCCGTTTCGCCATTATACATAGGCAGCGTTTCCGCCCACTCGTCAAAGTCCAGGTGGGGGTTGGAGACAGCGTGGTCGAAGTTGGCGAGGATCGAAGACGGGAGGAGGGAGGAGAAGATTGGGAGAGCCCAGTGGAGAGCAATGGTCCAGTCGCGCGGGCGGGAGTTGAGGTGTGGTTCCGAGTCGTAGATGAGGACAGTGAAGCCGTGCTGCGAGGAGTTAGTGATTCGTTGGAGAGGCAGAGGGGTTGGGTTGTGGAAGAAAACATGCTTTTTTCAAAGCTTGAGCTGCCAGAAGACCGGTGAGGCCGGCGCCAATAATGACGACGGTTGGTTGGGAGGGGTTGGAGTCTTTTGACGCTGCCATTTTTACTGTTGATACTCAAAGGTGCTTGAAGATGAGTTGTTCTTGTGATGCTATCAGGCCGGAATATATAGTGTACGGGGAAGTTGGCGGAAACGGAAAGTTGAAGATCGAAGAGATGGTTTTATACACCACTTGGTCACGGTGTAAGTGAAGGCAAGTAAACCGGTGGATGGGATAATGTCTCGCTTTTAAAAGAATACTCTAACGGGAATAGAGTGGAGGAAGAACCTTGGTGGCTACCGTCTCCGGTCCTCTAGCGGTACCTCTAGCCTTGCTGATCCCGGAACCAGGTGACTGGAATCGATCTTTTCATCCCATAACCCGCCCGAACAAAGTCCCGACACTGCAGTGGATCACTCGGCGATGAGTGGTGCCCGGTCCGCTCGGGGTATCGGTATGTGGGCTTCCACTTGAATTTGCTCCTATTTATCCTGCTGGATATCCAATATCCATCCATTATCATGGAGTTCCATTTGTTCCCAAGCCGTCAGCCAACGGGACCCCATCGCGGAGGTTGTCTATCCCCGATCCCGACTGGACGGCCGCACAAAGTGCTCCTCAATGGCGATCACTCATGTCAGAAGCCATGCTGTCGGACAAGTCGTCGTATCCGAACTGCCGGTAAACAGCACGACCGTTGATCGTTTGACTCAGGAAGGCCCTGAAACCAGCGAGCAATGAAACCGCCAGTCGCTTGCGTGGAACGAAGATACCTATGTCCGCCGCAGACCCTCGGAGTTAAGGCACGTAATCTTCTGGGATATTGCTATCTTGGGTTAGGCTGGTCGACAGTGCTGGTGGATTTTGTGTGCGCTGCAACACCTTTTGAAGATGATCGCGGTTACGGTGTGCTGGTATCGCCGGGGATATTTCCGAGCTTCACAAGTGCAGGGCAGTCAGTGGTGATTGCGAGCTGGAACGACGGAGACGAAAGCGTTGAATGATGCCAAGGGTGACGTGACGTGATGGTTGTATACAAGCAAGAGTTGTAACATTCATTTGCTTCTTGGTTCCCAGTTATTCCTCGTCACGGTAATAGCGAGTGGTTCAATGAGTTCAGTGCGAGGAGGCGTGCCAAAGAACATACAAGATGATCGGGGATTTGGAAGTTGGAAAGAACGGGAGGAGGACGGAAAGTGGAATCAACGCCGTAGTTCACCGCTCCCCGTCCGGCGCACGAGCACCGGTAAGTTTCGTACCGGTATTCATCCTGCTGTGTAATGAAAGATACGTAACTTTCCCCAACAACTTCACCTTGTCTCACTGAACCAACTCGAGACGATGATTTAAACTTTTCAGCTGAGTGTCGCATAGTTCTGACTCTCTATCTCTTTTCTTTTCCCATCGTCTTGGTATCTAGTTGGAGATGCCATACAACACCAGCAAACTTTCCATCCATGCGTCGATACCGGGCATGCTATCTCCGCCATAGCAAGCGCCGTGATCGGGCCCCGTACAGCTCCGTCTTTCCAACCAACACCAACACAACACCATGCCCTGAACAGCTTCCTCCAAAAGATGAATGCTGAAGGGAATGAGAATTGTGCTTCAAGCCCTACACAGATAACTAATTTGGAAGAATAAGCGCCAAACAGAAAACGTGAGACGGTGTTACCTAGCGTGACACGTGGCGACCCCCCCCGGGGGCGCGGTGTCATATAGTCTGTACAACACGAAACAATATACAACATCAAAGACGTGGTGGCGGAGTGGTCTAACGCGCCAGACTTGAAATCTGGTTCCTTAGGGAGCGTCTGTTCGAATCAGGCCCACGTCGATATTTTTTGCCTTTAACCTCGTGTTCCTGCTTGTTTTGGTGTTTGTGTTCCTTGGTTTTGGCAGGTGCAGTTGACTGCTGTTGTTCCTTCCCTCGAACATCAGAATGGGACGGGGTCCGTGCGAGCTTCTCTCCTTTTTCCCCTTTCCATTTCCTCTTCCGGTTTCCCTTCGTTTCAGTTTTCGCCTTCGAGTCCTGTCAAAATGCGTGCGGATATGCTCATGCTGACCGAAGACAACACACAAGTTATGTTTTGTGAATGTAATTCAAGTAGGTAAATATAACCAAACGAAGAGAAAATCCATATGTACAAAAGTTCAGATCACCACCTCAGCCCATCATCGAATCGACATCATCCGTCCCTCATCATCTCATCCCCTTTAACTGTTCTTCACACTAGCATCCGCATTCCCCGTCAACATCTCCGCATACCCACCGAACCACGCTCCCGCAATCGGCGCCCCCGTCAATCCACACTGCCCATCACTCTCACCTCCCGGCTTGATCCACACAATCGCATCGACATTCGAGTTCTGCAGCACGCTCTGGTCCGTCGTGGGGATATGGCCAAACCCAGCCGGGTTGACATTGCACCAGTCACCCCAGTCCTTCCTGGCGCCCGGATAAGCCACACGGCCCTGGTCGATGATGAAGTGCGCAGGGAGCCCGTGTTGTTGGAGGTAAGGCGCGAGGGAAGAGGCGTAGTGCGATTCGTCGTAGGACGGGGAGCCCAAGGTGAAGGAGTCGCGCTTGGTGGCGAGGTAGGGGTTGTAGTTGGAGACGTTGGTGGAGAAACCGCGGACTTTGGCGGGGGAGGCCATGGAGAGGATGGTGGCGATTTCGTTGGCGGCTGTGGGGTGATCTATTAGTTTGTGTTCTGATGAAGGTTGTAGGGAGAGGGAAGGAGACGGGAAATAAACGAGAGGAAAGAAAGAAAGAAAGGACATACCCTTGGGCAAACTATCACCCCAACCCAACCATCCACCATTCGCAGCATCCAAATACACCGCCACGTTATCCAACTGCAAGCTCTTGATGGCAAAAGCGATACCTTCCCGGTAGGTAGGAATCGCCTGCTTGCAAAACTCGACGGCAGAGTTGGTCACCGAATTTCCCAACGAGTCCGGCTCCACCACCACAGCAAACTGCAAGTCCTTGGCCGCCGCCAACTTGGCCGCATACGGCTTGACGAACTGCTCCTTGTAGATTCGCAGTCCGTCATTCTTGGTGCTCAGCTCGCCCGCCGACTCGCCCGCAGAGCAGTCGCGATCAGGTATGTTGTACATCACCAACCCGACAATCTGCTTCTGTCCCGTCCGGCTCTGCTCCGCACGAGCGGCCTGGATGGCTTCGTCGATCTCGGAGAGCCCGGAGCGGGAAGATACCCAGACGAAGGAACCGATCTTTTGGACCTTGCGGACTACGGCTGCGTTTTCCGAGTCGCCCCTGGAGGTGAAGGCCTTGTATGTGTCCTCGAGCTTGGAGGCCCATTTGGGGTTGGCGAAGAGCTTCTTGCCGACAAAGGGGTTGGAGTCGGAGAGGGCCCGTGGGGCGTGAGCAGGGCCGACGGGGGAAGCGGTGACGGTGGCGCCGGCGGCCGAGAGGGCGGCAAGGAGGGAAAGGGCGCGCATTGTGACTTGGGATGAGTATGTAATATGGGGAAGATAGGGGTTGGGGAAGTGACGATTGGTGATGATGAGGATTGATGGACGGCAGGTCTTATATAGCTGGTCGTCAACCATCAGCACCGTACATTACCTCATTCTCCTTATCTTCTTGGTTTAAATTTGAGGTCATCGCATGCCGGGCGACATCCCCGTACTTCGGAAACGCCCAGCCGGACCTGGAAACAATAGATCCGTCGGCTTGTCCATCATCACCTTCCTGGCACTGATTTGTTCATGCTCTGGTTGTTTCAACTTGCTCGGCCCAGGTCCCGAGACTTACCAGAAATGGCTAGACGTAGACAAGTGCGAGAGCCATGGGGAAATTGGAGGATGATGCCGGGGTAAGTGGGCCAAGGCCAAGGCCGTCGGCAGGTGTGCCGAAAATCCGGAGCCAACACCTCCGCGATGTTACGCTACGGGAGTCGCAGGTTCCTTGGCCGAATAAAGGAGTTCCAGAAACAAGGAACCGGGTCAGGTGCCGATTAATCCCCAGATTCAAAAACGGTGGTAATGTCACCTTGACTGTCGGTCTGGGGATATTTGACAGATCTTTGTATGTAATGTGAGCCTGAACTCGCGCGATCTTGAGGAAATGAGGCGCGTGCATAAGCGATGGAGGTGAGGATAGTGTCAGGAGTGTAAATCGCAGACGGCAGCCCGCTCCGGAAGGAACTCAAGCCGTGATGATTCGTGCGCTTGTATGAAGACCAACGGTTTACGGAGGTTTCCCGGCTGCCACTCGGCGAAACTGCCGGGCCGGACAACATACCTAGCCGGTAGACTGGACCCCTATGTGCGGGCAGTGAGTGCACATGACACCACATCCCATGCCCCTCATATTAAGAAACATGCGCACGTATAGCAGCAACTTCTCATGGTTGTGGTATCACTCGAAGACCACACTGAATGGCACATCGCAAAACTCTCTGACGCAGGCCAAATCGCGCCTGGCTCGTCCCGTTGAACACTTGTACATCACACATCCAGGACCCCGTATTCCACTTGACTATCGCAAACTTACCCCATTTTCAATCACATCTCCAGTAATGTTGTCAGTGGCAACATATCCAAAGGCCTCTCTTGTTGTGTTGTGCCATGCGTCTTGTTATTGGGATCATTGCTTTTTCTGCCATGTTTTTTTATTTCTCCGCGGCGCCATTGACTTTCCTTTCAGCTTGCCATGTACGGAGGAAACAAGCGCCGACCACGGAGATGGTATTCTTTTGGTCATGTTTGGTCAAGCCTCCTCAAGCTTTACCATCCAGCCTGACGATATGGAACGACCTCGTTTCATATCCCGAGCACCGGCAGCAGTTGGTTGAGCCGCGGTTGTTGCCACAACTGCCACCGCTGCCATAATTTTCAAAGTCATTTCTGAATGTCGAGGCCTGGCAAGATATTAGAGGGCTATCTGTCCGTGGTGGCTGAGTTATGAGAAAGACGTAAATGGCTTGTATGGCCTTCCAATTCAGCGCTGACAGACAAGCTGCCGAGACGGGTCGTGTGCCAGGCTGAACCGCTGGGGAAGGCAATCAGATTCAGATGTCTGATTGGTCGAGCTCGTCAATAGCACGCGACAGGCTGGCAGCACTCCCGAATCCGTATTCTCTTCTCCGAGATGATTTGCTTCTTTTTCCAGTTCTTCATTTGCGGTCGAGAAGCTTTTTACCGGCGGGAGGATCGTGCATTTGAAGCCGATCTACTCAACCCAAGAAACTGGATCAGTTGGGGTATTGCGATCGAGACCGGACTTCTGAGAAAATCGTCTCGCTCAAGTGAACAATGGTTGCCAATGATCACCCAGATGTCTGCATTGGTCCGGTATAACTCATGCGGCTACCCGTTTCCCAAGGCCAAGGGTCTTGTTTGGAGCCTGGTACAGTAACCTACCGCGTAGAGGTAGAGAGGGGAGGAAATTGGATTGTGCATGCCAAAATTGCACAATTGACCCGATTCTGCGTATTCCGATGGATGAAATACGGGCCTCATCTTGGGACCCAGCCGCGGGTAATCGCAGCTGAAAACACTCCCATTCGAGTCACTCCCGGCTTCGCGCAAATCTTCTTTTGGTGACATAGATAGGTAGGTACCCATGGCGTCACTACATGGCTGCCAAACTCTCCAGCTTTCCAGCTCTCTGGGATGTCTCTTTTCACCATCTTGCTGCCATGATACTGGGATCTTGAATGGGGTTTCACAACGGGCGTTGAGCAAGTGTCAATGCATGTCTTGCTCCCTCGTTTCCACCGTACCGTGAGCCACAAAGTCATAAGCGCTTGCAAGTTCATATTGTGGTGTAGCGGAGCGGAAACGGAAACCAGCGCCACGATTTCACGCACATGGCCGCCAGTTGCGGCTAAAGACTTAATAGCTCTGAGGCGGTTCGTCCGTTGTGTGGGGATGTATATCGTGTCGAGACTCGAGGATCGAAGTCTGGGATCGGGGAGATCATAAATCCGCCTTATCACCCTCATCCCATATTGCCCTGCGATCCCGTCTCCGAAGAGCGCATACCAGTTACAGTATGATGCTCAGAAATTGTCCTGTCCCGTACACCCCCAACACCAATGCCACCCCTACACCCGCTACTCCCCCGCCAAGCACAAAGACCATCGTTCAGTCCTGATATATTGGCCGGCTACGACCTCAGCGACAAGTCCACGCAAAAGCCGACGATATGGCAGGTCAACCTGGTTTTGATCGTGCTTGTGGGTGTGGTTGTCTCTCTCCGCATCGTCTGCCGTGCGTACATCACCCGCCGTCTATTCGTCGATGACTTTTTCATCATCCTGGCCGGGCTATTCACGCTGGTCTCGGCCTCCATGGCCCTTGCAGCGACACGATATGGACTGGGGGAACATATCTGGAACTTGCCGATGCCGGTGGAGAACATGTTGGATATGTTGACGCGATGTGTGAAGGTGCGTTTTTCTGGCCGGAACTTGAACAGGGGTGATGATGAGGCTGACGGGATCAAAGCATATGTACGTCGCCCACGTTTTCTATGCGGCAGCTGGCGCCTTTACCAAGCTGTCTATCCTGACGTCGTACTTGAGGATCTTTTCCGGCCAAGTCCTAAGGTGGATCTTGTACGGCACGGCTGTTGTGGTGACGGCCATGGGGGTTTGCGCCGTCTTGGCGACCATCTTTCAGTGTACACCGCTGAAGGCGGCGTGGGATTATACGATTGCTGGTAGCAAGTGTATTCCCTTTGTGGACTTTTTGTATGCGAATGCCGGGGTCAATGTGGCGATTGACTTTGTGCTGGTTGCGGCGCCGTTGCCGTATTTTTGGAGTTTGAGTATTCCGTTGAGACAGAGGTTGATGATTTGCGTGCTGTTTGGGGTTGGGTTTATGTGAGTGTCTGCGCCTTCGTGGGCAAGATCTTGAAAAAAAAGACATCTCGCTGACTGTCCAGTGCCTTTGCTTCGAGCATTATCCGGATCGTCTCGTTGGGTGATGTCAAGGGTATTGACGTGACTTGTGAGTTTCAAATCCAGCCCCGCGTGGAAGATTGATACTGACCATCGAGGCAGACTACCTCGTGTCTCCCCTCAACTGGACCATCATCGAGTGCTCACTAGGCATCATCTGCGTGTCCATTCCTCCGCTGCGTCCTCTCTTGGCCAAACTTGCCCCGCCATGCTTCAGCAGTTATATCTCAGAAGGTGACCAGATATCGAAGGTGTATCCAGGCTCCCAACAACGGACTCAGCAGCAAGGGGAAGTCCATGGAGTGTTGGGGTTGCAATTGGAAGAGATTGAGATGGCGGCGAGGAGGGAAAGAGAAATGCAGAGCTCGACGGGGGAGTTGCTGGCGTCTGGGAATGGTCATCAGACGTGTTTTGTATAGCGCTTGCTCAGTAACAAATCACGATATCGGGTGTAAACGAACTCCCGGACTTTCGAGTTCTAGACTAGTTCTTCAGTGATGTTTTGTTGAAGTCGTCATTCTGGAAAAGCCGTTTGAAATTCGAAGAGTGGAATTCGCGAGACAGCAATGCCCTGGATGATGGCGCACAGACCCACCCCGATTTGTCTCCGGCAGGCCCCTTGGCTTGCCGGAAAAGGTGCCGTGGCAGGCATCAACCCCGCAAAGCACGGCCAATTGTCTCAGAGACCTTTCTCCATTTTGGTCCCTTTTGGGCGGCAGAAAGTCAGCGAAGTGTCAGCGAAGAATCCCCGCAGCCGGGTCCATGACTAATGATTCCCCAATTGCTGAATGTGTGAGACGGACTCGGACCCTTGGCTTAATTCGCCGTTCCCTGGGTACGAATCATATGTACAGTAATCCGCAATCTGACCCAGCGCATCCGAACTTTGTGTTAGTTCTGTTGGACAAGACCGACTCGGGAACTTTCTCTCCTTCTCTCTCTCTCTCCGAGTCTCTTTACGACACCGCCGACTTGTCGAATTGCTTCCCGCTCTGTTGTTCTCTAGAGTTGAATTGATGTTCCAGACCTCAACACGACCAAACAACTTCCATCCCACCACAGCCGAACCCCTTCTAGAGCGCGCCTCCGTTTGCCCCTCCGGCTCAACACTTCCGAACACTTCAGACCAAACATGTGCCCGGCACCAACATCAGATGCGCAATCGTCGCAAGCCGACAATGCGACAACAAGCCAATTACCCTCCTTCTACTCCCCCAAGAGATCAGAGAACACCAGCGAGCAGTCTCGAGACAATGGCGACGTCGAATCCGTAGACCTCTCTTCTACCTCGGCACAACCGACCACAACCCCCGCCATCACCCTCGACACCAGCGACAACCTCTCGACACACTCGTCGGTGCCCTCGACCCCCCTCTCCCAACCACCACCGCCTTCCCTCCTCTCGCCCTCCTTCACGCCTCCCCAGACCCCCGGCACAGCAACCCCCTCCACCTCCATAACCTCCCTCTCCCTGTCCGAGCCGCGCGGCATCCCCGTCGACAGCTCCATTCCTACAGGAGGATGTGGTACCAAGAAGCCCAAGCTCCTCGAATCTCTGCCGCACGTAGAGTGCATAGTGCGGGCGCGCATTCCGACCACCAACGGGGCCGAGATGTTCCTGCACTTGTACACCAACGACGTGGACAACAAGGAGCACCTGGCGATTGTGTTTGGGAACAACATTCGGAGTGAAAGTCTGGACCGAGTGCGGGAGGGTGAGACGGAGATGGACAGGTTGGTGAGGGGTGCTTATACGGGCCGGTTGTATCCCGGTAGGACGACGAGTCGGGAACCGGGTGTTGGAGAGACGAAGAAGGAAGATCAGGAAGAGAAGGCGGAGGAGAAGAAGCAGGTGCCATTGGTCAGGATACACTCGGAGTGCTACACGGGCGAAACCGTCTGGTCTGCGCGCTGTGACTGCGGAGAGCAGCTGGATGAGGCGGCGCGCTTGATGTCGTTGCCTTCTAATACCGCTGGTGGGATCATTATCTATCTACGCCAAGAAGGCCGAGGAATCGGGTTGGGCGAAAAGTTGAAGGCCTACAACCTGCAAGATCTGGGGTCGGATACCGTCGAGGCCAATTTGCTGTTGCGCCACCCTGCGGATGCGAGAAGCTATGGTTTGGCGACTGCCATGTTGCGGGACTTGGGACAAAAGGAGATCAGACTGTTGACGAACAACCCCGACAAGATCAGGGCGGTGGAGGGCCCGAATCGGGAGATTGTGGTGACGGAACGGGTGGCCATGGTGCCGTTGAGTTGGAAGGGCAAGGGAGGGTTCAGGGCGCCCGAGGTGGAGGGGTATTTGAAGACCAAGGTATGTTTGTGACGCTGACCCTGTTGGTGATACTACTGCTGCTGCTGCTGGTGACCATGTGCTAACACGGGTGACAACAGATTGAAAAGATGGGACACATGTTGGATATGGGAGCGCTCCCTCAGTGATACATTTGACACGAACACGAACGAACACATTAGACAGTTCTTGTTACATGGCGACATCTATTCTGCATATAATCTCGTGTATACCGGGCATGTCTCTCTGGCGGCACAAAAATCGAGGCGTTTCAAGGGGGTTCCTTCTTTTTCTTAATTAGATTTTGTTTGAATCTTTTCCAGACGGTTATGGTCACACCGTGGATTACCATCTCGCGAGTTCTGGACTGATCCTACCAGTATCCAATGCTCAAGCTCCCTCATCTTGTTGCTATCCCCGAACACAAGTCTTTCGCGGGGTACCTCTTGGAGGTCACAGTAGCTCGTGACGCCTTTTCACGTGCTCGAGTCTTCCATAATTCTCTCTCCTACATCGGACCTCTGAAGCGACGCACTCGGCTACAACTTTGGTTACCTGTACACTATATAGGTACTGTACTGTAGGGACGTTCCTCCTTTTGGAGTGCCGGAAGACAGTGGAAGATGCAACGAATAAAGTGCTGGCCCCACACGCCCCGCAATGTTTCATCCAACAGGAAGCACAATCAAACTTCTTGGCATCAACGTTGGGCTCCACCGATAAGGCTTGCATGGTGCTCCCCTCCTGGCGCGGGATTGAATCAGCGTTTGTTCTGCAGAGGCAGCGCGGGATGGAAGTGGAAATGGAAGCTGCAGAATAACGCCTGTCGCGACTGCCACCACCACAAAATGCCCTGAAGAAAAGAGCTGAGAGAATCCAATGAACTGAACTTGAATCCTCCGCCAGCGTGGAAGGAGCGAAAAGCAAACTGAAGTGAAATCTTACGAAACAGAACGGAACACGGTTTGCTTGTTCGACTGTTTTGTTTCCCTTCTCCTCTGCAGTGCTTTTCTTCCGACTCCCGCAAACAACCAAATTGAATATTTCCACTTTACGCGTTCTTTTCGTCATCTCGGACTCAGATCACCAAGCACCACCACGATTGCAAAATTCCCATCACCACTAGTGCTACTGCTGTCCACCGGAACAGATCCCGAACAAGACGACAAACATCACATAGCCAACCATTCAGTTCATCTTCGATATCATACCATTCAATTTTACACCTAATCCACAAGTACTACACATCAACGGCAACATGAAGGACCACAGCCTTCGTCTGCGCCTCGTCGTCCGGCGTCAGTCCCTCCCCGAGGTCAGAATCATCCACCACGTTCCTCTGGAGAATGACCCAACCATTGCCGACCTCGTCGACCAAATCAACGACATCATTCCCCTCGAGAGCCACGAATGGGGCCTTGAAGATTACGTGGTCGAGCTCCGTAATAAGGAAGGTTATGCCTTTGAATGTCTGCATTTCCAGCAGGTGGCCAACGTCCTCAAGGACGAGGAAGAAGTCTTGTGAGTGGAACATCAACATCTTCTCACCTGCCCCGTCATTCAACTCCTCCTTGCAGTTCACCTGCTGACACCCAACCCCGCAGTGTCCGACCCCTCGTCACCGGTGACCGAAAGCGCCGTCTGCTGTCCGGCCGTGATCAAATTTCCAATGATGGCAGGCACCTGATTGACGGCGTTCCCTTTGGCCGGCCCCGACTCAGGTCTCCCAGAGACAGACCCCCGGTCGACATTCCCCCTCTCAAGCGGAGAAGAATTGAATACGATACCATCGAGCGTGATGATGATGAACAAGCAGAACCCCTCTTCCTCACCCGCCACGGCGAAGATTCCGAGGACCGGGAGAGCACTCGTCAAGTCCGCTTCAACAACGCCGACTTGGATGCCAACGAGGACGAGGACGAGGAAGAAGACGATGACTTTGTCGATCAAGAGCAATACGGTGACGATGAGGAAGAAGACGAGGGCCAAGACGAAGATGACGACTACGAGATCAACCCAGACGAACTTGCCGATGAACTTGAGGGTCTTCAGGAAGCAGAGTCAAGAGAAGATACCCCAGTCGAGGACAGTGCTGAGCAACCCACCGACATCAGCCCCACCAAGTCCCAAAAGTCTATCGACCTTTCAGACATTGACAGAATCGCTGCTCTCCGCGCTGCTTTCCCCAGAGTCTCGGTCGGCGTCTGCGAGAAGCTCCTCCTTCAGCACGATAGCAACGAGAACAAGGTTTACTGGAAGCTTCGACGCAGGAACCGTCCCCACATGACCCTGCAACAGATGCTAGCCTATAAGAGACGTCTCCAAGTCCGTGGACCTGAAGGTGCAATTGAGGACGAACTCGAGGTTGAAGCGTCCGAAAAGAGTGATGCCGAATCCGTCGCCTCGTTGGTCAAGCATTACGATGAGCATGGCTTCCCTGCTGGCTCTATCCTTGATGGTTCAGCTTCCCGTCACATGGTCGAAGCCCTTCGTATGTCGGGTCAGGATGTGAGGCTTCCTGTTCACAAAAAGTTTGATGAGGAGGAGGACGATGAGGGCACCGCCCAGCCCTCTAAAGTTGCTGCTCCCTCCGACGAGAACGAGATTCCCCTCGACTCAGAAGAGGAGGGGTCAGACTTTGACCTCGACGAGGACGACGAGGACTTATCTGAAGAGGGCTCTGACTCTTCCAACGACTCGGATGCTGTCTCCCTTTCTGATGATGCGGAAGAGATGCTGAACGAAGAGGATCTCAGCGAAGCCTCTGACGAAGGATCCGCTGCCAGTGACAGCGAAAGTGGCCCCGAGGTCTACACCACCAAAGTAAAGCCCCCCGCGGAGATGGTCGCCCCCAAGAGCCCCCAGCCCAATGACGAATCCTCAAGTTCTGACGAGAGCGACAGCGACAGTAGTAGCGACGACGACAGCAGCTCAGAGGAGGACGCATCCAGCAGCGAGAGCGACTCCGAAGATGAGGAGGACAATTCAAGCAGTGATGATAGCAACAGCAGTGATTCTGATAGCTCTTCACGCGGCAATGTCAACGCAAATTCCGATAATGATATTAGCAGCGATTCAGAGTCCGATTCCAGTGACAGCAGTGATGACGACTCGGATGAAGAACCAGTTACTTCAAGTTCTAAACATGCAAACATTACCAAAGCTGTACTCCAGTCCCACAGCGAACAGTCAGCTACCCTTGATACGGCCACTCTTGATGCTTCAAACACATCCAACGATCAACAAGACCAAATCCCTGTGCCTCCAGGCCAAGGCAAGAGCAAAACAAGGGCCCGGAACGCACGCCGGAGGCTTTCTGCTAGGATAAGAAAGACCGCGTCCAGAGACACTTCTATTATTGGCTCTACGTCCGGTCAAGACACAGAGACGTCGACACCGGCTGACCTGGAGGCCAAGAGGATGGCCTTGCTCCAGTCACTCGGTCATCTTGAGTATCTCGGCAAACCAGCTGAAGTAGAAAAGCCTGCAGCACCCGTTCCCGAGACTGAACAGCCTGAGCCCTCTGCAGACGACACAACCTCTGCCCCGGCTAAGCGGAAGACGAAACTCAACGTGGACGCTGGCCGCCGTATGCTGTTCGGATCTCTTGGTCTCAAGAACCCCAAGTCTCAAGAGGATGAAGAACAGATTCGCGCTAGCTTGATGAAGGGTGTCAAGCCTCTGGTTAACCACCGTGTGGAGGATGCCAAGAAAGACGCCGAAGTTGCCGTAACCGAAATAGATCCTGATGCTTGGCGCCAAAAGATCAACTATACTGCCGTTGAGTGCACCGAGGAAGGCGTCGAGCTCAGCGAACCACCTTTCCCATTCTATCAACGCTGGGATCCTCAACAGCAAAACTACTGGGGCAATGGCCGTGGAGGGCCCTCAAAGCGGAAGCAGCAGAACCAGGGGGAATACGAGGAGGACGAGCCGGGTACCAAGAAGAGAAAGGTGTCGGACGCTGAGGAGAATGTTGTCCTGAACTACGACGAGGAGGACCCCGATGCTTATGCGGCTCATGACCACCCCGAAGAAGAACAAGATGAGGAAGAGTACGATGAAGAAGAGGAGCACAATGACGACGAGCACGGAGACGAAGAAGAAGACTTGCCTCCTCTTCCCAGTGATTTGACCACCCTGCCTCTGCTCCAACCAGGACAAGCCAAGGCTGGCATGATCATCACGTGGAAGCAATTCCTGCTCTCCAAGGCTACCAACTGGCAACCTCAGGTTATGAACATGACAGGAACCGTTGTTGAGGTCTGGGACCAGAACGACTTGCGAATTATCCTTGCCAAGCGGGATAGGAACCTGGACGTCAACGAGAAGGTCTATGATGATGAGGGCAACCGAGTCTATGACAAGTTTGAGGTTCCAGAGGACGAGGATGACGCCGATGAGGATGCCGAAAAGGGGTACCGGACCATCAACTTTGCCGACATGATGGAGCCGCGTGTCTTGCGTCAGTCAGAGGATGAAGTCTTGGTGCCGGAGACCCAACATATCTCGCCGGCGAATGAGGATGGGGCCAGTAAGGCCAGCTCGCGTACTCTCGATCATAAGGCACCTTCGGAGCCCGAGTCGCAAATCGTTCAAGAAAGTCTCATCCCTGCTACGGACCATGGAAGCTCTTACGAACCTCAAGCTGCGCAGGTGACTTCCCCCGGCAATGTCTCCATTGATGATCATCTCCGCTCGGAAATCAGCCTTATCAGTACCGGCTCACGCCCGGAAGCGGATGCCTCTGTGTCTCGCGACAAACTTCTAAACGTAAGCAATCCCTCGCCACAGCGTGAACAAGCACCCGAATTGCCGTCATCTCCCCAGCATGGTCTTAGCGCACCCCCGTCCGAAGGTCACAACACCCCTCCGCGCAGCTCCGTCCTGGGTGATGAGCTGCCAGACGTCTCGGATCACCCTTCCCAGGAGCCTGAATCCCAGGATCAAAGACCTCCCTCCCGTTCCTCCGCCTACCTTGAATCCCAGCGTCTTACACTTAACGGATTCTCTGATGGACTGGAACAGGTAGCTGACAATCGGGGTAGCTATGTTAGCTATGCTAGGCTTGAGGTTATCCCTTCCGACGCAGATAGCGTTCGTAGCGGAAGGCAGCCAGACCCAGAGTTTAGCATCGATTTGGGAAACAACCAGATCCTCGACCAGTCTGAGCCTGAGGACGAAGATGACGTTCCGATGCCAGGTCGCGATGATGAGGAAGATGTCTCAATGCCAGGTTCCAATCACGAGGAGGATAACGAGGAGAATGATAGCGAGGAGGAGGAGGATGATGATGGCGAGGAGGACCATGATGAGGACAATCAGGATGAGGAATCGCAACAGACTACACCTAGACCCCAGAAGCAAGCATCACTATCCGAAGAGCCTGCTAGCCCCGCGCTTTCCGACCTTTCAGTTTCTAGCAACGATTCCTTCCCCTCTCTGAGCCAAACCACCACCAAATCCAGTCAACGCAAAGCCAGTCAGCCGCCCAAGTCGACCCCCAGAGATCCCATCCCTACCACCAGCAAGACTCGCAAATCGTTGGACGCTGTCAACCTAGACTACGAGCAGGCCATGAAGCGATTGGACGAAGAAGAGTCCTCCCAGGAGTCCACCACAATGGACGACACCCAAATCAAAGTAGAGAAGCGTCGCCAATTATCCGAGCTCGCCCAGAAACTAGCCAGAACGCCTATTGAGCGTCCTACACCTCGGAAGTTGCCCTTTCGTCGGACGACCTCCACCCCTTCCAAACTGAACCAAACCACCACTGCCACTACCAAATCGAAAAGAACAACTCGGTTCAGCGGTTCCTTCGTCATTCCTGACGGGTCTCAAGTCGTTGACCTTCGGGATCTGACCAGCAGCCCGGAGCCTGAGCTGAATGAAGACTATGCTGACGATGATGTGGATGAGACTTATCATGAAAGTAGTCCGGCTACTAGTCAGAGTCAAAATAGAGCGCCGCCGTCCACAGCCCCTGGAGCGTCGGCGTCATTTGTGACACCAAGGAGAAAGCTGTTTGGTAGCACGAGGTTGAGTTCTACGCAGGTGCAGAGTCCGAGGAGGAGTCAGCCGAGTATTATCACGGGGTCGTTGAGGAAGAACAGAGGTTCGGCTTCTTCCAAGTAGAATTTGGGAGAGTTGAACAGACCGCTTTTGAAGGTAGAGAAGGAGGTAAAGGAGGAGAAGGGTGAGAAGATGATTGGAGAGAAAGGGGTCAGTAGACAAACAAGAACGCATCGGCATGTCTCTCTCTTTCAGTTCCTGCGAGACAAGCCGGTTTTGCAGTGCATTATGGAGGAATACGAGGCAAGAAAAGTAGGACAATCCAAGTTGAACATGGCGTAGAAATCATGGGACAAGATTGAAGGCGGGGCTTAGTGCCTGTACTGGTTGGGCAGGTTGATTACAGTGGTGGGCAAAGGATTATTAGAAGTTGCATGTTTGATACAGCTATGAATTATCTTGCTTCTTAGAAGTACCTTATCCACATATTACCGTCTATATTCATGGCTCCGTGGTGATCATTTCCCTTTTGTCATGGCCTTCCAAACTCAGTTTGTCCAGCTGGGCTCTCGAATAATAATAGAGCTACTTCTGATGCGGTGGACTGACGGGCTGATGGGCGAGATACATACATACTTGTAAAAAATGGGGGTCGGAGTGAGAAGTCGTGGATCATGGGGTTGGTGGGTTTCCGTCTGCTTGATGGCTAAAGAATATCACGAAACATACGGAACTTCAATGGCATAAAGAGAGACTGTGGATCGGAGATAAAGGGGAACAAGTCTTTGACGAGCTGATGGCTTTGGGGGTTTGGCGAAGGGTTGATGTTTTCCGCGTTTGCTAGAGGTATCTTCGTCCTTTGTGTAGGTAGGTAGGTAGGTAGAGGTACCAGGAAAATGGTTCACAAGGCACTAATTCTACTTGAGGGCGTCGTTTAGGTTCGGAGACTTGGAAATCAACAAGTCAGGAAGTCTAAGTACGCGCAACTACCTTATTCATCCTTACAAGCATCTAGTGCCAGAGGTACTCTTTCCCTAGGTACTTCTACCTTCCTGGGTACCTACCCACCTACCACTTCACCTCACACCTCTAACTTCCCCTCCTGGTTTCCATTCCCAGCCTAGTTTTTATCCCCATCCCCATCCACAACCTATCAGTCCCCACCCCCATCGAATCCCACCAGTTCACATCCCATCCTTCCTTCCTATCAGGTACCTCACTGCTGAACACAACCCAGCTCAAAACTACCCGTACTACTAGCAGGAGAAGGGGGACCACCTTCACACGAGCTGCGCATGGTAGTCAAAGTTGTCAAAGCGGCGTTAAGTCCTTCTGTGTTGCTGCTGCAGCTACTGCTACTGCTACTGCTAATCGACCTGCTCGATCTTTTTTCAATGCCGGGTGAGTTGATGCTAACCTAACTTTCATTGGTGTTGTCACTGGGGTTAGTGCATGTGTTTGTGTTGGTGTTTCTGTCGGTGTTGGTGCCATATGTGGTAGGGTTGCAGATGTTGAGGCCGGCGATGGTGATGGTTATTTGTGAAGTACCTGTATTTTCTGCGTCATTCCCCGCGTGCATAATAGGAGTAGAAGAAGTGGGAGAAACGGTGGAAGTGGTGAAAGTGGTGGAAGGATTCGAAGGAATGGAATCTCTAGAGATAGCCGCCTCAAGAGCAGGCGAGCTGAAAAGAGAAGAGATAGGAGAGTTGGGTGAGGAAACCCAAGAGCCGGGCATGATGGTTACGTGGAGAATAGGACTGGGGTAGGGGTTGGAGCTCGTTGCGGTATGAGGTTGGGGACTTGGCTGAGAGCTGGACAACGGAGATTGGATGGGGGAAGTACTGCGAGAGGAAGCCCAATAGCCGGGCATTTTGACTTGTAGGATAGGAGTAGGGTATGGATAAATGCTGGGTTGGGGATTTGAAGTGTCCGGGGAAGTAGCTTGGGAGTTAATCTGAGGAGTACCGCCCCGGCACCGGGAAAGTGGAATAGGAGGGCTCAGGGGTAGGGTCTCGGTGAAATAGATGAAGCCTTCTTCGGAGCTGGTTTGCGAGATTGGTTGTAGATTGTCCGTCGGTCGAGGATATTCTTCCGTTGAGACAGTCCAAGTACCTCTTGGAGCGGTGAAGTTTTCGCTGGCTTGAGAGCTGGACATGGACTGAGGGTCTGCCTCTGAGCTGGGTAGACTTGGAAAAGTCATGCCTGGGCTGGGATCACGGGTCATTACTGGTTGGGGGTTGAGTGAAATGAATACGGACAAGTCAAGTATGGAGCTTTCAGCGGAAGAGGTGTGGGAACTGGGGGCTGAAGTGGGCTGGGAAGTGGAGGGACAGGACGCTGGGACTGTGAAGACTTGTGGACTTCCAGTGCTGGGTGTCGAGGGTATAGATGGTGAGCGTGGCAGGGGGATTGACGGCGGTGACGGAGGTTGTGATCGGGTCTCTGAAAAGGACTCGGACATTGTGATGTGTGGTGGTTGTAGTTGCGCTGCGTTTGATAAATGAAGATTGAGAGATGCTGTCAGCGTTGAACAATTGTCTTCAAGGCTGGAAGCAACGACAGGAGGCATTCTTATAGCTCCTTATCAGAGTGTGGCTTCTTCATGGCAACTGTCGACCATGGAAATGACATGCCTTGCTCCATGGAAGCACTACCTCTACCCATCAAGGTACCCGGGCTCAGTCAGATGCGGCTCCCACTTGGTGTTAATCAGACGTTGGTGGCATTCTCATAGGCGTCAAGTATTTGTCCGGTGAGTGTTCAAACTGGAACGAAAGCGTTTGAAGCTGAAAGGTTCAGAAGAAGGACGGGACCAACGCAAAGCTGTCATTGAGCAGTAGGTCACTGCCCAAGCATCACGTACCTTGGATCAAGCACGCTCAACAACGGTAGCTTCTCCCCCTTTTGCAATGAGGCACCCTTCTCCAACATGATTCAAAGGATCATGATTTCCAATTTCGTGTTACCTGCTCCCTCAGCACTACCCCAACAAACGCAACTCCCATTCAGTATCTGTCGGGTCTGAAGCCAAACCGTGCCCAGACACTCGATGTATCCGGTTGTGGGCGTGGACTCGATAGCTCAAGTGTATGACGGTCATGTCTCGAACCAAAAGGCCAGGATCAAGGAAGTTGAAAAATTCTTCCTGGCGAGAATCTGTTCCTTTCGGTGCCGTTGATGACGCGTCTGGATGTTCAAGTCCAGTGCAAATCGCCATGTCAAAGATAACATCGAGATGAATCGCTGAAGTGCAACATGCAGAATCAGGAAGTGCCCCTGCATGCGGACAGAGGCCGGAGATTGACTGGACGTTGATGTTTCGCATGTATGACATTGAGGTAGCAAATCGGAGAATTGTACGTCGCCGATAAGGAGCCCTTCGTTGCTTCCGATGGCGAAATGTTGTACGCGGATATCGAGCCTTCCTTGGGTGTTCATTATATTTGTCGGCTGTTTCCCGTTATGTTGTTTCTGAACTTGAGATTCACTCATTCTTCACCCAAGTTTGGCCTCATCTAGCAATCGCTTCCCAATCTCTGCTTGGCCCTCGCTCTCATGTTGGCGCCGTCTTCGTGTTCCCACCTCTTCCAATTTCGTTCATGAGAAGTCGGCATACCGATTAACACCACCAGAAGTAGCCTGATCAAACGGCGACGCTGCGTCAGATTGTCAGTTCCAAACAAGATTGACCGACATCCCTATAACTTCTTGCCGAGGTTAGAGAGCAACTCCTGTGAGCGAGAAGCATAAAAATTTTCCGCGACTTTTCATCACCAAAACCAAACATCAACACCTTTTTGTCCAAGCACAACTTGAACACAACCACGGTCCACAGGAACCACCTAGCAACCCCCACGAACATCCATAAAATCCAACCAACCTCAACATGGTCACCTGCACCACCTTCGGGGAGCCCATCCCTACCGTTCCCAGCGCTCCCATTCCAACGCTTCCCAAGCCGAAGCCGCCTGCTCGCTGCGAGGTCGGTGGACCTATCCCTACGGTCCCCAGCGCCCCGATCCCGACCCTTCCCGGGCCTAAACCTCCTTGTCGCACCGAGGACGGCGAACCAGTTCCCACTGTACCAAGCGCTCCGATTCCTACTCTTCCCAAGCCAAAGCCGCCTACCCGTCTGTGAAGACTCGGAACGCGAGGATAATTGCGAGGTCGTGTACGTCCCGGCGGATTTCACCATCCACTTCCAGTAGCGACAGATCGCCGCTCGATTCACCCGAGTTTTTTCGAGGAGTAACTTCTAGTGGCTTCACTCGAATGAAGATAAATGATCAAGGAGGCTGAAGGATTAATTTGACATGGGTGGGATTTCGCTCGAATGGCTTGTCGGCCCTGGATAAAGCGTTCATGAGGAATTGAGGCGGCGCGCAATGAATAGAGCTGGCTCAGGGTAACTGGCGTGCTTTGGAGAACAGGACTAGGAGGTTGTCATGGGTTGGCGACGTCGAGAAGTGAAGTTGACAAAATTGGCCATCAAGGTTCTTGTGCGCAGAGATAAGGCTGTCGATAAGGGCAACAGTCCGCTTGGTAGCTTCCTTCCATTCTTGATTGAATGTGAGCTTGTCATGAATATCATGATGAATCGTACTTTCTTTCTCAACCACCTTTTAGCAGAGAGTAGAGGTAAATTTACCGATCAGAACAAAGATTTTCCGTTGTCCTCGAATTGATGTCCTTCTCTCCGTTATTGTTCAGTTCTCCTTCTTTCCAACATGATTGTGCCCACTGAACAATACTTGACCTCTCACTGGCCTCACCTTTGACAACGCCCAAATGTGCGCCATGATGTTGAACACATGCCCGGCTGTCATCGTGTTTTTCTTCAATCTCCATCACGGCAGTTTGTAGGCTAGTTTGTCTACCTCTTTCGCTCGCCAACCACCAACGGAAGCAAGTGTCATCGACAACACCGCTTTAATAGGGTGTCATGTTCATTGAAGGAGAAGTGATGGGAATCCCTTCACTTTTTTTCCCCGGGGAGGATGCCTCTGGCTCTAGGTATATTAGAGCACCCTCCCCTCGCTATTGCTCCTTTCCCGATCCTTTCTTTACCAAACAATGCACCTGACGTCTATAAGCTTATCACCCAGGAGTCTACCGATATACTCGCTTTTTCCGCATCCAAAATGTCCTCTTACAGCCCCGACTTGCAACCGGAAGTGATGAACAGCTCTCAACCTAGCATCGCAAGCTCGTCCGTCCCCGACGTCCCCATTACTTCCGGCGCTCCCACTCCTACCCCTTCCACCCCTTCATTGTCCATCGAAATTCCCAACACCCTCAACCTCTCCTCCACCCCTGCAACCCTCAAGCTCTCCGGAAGCCTCATCAACGGCCACCCATTGTCCGACCACGGTGATAATGATTATGTTGTGATCTACTCCGGAAACGCGGCCGAATGTCCTCGGTCGTTTATTATTCATCTCGATTTGACCGGCGTCAATGCCGGGGATGTGATAAACAGGCAAGAGGAGGAGCAGGAGCAAATAGAGGAGAAGGGTGAAGAGGATCGACTCGACCGGCAGCAGCGGCAGCAGCAGCCCATCCCATATAATGTCGAATCAAGAGACAGCCACGACCAGAGACACTTGCAGTATGTATGTGTACATGCAACTAGGAGTGTATTTCCTTGGCAACCGGCGACACCTTCGCCGCCCAATCGATGCCCATCGGGGTCACGATGATGAATCGTTTTACTGTAGGCAGTTGGAACGATTACCCGGATGGGTTTTGGGGAACTCCCACCGTTGGTGCACCGGGTGGGTGGAGGGCTGATTCACCGGAGGATTGACGGTCGCGGCCCCGGACATGGTCTGTTTGATTAGGATGGGTCGCTGGCGCTGGCGCAGATGGAAGAAGCGGACGAGGGAAAATGTGTAGAACGGGCTGAATCCAGCATTCTAGGAGACTGAAAGGTAGGTAGGTAGATGAGGATAAGGGATAGGTAACTGGAGCGATAGAAGCAGGCCAGGAAAGGAACCAAAGGCAGTAAGACGAGAAAATTCAAGCGTCTGCTTCAATTTCCTGCTCCACAGTTCCGGCCATTCAGTGATAAGGCTCAGATGGACTGGCTGCCCCTAGGCCATCAGAAGCCTCCCGAGGTATGTGACATGCGCGATGATCCGTGATGTTCGCGGCGTTGAGGGTAGTAAAATCGTCCCGGTCGAATTGACGGAATTCGGCAAGTCATCGACTAGGCCTGCAGGGCTTTGACACCATCCGTGGACCGCTTTCCAACGTTGCTGCTCGTCTGTGCATAAGGTAGGTAATGAACCTCCGTGTCTTCCCTTCTCTGAACGTGACCTGTTTTGCTTGACGTGAGCATGAACCACACCAGTCCATTGCCCTCTAGCCCTGCCTTCGATCTCGTCCGCGGTCTGTGTGATTCCCTCAGATGACCAAAAGCAACATGAATGTGTCATTGAGCCACGACGCCTGGCGAGGTGTCATGTCGTGCGAAGGAGAACAACGCGAATGCCTTCGTGATTCAGATCCAAGGGGGTTACCATTTTCCCATAAAAGTGCCCCCTCTCAAGCGCTCATAAACTTCAAACAGAACAGTCATTTCCTGTGTAGTCCACTTGATCAAATCTAGGGATAGACACGAAATCAACACAACAAACCACTAGTCCACCAGTTGACTGGCTTTCCAAATCCTCAAGATGAATTCCACTTCCTCAAGGACAGCTTCACCGGCACCCCCATCACCGCCAGCAAACCCCCGACTTCAAATCAACACCTCCATCCAGACCGACGATGCAAACACAGAGTCCGCCACTTCCAGTTTCCAGAGATCATCCGCTCCATCGCCGTCGCCAACTCTGTCAAGCCCACCTCAACCACTACCTTCAAACCCCACAGCTTCACAATTGGAGCCCACTCCATCCATCTACTCCCCCCGCCCGGACCCTCTCCCAAACTCGGCAGATGCAACGCGAAGTACCTCCCCCGTGGGCGTTGGTCCAACCCGTCCTAACTCGCCAGCACGTTTAGTAAACGAAGACGAACCCTTCGTCCCAGAAGTACCTAGCTCGCCTGTGTTGGCTCACTCGGTACCTGTCCCGGTTCCGGTGGGTGCGAGGGTGGATGTGCCTGGATTGGTTCAAGACGTGGACACAGAGCCCGAGCCAGGTCAAAGCTGCGAGACCACGACGATTACCATACCCCCTACGGCTGGCGCGACTGATATCACACTCGAGGAAGAAGACTTGTCCGCCAGGTTGTCAACCAGCTTAGACACGGACCTGGACACCGGGATAGCCACAAGCACATATAAACTTACCCCCAGCCTCATCCCCGATGTCCTCAGCACGAGCACCAGGAAGAGCCCGCAGAAGGAGCCTGAGTCGGCGGTGGTGATGGAGGGGAAAGGAAATGAAGGGGTTGAAGATGAAAGAATGGATTCTCATCTGTTTCAGGGGCCTCTTAGTCGTGGGTAGCGGTAGTAGGTCTAGCGGTTCGGCTAGTGGGTGACAGCGAGGTGAAGGTGAATGGAAGCAGGACTGCCTTGCTGGAATTGGAGGAAGTATTGAGTTCGGAGAAAGGAAATCTGAGAGGAAAGGTAGAGATGTCAGAGGCAAGAGTGATGAAGGTACAAGGACAGGACACTCGTCCAAGCCACCATTGAAACAAGTCAAAGTCTCGACAAACAAGACATCACGAATCACAGACGCCCAAGTTGTTGATCATCTTGTTTTTGTGCCACGCAAAACACCCCTGAATTGTATGCTATGTCGCCAGAATCCCTGAAAGCCCAACCGTCACGCCTCCAAATGGATCCCAAATGCTGACTAGGTTTGCAGGCGGCAGATCGACTGCCGGAGGAAGCCCCAGATGCACTGTAAAAAAGGATGCACAGCCTGGCAAACACCCGGTGAGATAGAAGAGAAGGACGACAAAGCACCAAGGAGAGCGATACGCTTATTTCTCCTTCTTGGGCTTGGCACCCTTGACCTTGGCAGTGCCGCGGAGGGTCTTTTGGCGGTTCTTGCGCTGCTTGCCTGTTGAATGTTAGTGATAGATTGGGAGGTATGGGGGTAACTGAAAACATACGCTGCTGGCGGGAAGCCTTCTCGATCTTGGAGGCAAGGCCGACACGGACAAGACGGTAGTGGGGCTCGAACTTCTTCATGGCCTCGGGGGAGTCATAGACGAGGGCGAAGCCAGTGGTCTTGCCACCACCGAACTGGGTGCGGAGACCGAAGACGTTGACCTGGTCCTTGGTGGCCTTGTAGAGGGTGGCCAGCTTCTCGCGGAGCTCGTCCTTGGAGATGTTAGGACGGTTGGGGTGGAGGATATCCCTGTAGTGGTTAAAAAAGCAGGAGTAAGCAAGACTGTCCTTAAGTTGTTGAGGGAGCAACAACCGCGCATAGCAAAGCAGCTTTGGACTTGATGTGTCTCCTTCTCCGCCTCCCTCAGATTTGTATCACGATCACCGAAGCGAAACGCGACAAACCACCGCCCACTCTCCACACGAGATGTCGTTGCGGTATCTTTCTTGTCTGTTTTGCCCCCAATCACCATGATCCGCATCATGATCCCCCGCGAAACCGCTAGTCTTTCAGCAAGGGTCAAATGTATTTTTTTCCTTGTGTTTGTGTCCCATCTCTTTCTGGCCTCTTGAGCATCAAGGCTATTGATTTCGCAGGGTACAAATGGTGGATGATGATGGATGTGAGGTCATGATTGACTCGATCGATCGCGCATCTCGGTGGAAGGAGGGGTCTGTTGGTGGTTTTGTCGCATTCGCTTGGTGGGACTTCGATGGAAGTATTGCTCGGATATGCTCTGTGAAAGACAAAATGAAGGTAGACATGATCAAACATATCCATTGCTGCCTTGCTGCCACGGCGTTGACTCTTGGTCAGATTGGCAGAAGGAGGGCAACGTACACGACCATCTGCTTGCGGCCAAGCAGAGGGTTGCGGATGAACTTGCGAGTGCGCAGGGTGACGGGGGAGTCGGAGTCAGCCATCTTGGTGTCTTGCGGGCGAGTTGACGATCAAGACCGAGAAGTGCAGCGGCGGACGGAGGAGCGGTTGTGCTTTTTTTGAAGTCGTTTTTTGCACTCGCCGCGCACGGGGCACACGACAACTTGCGGTGGAGCCACTGAGAAAATTCCACTCTCGTGCCGCTTAATTGGGTGCAAGCCCTAATCGTATGGGAATGTGGCCTGGGATGTGAGGCGTAAATCTTGGCGTTTCTGCTGTGCAGGGTGGCTCGTGCTGCACCTCACCTCCCCGAAAAGTGCACGGGCCTTGTCAAGACAGCGGGACTTGGTTGTCGTCCCAACTGGGATCGTCCAAATAAACAATCAACAAACATGTGGCCGGGGACATGCTCTCATCAATAAACCATGATGGGGTTTGCTCTTTTTATTTTATTCTGTCATCTACGATGTAAAGCCAGGTCTAAGACAGAGCCATACCTGTTTTGACTTTTCACTGGCTGTCTAGCCGTCGTCTCAGAGGAATGAAGCGGACAATGCGACAGCCATCAAGGCTGACCGATAAGCTCTTATCAATTACACACACCACCCCGGCGTCAAGCTCGAGCCTACTCCCTCCAGCTCCCCTACCTACTTCCGCCTCAACTGACAGATGTGTATCGGCATCAGATCATTATAGAACGGCCCAGTCTGCTCAGATCTAGGCGGCACCGGAAACTCCGCATGAACCACCTCCAGACCCCTGCCTTCACACACACTCAGGAAGCTCTCATACGTCTCCCGATTCCTCTCCGTCGCCGCAATTACCACCTCCACCTTGGGAAATAGTTCAACTATTTCCTCAACCGAGGCGACCAACGCCGGAATAACGATTTTATCATACGTGATATCCGCGCCCAGCACCACGTCCACTTCCCGTCCTCCGTTCCATTGCGCCTCCTCGGTGCCGACAAGCGCGTGACCCCACCATAGCTCCATCGGCTGGACGGCATCAGACCCCTGGAGCCCGTTGAGGAACAAGCTGTCAGGCAAGTTGGCCACGACTTCGTCTGACCCGTCGGTGGCGATGACGTGTTTGGCCCCGAGATACTTGGCGCAGAGGATAGAAACGTAGCCTGTTCCTGCGCCGAGTTCGAGCACACGCTTGCCGCAGACGAGGGAGGGATGCGTGAGGAGGTACTGCCCCAAGTGAAGGGAGGCTTCCCAGGTGCGTAGGCCGGTGGTGCCGGAGGCGGCGATGAGGTTGCGGGATTCTAGGAGGGTGATGTGTGGCTCCTCGTCAGGAGAAGCCGACGATACCTCTTCCCGGCCCGGTTGATCCGGATCTTGTTTAAAGGCATAACTGCCGACGCCGAGATTTTGATCGAGAAGAGACAGGTGGTAAGTGACGTAGCACTTTTGCTGCGCGGCATCGGCCTCGGAGGGTAACCGCAGCGAGAGCAGATGGGATAATCTTGTGTAGAGATTGTCCGAGAGGCCCTAGTAAAAGATGGCAAAAGAAACAACTTGGTGAGGAAACGTGCTACGAGGGGGTGGTAGGTAACTTGTGTTTGAACTTTGCAGCAGCCAGCCGAGACCTTCCTACTTCAAATCCGGCCACACCTTCAACGCATGGAACTGAAATGACCATTACAGAAACTTACATATTGGTCCCAATCCTCGATACTTTCCTCAATCCTTTTCACCAGCTCTTTCAGGATCCTCAGCTGATACCGCGGAGGCGCGGGATTCTTGATGTCCTCGCTGAAAAGCTGCTCGTACAGTGTCTCCTGGACTGATGCATCGCACAGGTACTCGCCGTCGGGGAAGTCCACGACCGGCTCCAGTTGGAGGTATTGCCGGCAAAAGCGAGCAACTTGCATATGCTTGCGCTTTATTTGGGTCGTTCTAGCCATTGTTGATGTGGTTTGCCGGCAGCACAGCGAGGCAATGATGACGTGGTGACGGCGGTCGTTGACTGACAAAAGTTCATTTCAGCGACTTTTGTGAAGTTCCAAAGTTGGATGTCGCGGGCCCACTTTTCCTTCTCGTTCGGCGCAGTCCAGTCACGTGTGCCCTCGCCGCTCTTCCCCCTTTCCGGCTTGGCAGTTATCGACCAACGTCGACACTCGCTCATTCTCAAAGAACCCAACCGTTGAGCAACCTTCAGCGCAGTCATGCCCACTCTCCCGAGTGAACCTGAATGACCATCAGAAATCTACATTCGACGGATGTCACTGTCAATCTTCACCACGACAGAAAGTGGCGCACCACTAACAAAAGCGCAAGAAACCAATGCACCAAACCGTGATCCAATGTCGATTGGTACCGGCTATCGACCTTAGGGCCACGAGCCTTGCTCTCACAAACCATTCCAGCTGGGTACACAAAGGCCTGCAAGAGTCCGATACTATCAGAGATGATGGCCATGCGGGAACGGAATTGAACAGTTGAGGGCCGGGAACCCCCACCACGGGTTTCCAAGCGGAGACGCCTCCTGACCGTTGACTGGAGCTGGAACGGTCCGAACGGCATACCGAGTTCGACTTGATTATCCGAGTTGGGAACAAGGAAGCCGGGAAACCCCCAAAGACAAGGGAAGCACAGCATCTAAGCGAGGCTCATCTAGATCCCACGACATCCTGCGACATCGTGCCGGAAGTGCAGAAAGATTGATGGCCAGCAAGCAACCTTTCATACTCGAAGTCGCCAGCCGAGACGGACGGTGACAAGATTGATGTGATAGGTGTACCTACCTACAGACAAAGTAGTGCCGTTTATCTACTTGTCTGGTGTCCATTGTTCTTCAGGCTACTCGATCCCCCCTGAACCGCTCGAAATTTCCTAACCCGTCTGGTCTATCTATGCCGCCGAAACTGTCGTCAACATACTACCCAAGGTGTCTTGCGGAACCGGGCCGTTACATCTAACCCTGTCCTCGCAAGGAACAATGGAACACGTTTCCCCAATGTTCTACACACTGTCGACATGACAGGGCCCGGTCAGGCCTGGGATATTGAGACCACTGCAAAATGACGAAGCAATCGACTGACACAAGCAACCTTGAGGTTGCCAGGCGACTGACTAGACCCCCGAAAGACCCAGCCCATTCAGGAACGCCAGAGTCCAGATCTATGTCATGACATTGACTCCTCGCTGATAGGTCAAGTCACCCATCAGTCTGCATGATGCTTCAACGCCCGGCTTCCTGAATACGAGTTTCAAGTACCTAGTAAACCCTCGAGAAATATTGGACAAGTGGACGGAGGCCTCGTCATACTTCCTGCAAGATTCAAAGGGGTTGTATGGTTCGCCATTACAGCTTGGTTTGGTTGACGGTTACCAGCCCGCGCGGGAAAGTCTGCCTACCTAGCTACACTGCTAGGTAAGGTACAAGACGAGCACCACAAGGGCCGCGCCGCTGCTGCAAATGCATTGTGCGGCTGGTGTTGCCTCGTTCTTCCCACCTCGCATGTAGATTCTCAGAGGTAGGTAGGTACGTCTTGCCTTGCTTGCTGACATAGGTACCTACGACTACCTACCTCTAGAGATACACATACACAACACACGGAGTCTGGCACGTCTACCCCTGATCTAGGTAGGTAGCTAGTAGTCACCCCCATTCTCAAGCGGATGTATTGATGCTCTGCCGGATGTGCGTGCCATAACAGGTAATTCTTCGCGGTCTTATTTGTACATGTACCTTACCTCTCCTGACCCTCTACATCCAGAGATACCCATGCTTGGTTGCGGGTCAATGGGTACCAGCATCGATCCTATCACCACCTGTACCATTTATCAAGCATCAAGCATCAAGCATGTCAGCCAAGTATTGACCTCTATTCTAGATGCCAGGCGGGTAGATCACCTCCATGTCGAGATTAGATTTATACACGCCACGCACGCGCCGCTGCCGGATAGATTCGTCCGTCCTTGTCCTCCTCCACCACATAGTGCCCGTTCGTTACCTGTATCTACCTATACACTCTGCTCTACCTTCCCAGGTACCTAGACTTAGGTAGACTTGGCCCGCTTAGCGTAGGTGCCTTGGCGCTAGACTTGGATTTGACGTCTGATCTGGAAAAGACATGAAGACTTGCACGCGTGCCATTCAAGTTCCCTCCCGAGACCCCGGACCCGGACCCGGACCTGGACCCAAAGTCCAGTGCCCCGGATAGGATCCAAATCCCTGAAAATTCGGGATAAGTGGTAGAATCAGACAACCTAGCCAAATGAGCCAGGCCAGTCCAGATCCAGATCGGCGTTGATCCCCCCTCTCCCTTCTCCCCTCTCCGCGGAGGTGGGTACCTATGTAGACTTGTGAAGCCAATTCGCCCCGGTGCCCCTAGGTACCTAATATGCCCGGGGCCCTTCGTTCTGGTCTACATAGCCCTAGAACAGGTCCAGTCTGACCAGGATGACTCGACCTATCACACCAAGTCCGTTATCCCAACGCTCGTTCTTACTACCTAGGTAGGATCAGGTACTAAAAGGGTGTACGGCTACGATACAACCTCGTAACCTCCTCTCATTGCATCTGCATCTGCAGCCACCTAGAGGTAATATACTGCAAAGCGATATCTCAACATGCACCATCTGCACCTTGCCGGTTTCAGAAATAGATTGTGTACCCACGGCATCTTCGCTACAGTACAACAGTCCAGCAACTGTCAAGGACAACCCACCTACGTAAGCTCTTTATCTCCTTTTATTCCTCTCTTTTCCGCGAATACAGTAACAAGGTGGTATAGACTCGAGTGATATGACCCCCATCTTGCTCATGTCATCAATGTGTAGAGGTACTACACGAGCTCATGACAGCAAAATGAACCGCCATTACGGAATAAGAACTGAAAAAGAGGGTTCGGGAGAACAAATGGGAGCGGGAGAAGGCACGGGAGAAGAAGAAGAAGGAGGACGGGTAGGTAGAAAGCAGCAAGTGAACCTCTATTATCATTCTTCTTCAGATAGGGCGACGCACGGTAGGCAAACTAATTTAGCATTACTTTTCTTTCTAACTACCTGTCTTCATGAGACCGGTACCTCCCGTCAACTAAGGTAGAGGTATGGTATGATGCTGTATCTAGGCACCTTCCTGACGTGCCGATAAACACACACAAATATGCAGACTCGAGCAACCTGAATCAACCATGGAACAGCACGGAAAAACCCCCTCAAGGAAATAAAATGAAGACAGAAACGAGAAACAAGACGCCCCGAAAGTGAAGAAAATGTTTAGTCTCCGAAACAAGTAGAAAATCCCGACTGTAGCAGTTGTAAAAAGCAATTGAAGGAAATATGTCTTTTCTCTGACGACAAAGTGAATATGAAAATGCAGCTGCAGCAGTACTAGGTAGTGATACCCCTCCTCAAGGAGGGAGGTAGTGACATAATACCTGACCTTCTGCCAGGATGCGGGTTCTTTCGGGCGTAATGCAAGGCACGGGGACGGGGGTATGTTATGTTGTGACTCCTCGAGGCTGTTTTTTCCAGGTCCTTCCCCTTTCTCCACCCTTCATGTCCATCCCCTTCAAGCCCATCCATGACCATGCCCCTTACTACCCTGCCAACCGAGACTTTACTTGCTTGGGTCTCGTTTTTGTGCTCTGCTGTACTCTTTCCCGACCAAGTTGAGTCCTGGCCGCATTCGTGCTTTTTTTGGTTGCCGCCCTGAACCGCCTGTGCAACGCCGCGTACCAACTGAACGCCTTTAATACCCCTGATACCGTGCCTGTATTCTTGTTGTATCTTTGTGCTACCGCCAACCTATGATGTCCAATTGAAGACATGCACTCAATCCACACGCACACTGTAGGGTCTTCTCAACAAGATCAGACCAATTCCTCGCAGTTATTGGGCAGCTACCAACGTGGTAAGAGAAGCCGCATACGATTCGATCTCAGCGGTGGCTCGCAAGCGAAGCCGCCCTGTGTCCATCAGCAAGTGCCTGGTGACGTTGCTGCTCGTAGACCCCATGATGGCCAACATGATGGTCAGGGCCGCCGACCTGCACTACACTCTCACTAGGCACATACGCCTGTCCATTCGACAGACTGTTGGCCAATGTTCCGCTACCAGCTGCCGAAGACCCGATTGAGTCTCTCCTGTTACTCGAGGAAACCGAAGACAGCGGCTCCGCAGTATAAGTGTTCATGTCAAATGCCGACCCCTGGCTCTGCAAGCTTCTTCCTTCTTCGCCAAAGATGCTTTGAGGCTCCCCAGCACCCGCGCTTGCTCCTGAAACCGAGGTGTGGTAGGTATCCGTAGAGGTAGAGTGAGAACGGACAGAGGAAGAGTGACCAGCGCTGGCGGTGCTGGCTGATCCGTAAGACGCCGAGAGACCATCGAAGCCCCCGTAGGCAGTTGCGGAAGCAGCGACGTCGGCGAGAGTGCTTGACACTCCAGGTTGGGAGGTCTTGATAGCTGCGCCCGGGTAAGGGAGAGAGGAGCGAGAGGTGCCGGCTGTGGGGTTCGGCAACAATCGGTCGGCGCCTGTGCTGGTTGTAGGTAGGGACGCAGCTACGCCAGAGAAAGAGAAGTTGGGAGATTGGGATTCGGTTGTAGGAGTTCCGTGGCCGTGGTGAGCACCATGATGTGCCGGGCGATGGACGAGGTTCGAGCTTTGGTACCCCCCGTAAGACTCAGGAGTTGAGTCCATATACACTCCACCGTAAGGGGTCTTTCTGGCAGCAGAACCCCAACTAGGTACGATACCGACTGACTCATGAGTCATAGCATGCACTGGCGGGTATCCCGCTGCAGTATAATCACCGAATTGACCAGACACGCCAACCGCGGTAGGATCGCCGTAGGGGTTGGGGGCTGAGGCGTATGAGGCTGTGGCAGGAAAGTACTGTTTATGACTGGTCGGCGGCGGAGCTTGATGGTGACCGTATGCGTAACCACGACTGTATTG